CTCCATCCACCAGTATTTTGAAGAGAGGGGTAAAAAGGCACCAAGAAGATGATTCCTTGTCACCTGCTAATAAGGTATTGTGCAGTTTGTTCTGTGATGCAGTTCATTCTGTTCATAAGGCATCAGTAACGGTGCTTGCAGTGCAGTGAGTTCCAAATACCTGCAGTTATCAACTTAATTTTTTCATTTGTAAATGAAGGTATGCTGAAGATAAGGGCCTGTAGATATTTTTGTAATGCACAGACATCAGCAGGCTTGTATTACTAGGAGCTTGGGAGGTTTGTTTTCAGAACAGCCCCAATGGCTGCTCTGCCTGCAGGAGTTGCAGTGGAACAAATGCCACTGCGAAATCAGCATCTTACCAGTGCATTTTTGGGAAACACAAAATGTTTCCTTCAGCAGAAGCCGTTGTAATTGTGGCTTCTGTCCTTGGGTGAATGGTGTTCAGGAATTTCAGTGGCTATCCATTTCAAAAGGAGCGATTCTGTCTCTTTGGACTCCCTTCAGCAGACTGTAGTGGTTCATGCTATCAAAACTACTTCTCTCTGACAACAGATTCGTCGGGTCTCTTTTGCAAATCCTATTTATCAAGAAGGACTGGCTGATGACATAGACAGGAGAAGTCCTGTCATTAGATCCCATTCTTCACCGTCTTCACGAAGTCTTAAAATCTTATCTAATATTCAGACTAAGGTAACTTCAGATTTTTTTTTTGCATTAGTCTTCAGTTTCTCAGAGTGACGTAGCCAGCTGTAACGTGTGCCTGTAGTTCCTTGCAAACAGTTGTAAGAGCAAAGAGTAGAACAGGGGTAAGTTTAAGAACTAGCTGTAACTGGTTTGTTCTGTGGCTCATTCTGTTGCTCTGCAGGCCTACATGCTCTAAGCTAGGTAGCTAGAAAGTGAAAATTGGTTGAGTTCTTACAATCCTGAGAGATTTTTTTCCTCTTTTTCTATCCAGCCTATTACCACTCCAACCAAAGGATTTCTGTCCCCAGGATCTTGTAACCCTAAATTTAAGAGCTCAAAGAAGTGTTTAGTAAGAAGTGCTTTGGTTCACGTTTCTTACTCTTTCTTGTATTCAGTTGTGTGACAGTTAATCTAATAATTTTTCTGTGTTATTTCAGATGACAGAAATGGTGAAGGAGTCACTGCCTTCCCCTACAGAATGTGTGTATCCTGCCTTAGCTGGGTGTAAGGCACCCGTTGATGTAATTTTACCTCAGATCACATCAAATATATGGTAAGTGCCTTGCTGCTTTGGAAAACATGATTTAATGGAAACTGAAGTTTTTACTGGATCTTAACAGCAACAAAAAAATGATAAACTATGGAGATCTTTTGCAAAACTGTATCCCCTGCTTCTCCCAACAACCTTGGAATGACTCCAGTGGTCTTTAGGTAAAGCTGTGAAAAGTTTGCACCAAACTTACCTGCAAGACAGAGCAGATGGATCTTAATGATCTGTTACAAAGTGATCAGAGCTTCCACTGTATCAAAGGGGATGGCTGAAGGTGCTGCCATCCCAGTACTGCTTGGGGGCACTGCAGGACTGCAGGCACAGTGGGATTCCTGGTTAAGATCTGCATTACAACCATAGGAACACCAGGAGCTCAGCTCGTGTGTCTTCAGATTTGAATCCAGGTGACAAAAAAAGAGTTGTATTGGAAAGTGCTCTGAATGGCCTTTTCCTGCTGTATTCTGCTGCTTTCCACTGATGTGTGCCTTCAGAATACCACTTTCTGATGGGTTTTGGATACATTGCAAGAAGGTGTGTTTCTGCAAACAAAAATGTCATTGGCATTTTGCTTTCCTTTATTTATGTGGATGTAAATTGGCTTTCATGTAAGAGCACTTCCTGCTGAAGGAGGATGGAGGTGGATCTAATTAATTAACCAGCTTTTCTTTGCTGCAGTGCCAGAGGTCTGGGGCAGCTCATTCGAGCCAAGAACATAAAGACAGTGGGAGATCTCAGTACTCTGACAGCATCAGAAATCAAAACTCTTCCCATCCGTTCTCCTAAAGTTTCCAACGTTAAAAAAGCTCTTAGAGGATATCATGAACAACAGGTAAAGCTTAATTAATCCTGGTTCCCCAGAAGTAACTTAATGAACTACTAACAAGCACTCATCACGAGTAATGTATTTTTCTTACTGGTGAAAGCACTTTAAGCTGTGATATCTGCCCAAGGTGGGCATTTGGGGCGCAGTGTTTGGGCACTCACAGTGGGAATGGCTGTATTTGTTGCACAGTTAAAGCACATCCTGCTGTGTAGTTCTGAACATCTTTGTTCTCTCTGAAATTCTCAGGTAAAATCTCGAGGGTGTGAAGAAATTGGAGCTCTCGAAGATGTGGAGAGAACAGTAAACAGTGCAGGGGATAAATCTCCTCCTGGGGATGAGGAAAAACTTGCAACAGGTAACTTGCCTGCATGTTACTTAGGGTCTGGCTGTCACTGCTTTCATTCTCTGCTAATGGAACACTTGATTTCTTTTGGGAAGCTGCTAGCTAGTCTGAAGGGATGAGTTGAGTTAATCACATCCTGAAGCCCTCCAGTAATGGCATTTTGGAACTTTTTAAAACCACTGAGGGCAAGATGTGCTTTGTTTTTCCCTACAACTCTGTGTTCAGCAGGACTCTGAGTGCTTTGCACATCTCAGCCCATGCTCCTCCTGAGCTGTGTGATGCTGCAGGTCCTGCTGCAGTCCTGGGTGTGCTCAGGAACGAAGGGGACTGTGGGGCTGAGGAGATGCCTGCAGGTGTTTTGGCTGTTTCCCAGGATACCCAGTTTGGATTTTGAGGCCTGGGGTTTTATTGTTTTGTTTACAGGGATTCTGGGGTTTGGCTTTACAGTTTTAGCAGAGGAATCTGTTTTTCCTGTAAGACATTTGAGGCATTTGGTTGACCAGAGGACAGAGAACTCAAGAGTGACTCCAGTCAGTGGTTTAAAGTGGACTTTCTTGGGATAACAGAGTGCAGTGGCAGTGTGTGAATAACACTATTTTGACGTCTCTTCTTATTTTTATTCCCTAACCCTCATCAAATACAATGCAAATCCCTATAAAGAAAAGGCAGTGTTTAGTCCTCAGGGGTGCCCTTGTCAGAAGCTCTGTCTCTCTGATGCTTTGTAGACTGTTTGAATGTATTATTTAATACAGAACAACCTGCAGCATCCCACCGTGGCACAGTAATGCCGCGGTTGAGACCCCACGCCCTGACTGCCCACCCTGCTTTCCTTTGCAGATCTGGGTGAGCCCATTGCCCTGAGCAGCAGCAGCCCAGCCCCTGCAGATCTCCTGAGCCAGCTGGAAGTGCTGGCTGCCCAGTTCACCTCCCAAGATCTCGGCAGCTACCCTGGCAGCCGCCTGTTTGAGATGCAGGAGAAGCTTGCCAGCATGACAGACTGCATCATGAGAACCCTGCGGTCCCGATGGACGTCGCCACCCCACGACAGTGCAGAGTAGTTGCTTAGAATTCCTGAGTAAGGAGGATTTTGTTACAAGTTGTTCCACAAAGCGTAGTTTTCTTACTGGTGAGTTAATCCTTGAGCTGTACCTTTTGTACTATAGAAGATTTTTTAACACCCATTTGATCAAAATGTATCATGCTTTACTTCTCCCGTTTGTTTTTTCTAACTTGTAGGATAGTTTATTAGAGAGATTTCTATTACATTGCTATGCATATCTCTTTCAGGTAGTGAAAGAAAACTTGATCAAGTTGTGCAATAGCAAAGACTGTGAAACCAAACTAACAGAGTAGTTAAATTATTTTTTTCAAATCCAAAAAGTGTTCTTACTGCTGTAAACTCCATCTGTATGGTGAGAGATGGCTCTCGCTGCTCTGCTCTCGTGCTGCCCATGTTTGCTTCCTTCAGAGCTGCTGAAACCCTTCAGCACTTCTGTACTGAGGTCAGCTGTGCTCAGTTCCCTGCTGACAGCAGGACGGAGTGTGTTGTTATCAGATCACACTGCAGCTGATGACAAAAGCAACACTGTGAGCGAGAGACTTTGCAGAACTTGTTGGCCTTTTCCTGTGTTCTAACAGCTTTGTTTGCAGCAGCTCTCCTGTGGTGGAGAAGACCCTTTTCCCTTTGTGGAAATAAATGAATTTGACGTGGGTTCTTTGTATATTATGTATAGGCTTGTGATTGCAAATGTTGGTTAATAATTTATGGTTTTTAATTGCACGGAATGCACTGCTGCTTCTCAGAGACCTTCAGAGTTCTCCGTTTTTACCCCTGAAATCTAATTTGTATATATTGGACATTTATGGAAAGGAATGGCTCCAGGTGTCAGAACTTCAACATGTGCAAATAAAAGAGCAATTAGTTTCCAAAGTTGTTAATGTTAATCTTTAAGCTTAAAATGAAACAAATTGCTTCCAAATTGTTCATCCCTTCCTCAGGGTTGCTTTGGAATCTCAAGGTTAGGAGGGAGCTTGGAAGGCCATCAGGCAGAGTGGGGCAGCAAAGACTGGGGGTATCTGAGCAGCAGGATCCCATCTGTACCCTGTTTGTGCAGCTCAGAAAGTAATGAGCAAGACAGAGAGTCTTAAAGGACTAACGTGATCATTACCAGTGGTGAGTGGCTGGAGGTTTTCTTGTTTCCCTGATAACACTGCTTCCAGATATACTTCCTCAGGTTTAATCATCTCTTGGCTCCAGGAACAGGGATGTTTCTCTTGCAAGCTGGCTGTGTATACCGCAATATGCTGTGAGTTCTCTTTAAACAAAGGCCTCAGGGTTAAAGTTGCAAATCTTCCTGCTATGAGCTCACTTTGCTTTATCCAAGATAGAATTGTTTTCCTGCTTCCATCTTTGGAGGCTGGCTGGTACCAGGTGCTACCAAAAACAAATGACCACAGTGCAAAACAAATAATTGTTTGTCCAGCTTTTTCACCTTGCTGGGACTGCTGCTTCCTGAATCTGCTCTCTTTCTGAATGAAGAAGGATTGTTTTAAGATAAATTTGCACTCTTCAGAGTGAAGTAAAGCATCAAACATGCTGCGGAAACATGAGCTTTATTTAGTCACTAATTTACAAGTAACAACTTTTGACCCCAGAACAGAAAAACACCTGCATAAGAGCTCAGCAAGCAGACAGAAGAGGCTTTTGCTTTGTGAGATTTCCCCCTTTTTTTACCACCTCCCCTCCAGATAAACTTTGGTTTGAGATCCTAAGCTTACATGGGAAACGAACATGTTTGAAAGTTTCAGGACAGCCCACAAAGATTCTCTCCTCATGGGAGAATGAATAAAGTAATGGTTGGTAATCATAGTCTCCAGAACAGGTACAAAAGCTCAGTGATACGGAACTGTGTTGTGATTTTGGCATTGCTTAAAACATGTTGATGGTATTGTATGCTTAAATGTCTTAAAGGAAGATGCAGGCAATTTCAGGTTTTGGACACCAGAAGCAAGGCAGCTCTCATGAGCAGCACCAGGTGGTGTTTGCAGGTAGTTTTCAGAAACAATTTGAAGGGAAGAAGTTTCAAGAGTGTTTTGTTATATGTATTTTTTTTCTCTCCCCATGCTGGTTTGTAAAGCACTGCCACTCACCATGGAAGACAGTGCAGTGCTTTGGTGGTAGAAAGTTCTGTTGCTGACAGTGGGAAATGGCTGTGCCTGGGGAGGGCTGTTCTGTGGCTCACACAGCCTCCACGTAGTTGGCTGGCAGCATGCCTGTCTTGCCAGTTCTCTGCACGGTCCCATACATCCAGCCTTCATCAATGGCTTGCACGTTGACAATTGTGTCACCATCTTTGAAGGAAACCTCGTCGGCGTCGGCTGCTGTGTAGTCATACATGGCCCTGTATGTCTTCTGTGAATTGGAATAAAGAGGGGGAAATTAAGAGCTGTTCACATCACTGCTGTTAGGTTTTGCTCAGAGTCCAACTACGTGGAGGGTGGGTGAAGCTGTGACTGATGGCGTTACTGAAAAGTACCACCAGTGGTAGAGTTTTGGCTGGGCTCTTAAATATTCTGGTTTCGGATCACAGAATATTGAAAATACAGATTTTGAATTGTCCAGTCTTTGTAAGGTATTTTCTGTTTGCATTCCTTTGAGGCAGTTGCAGCCTCCTTGGTCCTGCGAGGGGCAGCCAGCCCCCCACCTTGTGCCTTTGGGCTCTAGTGCTTTAGCTGGACCAGACCTTGTCAGAGTGTATTTGAGTACCACTGTTTGAACAGTTTGTCAGCTCAGGTTAGCTCCAGCCACAGCTGCAGGGTCTGACTTCTCTGGGAGAGAGAAAATGTAAGATTAAGCTTTCAAGCTAAGGGTCTACTGTTAAACAACAGAGCTGCTGCACCTTCAGCTGGTTTTGCAGCGAACCTCAGCCTGTGGATTCTTCTATTCTCTCCTGCATGAACAGCAGCCCTGCTCACTCAAACGGCTATGAGCTGGGGAGGGGCAGTGCAGTGGCCCAGAGCTACTTACCCCAGCAGTGGATGGGTGGGAAGGAACTGATGACACGGTGGTTTGCTGAGTGACAACAGATGCTGATCTCTGTTGTGGCAGCTCTATGGTCTTAGCATGTTTATAACCCACTAGGAAAGGAGAAAACAAATGGTTAGTTTACAGTTTAATGCTTTTAGTTGTTATGGAACTGGCAGGGGAGCGCAGTTGCCCTGACTAAGGATCCTGGGATGGATCGGGAGGTGATCAGACCTGCCCTTTATCCACAGCACTACAACTGCAGTTGGTCAGGGCCAAAGCTCTGCACTCAGTGTGCTCCAGCTGTGAGTCCTGTCCCAGCAGAGGGGCTGGGCACTGCCTGGCCCCAGCAGTGAGGAGCTGCAGCTTTGTTCCCATACCTGTGGCAGTGGTGGTAAAGAAGCCTTCGTTGCTGTAGTAGGACAGGTGCTGATTCACCCCCTCCGAGGGCTCTGATTTCTCATCCCCTCCGCTGATGCTCAGGGCACTGGCAGAGCGGGAGTGTTCCCTGCTGCGGCGCTGCGCTTGGACTGCCAGGAGAAAACCAGTTGGTTATGGTGTGAGGTATAAAGCAGGGAGCTGCCAGCCAGCTGGGGGTGGGCAGAAGTGGTTGCTGGCCCTTGCTAAGCATAAAAAAGAAGCACAGTTCTTATGTTCCTCGTTTATTTCTAATATCCAGATTTGTTCTTCTCCCACTCTTGTGCTTGCTACATCCAAAATTTGTACTCAAATTACTGCTTGCCTCCCTTTGTCAGCTGCCAAAGTGCAATGGCCCCACGCTGTTCTGCCTCTCATGCCCACTTTTCTCAAGCGCTGAGCAGGGAAGAGAACTGAGGTACAGCACTTCAGGAGCTAAAAAGGAGGCAAGTGTTTCAGGCAAGCAGCTGTGCTGTCTGTGGAGCTATGAATCCCATACAGCCCTGTGCCAGAGGAGCACTTGCATAGTTAGTAAGATGAACTTTGTGAGAACCAGCTCTATGGAGCAGTTTCTCCTCTCCTTTGTTCTCACTGCCATTAATTCCCACTAGAACTGTGCCTATGTATAACTGTGGAAATCACTGCTAACATAGTGTCTGAAATAAGCATGTTAGCCTTTACTTGCATTCCTGCACAGAGAAAGACCTTAGAACTGTACTTCAGTGTCCCCAAGCAGTTAAGTTTTCCTGCTGGATTTGCATGAACAGTACAGAGGGGAGCCAACCTGAGATCATGTGTAAGCTCCTGGACTGAATGTTGTCCTCTGCAGGGTCGTAGTCAAAGACAGAGCCGGGATTTGTGCGCCACACACGAAGACCTGCAAGAGAAATGACTGAGGAGCTGGAGCCCAGGCATGGCCTGGACAGCCAGAGCAGAACAGAGTGGTCCAAAATGGGAGCAGAAATATACAGGGGAAAGGAAAGCAGAAGCTGGTAATTTATGCTCATCAAAGCTGTAGAGCAGAGGTGTTGGTGGTGAAAACACTTTGAGGTGAGCTTAAAAATACAAACAAGAAATGGCAATCAAATCTGGCATCTACAAAAGCCATATGGATGGGAAAGACAGAGGGGGCTTTGATAAGGCCACCAGCTTCAATTAATGGTAAATATAAACTGATGATTCCGTTGAGCTTAAATAAAACAACTTTTCAAGGTGACCTTGTGTTCTGTGTAAGTGAAGTAGTGCAGTTTCTGCTTACCTGTCAGATTATTCTCCTGGTCCTGGTCCACGCGCTTTTGCTCCATTTCTACCACTCGTCTCTGAATGCCTCTGTAGCTGATGTCACTGAAGTCCTGCATGTTCTTCTTCACACGTTCTGTAATGGGGTCAGTGACTACAGGTGTGAAAGTACCTTTGTTCTTCTCAAAGTCTTCATGGTATTTCACCTGTCGTGGGAAAAAAAATGTCAGTCCTGTTTGTTTCCTGCTACCATCAAGTGAATTCCTTGCAGAGGGCCAATGCCCTCCTGAAGAGCTGCTGTCACCAAGGTAAAACCGGTCTGTTACTGATAAATATGTATTGTTCCCAAAAAGGCAACCCTGCTGCATCTCAGGAACAAAGTCTTTAAGTAACAGACGTACAGAGAAGTGCTCTTACTGTAGAGATGTGTTTCTGTGTCTCCCGCACGCGCCGCATTTCAGGGGTGTCCAGAACATAAGCAGCTTTGCCTTGTACCTGTTTTCGGAAGCTGTCCGAGTAAAGGACCTGCAGCCAGAAAAAGGAAGAGAGTATGAGGTAAAAAAGGTGGGGAGAATACAAGAGGGAGGGAAAAAAAGAAAGAAAGGAATAAGAGAAGAGAGGGAGAGGAAGGAAAGGGAGAGGGGAAGAGAGGAAGGAAAGGGGGGGGAGGGAGGGAAGGAAGGGAAGAAGAGAGGGAGGAAAGGTGGGGAGGGAGGGAGGGAAGGAAGGAGGGAGGGAGGGAGTGAAGGAAGGGAGGGAGGGAGGAAGGGAGGAAGGAAGGGAGGGAGGGAAGGGAGGGAGGGAGGGAGGGAGGGAGGGAGGGAGGGAGGGAGGGAGGGAGGGAGGGAAGAAAGGAAGGGAAGAAGAGAGGGAGGAAAGGTGGGGGGGAAGGAAGGAAAGGAAGGAAGGGAGGGAGTGAAGGAAGGGAGGGAAGGAAGGAAGGAGGGAAGGAGGGAGGGAAGGAAGGAAGGGAGGGAGGGAGTGAAGGAAGGGAGGGAGGGAGGGAGTGAAGGGAGGGAGGGAAGGAAGGAAGGAAGGGAGGGAAGGAGGGAGGGAGGGAAGGAAGGAAGGAAGGAAGGAGGGAGGGAGGGAGGGAGGGAGGGAGGGAAGGAAGGAAGGAAGGAAGGGAGGGAGTGAAGGAAGGAAGGGAGGGAGGGAGGGATGGAAGGAAGGAGGGAGGGAGGGAAGGAAGGAAGGAAGGAAGGAAGGAAGGAGGGAGGGAGGGAGGGAGGGAGGAAAGGCTAAACACTGCCACTCCCACAACCATAAAGGAATGCCCAAAGTGGAGGAGTGCTGTTTGTACCATCCTGAAGCACTTACCGAGCTGATGTTTTCCTGGTTGCGCTTGGCTCGCTCCATCTCAGGGGTCATCGGGGTTGGGGTGCCTTTTGCCAGCTGTTCTTTGTACAACACCTAGAGTAACACAACGTGCGTACAAGTCAGAGCAGCTCACCCAGCAGCTCATTCTGCTGGTGCTGTTATTGGGTAAGCATACTCAGCACTGCAGGGACAGAAAAGATCTTGGGAAATAAATAAAGCTGCTAAGAAGTTATTGCTTGAGCGAAAGCGAGAAAAGGGGAAAATAAATCGGCAAAACCATGGAACAGAGAGAGAGAACGGGGCTGAATTAGAGGTGGATTTTCTTCACAAGGGTTATTTTTAATCTTAGGCAGGTATCTTCCTCTTTCAGTACCGAGCTGATTTGTTCCTGGGTGCGTCTGACTCGCTCCATCTCGGGAGTGACCGGCGTGGGGGTCGCCTTCCCTAAGCCTTCCTTGTACACAACCTACAGACCACAAAGCAACGTCACAAGTGTACAGATCACAACTGGCGTGGCTGGTTTTAGAATGAACACCATTCGTTATGAAGGGAACAAATTAAGTGAGGAAAAAATATTAAAAAGTTAAGCGATGAAAAATAGAGATTCACTGTAATTTGACATGATAAGTTTCTACATCCGAGGGGAAAAATTAGAGGGTTAAATGAAAACCAGGCAACTTGAGTCATTCAAAAAGAGAACATCTCTATCTTAGCCCCTTCACATCTGGTGGACAATACCGAGCTAATCTGTTCTTGATTGCGTTTCACTCTCTCCATCTCAGGAGTGAGAGGGGTGGGGGTTGCTCGCCCCAAGTTCTCTTTGTACAACACCTGTGGGATACAGAACACGCATCCGGCATCTCACAAAAAAAGCAAGAACATTCAAAAGGATTCCAACACGGGGAATTATGTAGTTATCAGAGTTCAAATCAGTAGTGGCAGATTACAGATCACCGCAAAAAGCCAAACACCCAGAGCTAGTGGGAGGGGTAAGAAAAATAAACTGAAAAAGAGAAGCTTGTTACTACTGTTTGTTTGGGTTAAACTGAAGGGCTCTATCCAGCTACAGCTTCAACCTTGGCTCCACAGGCTCAAGGAAGCCACCAGGGACCCCCAAGAACTAAGGACTGCTCTATCGACCCTGCTGGTCAAGATCCAGGCCAAGGAGAGGATCCCCTCTGTGCCCAAACCCTGACTGCTGGTGTCCTACCTAAAAACATCCCTGTGCCACCAGGTGGGATTCTGGTTAAGGTCGCCTCAAGCAATGCAACTCAGGTGGGGTTGTCCCAGTGTTTGGGTTGGGGTTTTCTCCCACTGAACTCAAATACCCCTGCAAGGACAACAACAGCTTACAGATGCAGCACAGAGAGATGGAGCTGGGGGTCACTTCTCCCAGGGACAGCAGTCTGCTGCTGTTGGCTGGATAGAGCCCAAGTGAGACAAACTGAGCTGCAGAGAGCTCCTAAGTTCTCGGATCAGAATGTTAACACTAAAGCCAAGTTTATTATAGAAAGGGGAAGATTAACTGGCAGAAACAAACCTATTTTTTACATTAAAATCAGTGTTCAGTACGTAGTTAGAATGTTACTTGATTAACATTACTATAGAGACAAAGGGGAAAAAATATCTATTTGTAAGGTACCGAGCTAATGATTTCTTGATTGCGTTTGACTCTCTCCATCTCTGGAGTGATTGGTGTTGGGGTCACTTTCCCCACATTTTCTTTGTACAAAACCTATAGGATACAAGGGAGTATCCAAACATCATTAAGAATGTACTTCCAGCAGCACAGAAACCACAAACAACCACGTACAATAACAGCTTCTGGTTATTATGCTTCTAAGGGGTTAGATGTAGGGCCACTGCGATTCCTGAAAGAAGCAACGGGAGCTTTGCCATTAATCCATTATCAACTGTGTGTAAAAGCAAGGTCGTTACAAGAAACAGTTAAAGAAACTGCAAAGAAACAATGGCCTTAAAAAATAATAAATCAGAGGGCAAACCGTTCTAGTTAAATCCTGCTTCAGATACTGTTAAACAGGGGAGGAGAAATCACAACTCGTTTGCAAGCACAAACTGGGGGTGCTCATGCTACCTGACAGGGGTGTTTCTTTTTCTTTTTTTAAGAGTTAGGAAGCAGAGATAAGTAAAACTGCTACTGTGTGTTACAGACATCAGGTCTTTAGGAATTGGTTTCCTGTCGAGTACCGAGCTAATGATCTCTTGATTGCGTTTGACTCTCTCCATCTCAGGAGTCACAGGGGTTGGGGTGGCTTTCCCTATGTTCTCCTTATATAACACCTATGAGACATAAGAAAGGAGCCAACAGTAAACAAACAGCTCTCTCCGTAGACAAACACAAAGGCATCTTTTCCTTGTACTCATTATCACAGGGCCAAGGTATTATAGATAAATTTCAAGGTACACAGCAATCTTTTAGTAGAGAAGTAGGGCCTGGCATACAGTGATGACTCAATAGACAAGTAAGTACTGCAAATGAGACTACAAAACACTGTGCTGACGATGTTACGGAGATATAAATTATTGTAAAGTGCATCAGCACTGCAGAGAAAATAAAGGAACTGTTTGTTATAAGATTTTAGGATTAGGGGCGTTAAAATAAGCCTTAAAACCAATCCAACTGCACCACGTTAACACAGTCAATGTAAACCACAGTAAGCCACGGTAAGAAGTGATGGCTTATTAAAGTGGCTTTAGAGCCAGGGTCAGCATCATTTTCCAGTAAGTGTCACAACGTCCACTCATTCAAACGGTTAAGTTGTTCGTTTCAGTCGAGTTACAGGAGATGTTTTGTCTTGGCAAAGTACCGAGCTACAGATCTCTTGGTTGCGTTTGACCCTCTCCATCTCTGGAGTGATGGGGGTGGGGGTCCCCATCCCCACGCTCTCTTTGTACAACACCTGCACAGCAACAAGAAGCATCCAAAGAAATCAGAGCGCAGAAATCATCACATCCCACACAAAGCCAAATATCTGAGTCCTGTGGATAGTATCATCTGCTCTCTTGTGCTACAAGCTGCCCTGAAGGCTTGGATTATAGGGTCTGATGGCAAACGTGTCCATGCCTTTATCTTACAGGTACAACAAACCCAATCCAGAAGCTGTCACCATAACACAGAGCAAATGCACCTCCGTGGTGGAGGGGAAGTTCTAGACAGCCTTCAGAGCCTGCTGGAATCCTCCTGATTCCATAACAAGAGCACTACAGTGGGAAAGCAATTACAAAAAACAATCCCCCAAGAACACAACACACACAAGTATATATTAAAAGGGAGTTGAAACAGGGAGCAAAATGGTTAAGGGTATTTAGAGTCATGTAAATAATTACACAGGTGAAGAAGTGGAACGTAAGTAGCACTGCAAAATACAGTGAAAGAGAAAGGAGGAATTTTTAACTTGATTAAACTGATTACGTGGAAGGAAGGAGAGGAGCCATTCCGTTTTTAATAAAGATTAAACAGCTCAGTTCATGGGGAGTTAAGGAACACATCTCTCCCCCCACAAAGTACCGAGCTGATGTGCTCTTGATTGCGTTTGACTCTCTCAACTTCAGGAGTGACAGGTATTGGGGTCCCTGTCCCCAGCTCCTCTTTGTACAACACCTGTGGGTAACACAGGTACGTTAAAACACCAAAAGGAACGGGCAAACAACAGCAGCACGCAGCTTAATGGGAAAGAGACCAAGCGTTATTCAAGGTTGCCCTGAGCCAAAGCCTGGATGACAAATTAAAACCTTCCTCGTAACGATGACATACTTTGCAAAGAGTTTGCTTCTCTGCACCTGTAAGAAAACCTCTCTGCAATAGTAGATGTAGACTTCCTAAAGGCAGAAGGTCACAAAGACAACCAAAAAAGGAACAAAGGAGTAAATCTGTTTCATTTACCCATTCCAAAAGCAGAGCACACACAGCAGGTTAAACCGGCCCCTATCAGAGCACCATGACACAGAGCTCATCCCCACTGGCTGGGATCACACCATGAATAGTTCAGTTTTTAAAAGGGAAAGGAGATAAAATCAGGAGAAAACCCACACGAGATTACACTGAGGTGATTAACAAAAGGAAACAGTTGATATAATTTAAGAACAAAAATTGTTTAAAGGAGATCAGAGTCAAGAGAAAGGTAGGATCCAGAAGTTGTTATTATCATTACGATTGTGAGATCAAAACAGAGGAACAAGAATGATGTAAGTAATGATTACACAGGGAAAAAAAATCAAAGGGAAAAGAAAATTTGTTTTTAGATTGATTATAAGGGAAAAAGAAACTTTGGGTGTTAAAATTATTTAGAAGTCAGAAGGGAGGTTTCTGCTTCTCAGACTACAGATACCGAGCTAACGTGTTCCTGGTTGCGTTTGGCTCTCTCAATCTCAGGAGTGACAGGGGTGGGGGTCCCCATCCCCACGTTCTCTTTGTACAACACCTGTGGACAACATAACCATGTGAAAATAAAGCAAGAGCAACCAGCAGACAACAGCAGCACTGCAGGCTGAGAGACCAAGTGGAACACAAGAGAGGTGGTTTTCTGGGCTGCAAACTGAAGGATTAACAAAAAAACCCATAGGAAACAAAAACCAGTGCTGCCCTGCTTTGCCTGTAACCTTGCTCTCCCTGTAGAACACCTCAATGCTGTGGCCTTGTGCCCAGCCCAACTGGCTCCAGCATGGCTGCAGGCCTGGGAGCTGCCATTGGGCAGCCATGGTAATGAACTCCTCAAGGAAGATGCGAAGGAAAATGCTAAAGAAACAAAGGAACAATTTTTGCTTCGTTTGCCCCCAACCATTAACGTCACCATCACCTATCAGGGCACTGAGCTCATCCCACAGTCTGCATCAGAGCAGAGACAGCTTTAACACACAGCAAAATCAAACCAAGAACCAAGGATTGAAGCAATTAATGAAAGGAAAAGCAGAGAGTAAAGAAAACCAATGTTCACAGCAAAAAAAAACAACACCTGGAATACAGAATCCAAGAGTTACTGTAATTAAGAGAACTAATCAAAACATAGGAATAAAAATGTGGTTAGTAACCATTATGCAGGGAATACCGCCAAAACAAGGGGCAGGGACACCGTTTTTGGTGTCAGTTGATTACAGGTGAACAAGGGTGACTCTGGGTGTTAAAAGGGCATTAACAGGATGAGAAGGGAATTTTCTTCTTTTCAAATGGACAGATACCGAGCTAACGTGTTCCTGGTTGCGTTTGGCTCTCTCAATCTCAGGAGTGACAGGGGTGGGGGTCCCCATCCCCACGTTCTCTTTGTACAACACCTGTGGACAATATGGCTGTGAGAAAAGAGCAGCAACAAGCAGACAACAGCAGCACTGCAGGCTGAGAGACCAAGTGGAACACAAGAGAGGTGGTTTTCTGGGCTGCAAACTGAAGGATTAACAAAAAACCCCACAGAAATCAAAAGCCAGTGCTGCCCTGCCTTGCTTGCAACCTTGCTCTCCCTGTAGAACACCTCAATGCTGTGGCCTTGTGCCCAGCCCAACTGGCTCCAGCATGGCTGCAAGCCTTGGTGCTGCCATTGGGCAGCCATGGAAGAAACCTCCTCAAAGAAGATGTGAAAGACAACACAAAAGGAACAAAGGAACAATTTTTGCTTCGTTTGCCCCCAACCATTAACGTCACCATCACCTATCAGGGCACTGAGCTCATCCCACAGTCTGCATCAGAGCAGAGACAGCTTTGTTTTAACACAGCAAAATCAAACCAAGAACCAAGGATTGAAGCAATTAATGGAAGGAAAAGCAGAGAGTAAAGAAAGCCAATGTTCACAGCAAAAAAAAAAAACACCTGGAAGACAGAATCTAAAAGTTACTGTAATTAAGAGAACTAATCAAAACATAGGAATAAAAATGTGGTTAGTAACCATTATGCAGGGAACTGCACCAAAACAAGGGGCATGGGACACAGCTTTTGGTGTCAGCTGATTACAGGTGAACAAGGGTAACTCTGGGTGTCAAAAGTGTTTTTACTGGATGAGGAGGGAATTTTCTTCTTTTCAAATGGACAGATACCGAGCTAACGTGTTCCTGGTTGCGTTTGGCTCTCTCAATCTCAGGAGTGACAGGGGTGGGGGTCCCCATCCCCACGTTCTCTTTGTACAACACCTGTGGACAATATGGCTGTGAGAAAAGAGCAGCAACAAGCAGACAACAGCAGCACTGCAGGCTGAGAGACCAAGTGGAACACAAGAGAGGTGGTTTTCTGGGCTGCAAAACTGAAGGATTAACAAAAAAACCCACAGATATCAAAAGCCAGTGCTGCCCTGCTTTGCCTGTAACCTTGCTCTCCCTGCAGAACACCTCAATGCTGTGGCCTTGTGCCCAGCCCAACTGGCTCCAGCATGGCTGCAGGCCTGGGTGCCGCCACTGGGCAACTATGGTAGAAACTTCCTCAAAGAAGATGTGAAAGTCAACAGAAAAGAAACAAAGGAACAATTTTTGCTTCGTTTGCCCCCAACCATTAACGTCACCATCACCTATCAGGGCACTGAGCTCATCCCACAGTCTGCATCAGAGCAGAGACAGCTTTGTTTTAGCACACAGCAAAATCAAACCAAGAACCAAGGATTGAAGCAATTAATGGAAGGAAAAGCAGAGAGTAAAGAAAACCAATGTTCACAGCAAAATAAAGTCAGGAAGACAGAATCTAAAAGTTACTGTAATTAAGAGAACTAATCAAAACATAGGAATAAATTGTGGTAAGTAACCATTATTCAGGAAACACCACCAAAACAAGGGGAATGGGACACTGCTGTTGGTGTCAGCTGATTACAGGTGAACAAGGGTAACTCTGGGTGTTAAAAGTGGTTTTAACTGGATGAGAAGGGAATTTTCTTCTTTTCAAATGGACAGATACCGAGCTAACGTGTTCCTGGTTGCGTTTGGCTCTCTCAATCTCAGGAGTGACAGGGGTGGGGGTCCCCATCCCCACGTTCTCTTTGTACAACACCTGTGGACAATATGGCCATGAGAAAAGAGCAGCAACAAGCAGACAACAGCAGCACTGCAGGCTGAGAGACCAAGTGGAACACAAGAGAGGTGGTTTTCTGGGCTGCAAACTGAAGGATTAACAAAAAAACCCACAGATATCAAAAGCCAGTGCTGCCCTGCTTTGCCTGTAACCTTGCTCTCCCTGTAGAACAGCCCAGTGCTGAGGCCTTCTGCCCAGCCCAACTGGCTCCAGCATGGCTACAGACCTGGGAGCTGCCATTAACGTCACCATCACCTATCAGGGCACTGAGCTCATCCCACAGTCTGCATCAGAGCAGAGACGGTTTTGTTTTAACACACAGCAAAATCAAACCAAGAACCAAGGATTGAAGCAATTAATGAAAGGAAAAGCAGAGAGTAAAGAAAACCAATGTTCACAGCAAAAAATCAACTGGAACACAGAATCCAAGAGTTACCATAATTAAGAGAACTAATCAAAACATAGGAATAAGAATGCAGTAAGTAAACATTATGCAGGAAACAGCACCAAAACAAGGGGCATGGGACACAGCTTTTGGTGTCAGTTGATTACAGGTGAACAAGGGTAATTCTGGGTGTTAAAAGGGCATTAACTGGATGAGAAGGGAATTTCTTCTTTTCAAATGGACAGATACCGAGCTAACGTGTTCCTGGTTGCGTTTGGCTCTCTCAATCTCAGGAGTGACAGGGGTGGGGGTCCCCATCCCCACGTTCTCTTTGTACAACACCTGTGGACAATATGGCTGTGAGAAAAGAGCAGCAACAAGCAGACAACAGCAGCACTGCAGGCTGAGAGACCAAGTGGAACACAAGAGAGGTGGTTTTCTGGGCTGCAAACTGAAGGATTAACAAAAAACCCATAGGAAACAAAAGCCAGTGCTGCCCTGCCTTGCTTGCAACCTTGCTCTCCCTGTAGAACAGCCCAGTGCTGTGGACTTGTGCCCAGCCCAACTGGCTCCAGCATGGCTACAGACCTGGGAGCTGCCATTAACGTCACCATCACCTATCAGGGCACTGAGCTCATCCCACAGTCTGCATCAGAGCAGAGACAGCTTTGTTTTAACACACAGCAAAATCAAACCAAGAACCAAGGATTGAAGCAATTAATGAAAGGAAAAGCAGAGAGTAAAGAAAACCAATGTTCACAGCAAAAAAAAAAAAACAACCTGGAATACAGAATCTAAAAGTTACTGTAATTAAGAGAACTAATCAAAACATAGGAATAAAAATGTGGTTAGTAACCATTATGCAGGGAACTGCACCAAAACAAGGGGCATGGGACACTGTTTTTGGTGTCAGCTGATTACAGGTGAACAAGGGTAACTCTGGGAGTTAAAAGAGTTTTTACTGGATGAGAAGGGAATTTCTTCTTTTCAAATGGACAGATACCGAGCTAACGTGTTCCTGGTTGCGTTTGGCTCTCTCAATCTCAGGAGTGACAGGGGTGGGGGTCCCCATCCCCACGTTCTCTTTGTACACCACCTATATGGTAACACAGCAGCGTAAAAAAGTATAAAACACAGAACGTATGTGAGGGATGCAGGGCAGCACAGTTATTTTGTATGGCCACTACGTCCACTAGAAAGAGGGAAAAGTTAGGAATTGTAAATCAGGTAACAATTGTGATCAATCCTGGGGAATGGTTCCAAGCTTCAGAATGGTCCTGGGGATGCTTTGACACAGCAATAAAGCATTAGAAGAGTGGAAGTGAGCAAACAGAGGAAGCAGTAATTTTTAAGAAAATAAAAATCAGAAAAATAAAAGTTTTAAAGGATGGGAAGCATTAAGTGTTACAATTATTAGAAAATCGTTTTAAAACTTTTGGATAAAAATATAAGAAAGACTGAATTTTAACAGCACAAAGGGAGCATCACTAAGTTAATTCCAGAGATCAGAACAATTGCAGGTGTTACAAAGTGCTTCTAAAATGAAGTTACAGGGAACATGTGTGGAATCAGGGAAGAGTACCGAGCTAAAGATCTCCTGGTTGCGTTTGACCCTCTCCATCTCAGGGGTCACAGGCACTGGGGTTCCAATTCCCAGCCCCTCTCTGTACAACACCTGTGTGGCAACAGGGAGGTAGGGTTTGTTTGGTTTGTGGGGTGTTTGTAAGGAAAAAAAAACAGGAAAGGAGGAGGATGGGGCAAGGAGAGAGAGAGAGAGAGAGAGAGAGAGGAAAAGAAATTGAATACAGTGAAACCTGCAGGTATGACAAACACAGTTCTGTCACAGCCTTGTTGTTCAAAAGCTAGCAGAAAAAAGCCAACAAAATAATCAGCTAATGGCTAACGTTTTGCAGTTCTGCTTCCTTCCACAAGGAAGTCAATCTGCTTACTTAAACAAAAGATCTTAATGGTCAGCTTTCCCTCTAGGACTGCCCTCACAAGTATAAAAGAGAACAGTGATGATCACAGACGATTGAATGTAGCATCAAGTGTGACTACAGGGGCTTCTCTGAACTCTACTAGAAATGTCGTCAGCTCAGGTCTGAACTTTGCATCTATCATGTCAGAGTCAGAATCAGCCCTAAGTCACTGCAATTGAAATAGAAATAAACATGAAAGCTGCGAAGTAGGGCACTTCAAACTGTGCATGGTGATTTGACTGGAACGTGCCAGAAACAGAAGTAATTCTGGATAGAAATGCATTGCCACAGTCATTTCCCCTTGTCTGTGCAATTTTCTCCATTACTCGTATTACAGTGATAAAAGTTTTCTCACACAGACCTGCAGGACACAAGAAAGCATCCAACAAGCAAAAACACGCAGACACGCTCTGGCTTCATTAGTCTGCTTTGCTTTAGGAAGTGTTAAGAGTTCATTTTGGTTTAGCACTGCACCAGCATGGCGAGTCTGAAGAGCATTAGAAGGATCAGCTTTGCTATGGAGGAATCACCCACACTGTCACTGTGTCAATGGGAAGAAGAAATAAGGCACTGCTTAACTGATTTAAGTAAATGAGGGGTGGGATCTCACAGCTGGGATAATTTAATGGCAGTTATGCTAGACGGAGGGAAAAAAAAATACAATGTAAGGATACTGGTAAGTTTTAGTGACTTGATTAAGGAAAGGGTTGTTCAAATTCACAACCAAATTGAAAGAGAAAATTAATATGGAGCAGTTAAAGGGATGGGATTTGCAGTCTCAGGGGTGGGGCTTGCTTTACTGGGCTATACCGAGCTAATGTTCTCCTGGTTGCGTTTGACTCTCTCCATCTCTGGAGTGACCGGGGTTGGGATGCCCATCCCTAAGCCCTCTTTGTATGACACCTATGAGGTACAAGAGAATTTGCAGACAAAAAAAAAAACACCCAACCAACACAAGAACAAACGAAAACCAGCATTCAACATAGGCAAAACAATTACATCTCTCTATTCTGTGAGTTGTGTTTAGCGTTAGGGTCACTTTCTCATTAATTGCACGCTTGTTCTAGAGGTGAATATTAAGGAAGTGGCTGATTATTCTGTAAATATGGGTACATATCCCAGGAGATAAAGGGTTAAGATAAAACAAGCACGGAGAGGAACACCAGATTTATAAAGGTATTTCACAGCTTATAAAGGTTTTGGTTCTTAAAAAGAAACGCATGTAAAGTTGTAAATCACTCCAAAAAGTTAAAGCACAAAAAAGGTGGAAGAATTGAGTTAAAAATATTGCCAGAGACAAGAAAGGAGTGGGGTGAGGTGAGATTTTAAATCATTGGCAAAAAAAGGAGTACGTGTTAGGATGTTACACAAAAATGATGTAACTTTTTCTTAAATACCGAGCTAATGTGTTCTTGATTGCGTCTGACTCTCTCTATTTCTGGAGTTACAGGTGTTGGGATACCTGTCCCCAGCTCCTCTTTGTACATGACCTGCAGAATACAAGCACCCAGAAAGATGAGATGTGTCCCTTCCCCAGCATTGACAGAACACCTGGATAGGCACTTCAGCTGCTCAGCAGATAAATACAATCTGGGACATCAACATGCACTGCATTGCTTTGACTGAGCGTGGATTTACGCAAAGTAAACGTCCACATTTAGGAGCTTCAACACAATGAAGCCAATGGATTACTTCACTATAATAGGACACACATTTAATTACTCTGCTGCTAATCTGGCATAAAATATAGGTAGTCTTTGCTTTTGACCTTAGTTTAGAATAGTAACAGTACTACTTCTCAGGCAGTGAACACTTCGGGAGCTTTGTTTGTTAGCAAACAGCTGCACTTAGATGTGTAATCCACTTCATTTTAATACCTACCTTCAGAAAATCAACACTTGGTTTCAAGTGAGAAACACCACTGAGCCATAGTGCTCATATTTCCCTATTTCACAGAATGATAGAATGGCCTGGGTTGCAAAGGAGCACAGTGCTCATCAGTTCCAACCCCCTGCTATGTGCAGGTCACCAACCAGCAGCCCAGGCTGCCCAGAGCCACATCCAGCCTGGCCTTGAATGCCTGCAGGGCTGGGGCACCCACAGCCTCCTTGGGCAACCTGTGCCAGTGCATCACCACCCTCTGAGTGAAATTTATTTAATTTGATCTACACCTGTTTGACTATTGCATTTCCCATGACACAAAATGTACAGAAGATGCTTGGTCTAAAATCTAATCATGCAGGAATACATTACAAATGCACTAGCAGTACTTAAAATTCATAAAAAATTGCAAACTGCATTTCACTACTTGCTGTCATTGAAACAAAGAATAATAATACAAAAATAAAGGATACACAGAAAGAGAGAACAAATGATGCAACTTGAAGGTCAGAAAAATGAAACACAGTTTGAAAAACCAACTGCTATGCACTAGTGAGCTGTAAAAATCAATACTATCACAAAAAGCTTAAGAGAGAAACTACTTAACATTAGGAGCAGTAAATCATAAGACATTCATCCTATGGCAGCTCCTCAGCATTGTATAGCAAACAGCCAAGGTACCAACAATCACAAGACTATACTCTCCTTCAATACTGTATTGAGAGAGCAAAGTAAGGCTGCAGGAAACGATGGCTCAAAGTCAGGAGAACTGGATTTGATTCTTAGACTCTACAATTAATTAAACATGGAGAAAGCAGATACTTTTTTCCATTTATAACCGTTGCTAGGATCTTTGACTACAAAAAGAGGCTCCAATTTACTTCTTTCTCTCTAGCTGCTCCATTTTTTTGGAACAGTAAGATCTCCTCCATGTATTTTTTTTATTTCATTTCTGTGGTCACAGAAATAATGCAGGGAAGTGATACAGCTGTAACGATGGCTGCAAAATTCAACTTCCTGCTGCAGAAGAAGGGATGTAAGGGATTTGTTCTCCTTTCAACAACAACAACAAAATACCCATAAACACTACCAGAGGCTGCAAACTGAGCTCTGAGAAGTTATAGAGAGGTAAGTAGAAAATATTGGCCACTACCGAGCTGATGTGCTTCTGCGTCTCCTTGACACGTTTCACCTCTGGGAGATCAGGAATTGGAGTTCCTTTTCCAATGCTCTCCTTGTACTTAATCTACAAAGGCACAGACATTAGAAAAAATCAGAATTTATGTTAAAGCACAGTTGATGCGTGGTACAGGTAACTGCATGAATAAAAAAAGCATGGGGCACTTACATTGCACAAACTCTCTGAAATTAAATATATATGTGTGCATATATATATATAAGTATATATAATAATCTAAAAATTTTAGCCTAATGGCCTTAAAATAGGCACCTGGATTCCTATAAAGAGCATTATTCCAATTTCAAGGAGGTGGACAATTTAGAAGATCTCACTGGCTCCAACACGAGCAGAAAGCTGGTGTTCCAGCACTCCCACTGCCATTACAAGCAGCCTGCTGGGTGAGATTTCACTATGAATGGCACCCTCATCAAAAGGTTTTCTCAAGACTATTGTAAATGCCTTTGAACAGATTCAATATGATCTGGAATTAATTACATTAAATTAAATTACATCAATATGATGTAGAATTCAGAATTTGTAAAGATCATCATTATTCAACAGAGCTGAGGACCGTCATACAATAGTTTAGCAATTAAGTTTTGATATCAGTGCTATTTTCATTTCTACTTTAGTATAACCAAAACAGGACAACAGTATCTTATGAGAACATATTCAACACAATATACAGGAAACAAGTGGCTGAAATGTTAGCAGCTCTTACACAAAAATCACGTCCAAATTTCTTTAGAAGTGTAAAAAACTCTCGAAAGAAAAGAATTACACACCATTCTTCCAACATTAGAGTATTACAGTGTTTTAAATACGACAGTTTTACAAGACATGCTTTAGTAGGCTGCCCCTAACTTCCTCACAAAGGACAGGTCAGATGGGTGCACAGTGTGCTGGACTGGAATGTGGCTGAATGAGCAGTCCAGAGCTCTATGATCAATGTCATGGGAGCCAGCTGGAGATCAGAGCACAAGGAGCGTGTTCCAGGGGTCCACAGTGGGGCCAGTGCTGTTTTACATTCATTAGTGGAGGCTGGGACAGAGGGCACTCCCAGCTAGCTTACAAATGGCACACAAGTGGGAGGAGCGGCTGAGAAACTCTGCAGTTGTGTTGGCATCTAAAGGGATGCTGACAGGCTGGAGAAAAGGGTTGACAGGAAACTCATGAAGTGCATGGGGAAATGTGAAGTCTTGCACTGGGGAGGAATAGCAGCAGGCACCAGAACATGCCAGCTGGCTGATTGGGAAGCACCTCTGCAGAGAAAAGCCTTGGTGACCTGGTGCACAACAAGCTGACCGTGAGCAGCCACGCACCCTTGGGGCAAGGAAGGCCAACAGACCCTGGCCTGCACTAGGAAGAGCAGTGCCAGATTGGTGATCCTTCCCCTCAGCACTGGTGAGGTCACACCTGGAGTGCTGTGATCAGTTCTGGGCTCCCAGTACAAGAGGGACGTGGAAAGATTCCAGCACAAGGCCACAGAGTTGATGAAGGGACCGGAACATATTTGATACGAGATGGGGCTTAGAGAGCTGGGGCTCTTCAGCCAGCAGGACAGGAGACTTGGGAGGAACTAATCAATAGGTGTAAGAACCTGGAAGGAAAACAAGGGAGCAACTCTTCTCAGCAGTGCCCAGTGATGCAATGAGCAGTGATGGGCACAAGTTAAAAAATAGGAAATTCAATCTGAAAGTAGTAAAATATTTTGTTAACTGTGAGGCTGGTCGGACAGCAGAGCAAGTTTCTCAGAGAGACTGTTGGGTCCTTCTGAATATCTAAAGTCCTTTGAGGTATTAAAACTCAGAGCAGTGCAGGACAACCTGCCCTAGCTGAACTCAACTGAACAAAGGAGCTGGAGTAGATGCTGTTAAGAGGTGCTTTTCCACCCAAACAGTTACTTCAGTCTCTTATAAATAAAATGTGTTTGAGATGAGATTAAAAATATGACAAGTGCTTTCAGATTTTAGAAATCGATTGTAAGTAACAAATTGAATATTAATCATTAGAAAGATTAAGTCACAAGAAGAGGCAAAACTTTTAGAAAGTAACCCTCAGCTGAACGGATTATTGCCAACAGTTAGCAACATTTAAAGAAGTGAGAGGGGAAAAGAACATTACTTCAAGTTGAATTAGCACCTGTAGAGTATTAAAAATCAATTGTTTTGTACCGAGCTAATTGCATCCTGGGTTCTCTTAACTCTCTGCATCTCTGGCGTCTTTTCAATAGTAGTTCCAGTTCCAATATCTTCTTTATATAAAATCTTAACATTCAGAATCAAGACAACAAGGTTAAGCATTCAAAACACAACATTATTTCTCCAAGAGAGTGAATAAAGTTTCACGACAGTGATTTGCACACAACAGTGCAGGATGAAAGCAAACATGAAGGACCACCTGCAGTCACTGCTTTACTGCCTGTCTTGTTTCCACCAAGTGCCATTTGTGCAAAAACAGGGCTGATCATTTATGTTTGTAGTTATGCATTTTAAGGAGACTATCAAAACATTTTAGGAATGAATAACTAGAACAAGTACTGGTTCAGTTTGTGCTTCCAGTTCCAGTTTGTTTGGGCATGTTTCACACAAATTCCTTCCACCCACTAATGGTACTAATGGTACTGGTGGCAAAACAGCAGACAATAGGCACTTCATGGTAACACATGACATGTGAAACATCAGGCAGGCAGTTCATTTTCCACTGAAAGAAAAAAGTTGCAACACAGCAAGACTGCACTACTTACATGGCAACAGAACAAAAGAAAGGTGGACACTGGAAACATATCAAGCACAGGGATGATAGTTCAGCTATATGACAGCTAAATACATGGAAAAGACTGCAATCAGAGAACTCCACAAGTGACAGTAGATAAAAAGGAGTACCTTAAATCAGATAAATCTGCTTACAATAACACTAATTTCTTTGGAAAAAAACCTTACACACATTTCAGTGAAGAACGTAACTGTCTATGAGGAAGAGACTAAAATAATTATTGTATTAAACACACCGCATTAAACCCTGGAGGGTCTTTTTCCTTGGAATGAGCATTGAAAATAGAAAAATAACTGTACCGAGCTGAAATTCTTCTGGTTTTCCTTCACACGCAGCATTTCTGGTGTATCTTGTACAACTGTCACTTTTCCTTTACTGTTCTGTAGGTCCCACTGGTACTGAAGCTGTTGAAAAAGTTGTAGTAAGAAGTCAAATGTTGACCTTATGCCACAAAAATTTACTCACAGAGCTTTCTTTGAAGGTAAGAAAAATATTTTCAAGTACACCTTATAAGGTGCTCATTTTAACATCACCAACAGTGATATTAAGACATACAGTTACAACTATTCTGACTTAAATTTGTAACAGGAGATCAACTGCCTCCATCAAAAATCTTGAAAGGTGCCAGACCGGGGCACCTTTCTCAACAATTAAAGATCTCAAGCCACAAGAAGGAGAAATTGTTCCTAACCATACAATCTTGCATTTATTCCCATCTAACAACTTCTGCAACTGTAATTCTTTATTATTAGCAAAGGAGCTGTCGAAACACAGCAGAAACAAGTTTTGTTCCGAGGAAGTCAGAGACTCATTTTGTTCCTTTGTGTGAGAGGGCTGCTGTATACAATGGGGAGCACCTGGATGGGGATCACTGAGAATGTAAAGGTAGACCAGGAGGGATTCAGGTGTGGTATTTGGACCTTATTAAGTGTCAAAAAAAGCTGTATATTTTTTAATTGTTTGACAGCAGCAATATTCTGTGCACACGTACCGTGCTGAAGTTCTTTTGATTCTCACGGACTCTCTGCATTTCTGGTGTGTCTGCTACAGGCACATAGTATGGCATGGTCTTTTCTGCCTCCTCCTTGTACTTTTTCTGATACAAAATACAAAACACATGCTATTAGTACAAAAGAACTAATAAACAGCCTGTCTCTACTTACTGTTGCATAATGCCCATCTTTATGGAATTCTGAGCACTTCTGTTTCAGATACACTTCTGTGTAGGATTCATTTTAAAGTTACTAAGGGATAGGAAAATTCAGCTACGTTTACTTAAAACAAAAAACAGCTTTGGGACTGCAAAACCAATAGAAATTACCGTTCCACGTCAGACAGCATTAAAATAAATTAATTTCAATATTTAATTGTCACCGTTCTACCACCATCAGCTTTTCTGGTGTATCTCCTGAATGCAGGAGATACAGGAGATTATTTAGGTGCTCCTGATCAGTATCCACTCCAGGTTCCCACAAGAGCAGTAACTGTATTCCTTTATACTCAAGGTACCTGGCTTGAAAGGTTTTTGACTTGCTGGGCATGAATGATCTCTGGAGTATCGACAACACTGGTGTAGTTGGCCTTCTCCATTTCTGCCAACTGTTTGTATTTGATCTGTCAGGGAAAGCTCACATTTAGATGCATTCATCATATCTTAGCAATGACTTGCATTCCAACAAACAAACACACACACTGATTTTTTCCTTTAAAGACAGACAGCAGATAAATGAGTCATGCACACAGACCTGGCTAGCAATGTCGGTGGCATTCTTTGCTCTCACAAAATCGGGTGTTTCCAAAGCCAGTTCTGATAGACCTTTTCCTTTGATTTCTAATTCCAAGGCTTTTTTGTACTCTTTCTGCAGATGAAGACAATAAAGAGATATTTTACTGATGTGAATGCTATCCCCTTGGCAATTTCAGGTATTGTCATGACCACACCACTAAGCAGGACTACAATTTCTATAAGCTTAGAATTAAACATACACATGATGCCATCACTGTGAACTTTATAACGTAAATATTGAGAAACAACAGTCCAACTGAGATCCTCCAGTAAGGTCTAAAGGCTTGCTGTAAGTACCAAAATGCTGTTGTCAATCAGCATGCTCATCCTAAGGGTCTGTGTTAACAACTCGTATCAAATTAACACTAAAATGTTACTTTTTTCAGCTTCAATCTGCTGATATTAAAACCCTTAAAGCACGACCTAACTTTATCTTCTGAAAATAGTCACTATCCAGTGTTTATTTTAACAGTCCATTCTGTAAATAAATGAGGTGAAGTTTGCATTTCATTCTCTGCTGGCCACCTCTCTCCACTGGGGAAGAGTCCACCTTGGCCATCAGCCCTGTAGCAGTCAACAGCTGGCCTGGGCAGGTGGAACTGCCCCACCAGCCTTGCTGCTGTTTTTGAGACACCCAGAAAGCATTTATCATTTAACAGGAGCTCTTTGCTTCACTAACATTAGTCACCATATACATTCTATTTTATTCTTTTCTGTCCACTCAGGAGTTCGTAGGCAGTGACCACATCCTGGTGTTCCGTACCTCATTCAGGATCTGAGTTGCATTCTTTGCTCTTAACATGTCTGGAGTCTCCTCCAAAACTGATAGTCCTTTACCTTTGACACCCTCCTCCAGATCCTTCCTGTATTCTTTCTGTGGAAGAAAGAAAAGCACAAAGCCAGACTACAGAAGAGCTCTACACACTCCAGCTGTATTGCAAAGATGAAAAAAAAGAAAAAACAAAACCAAAATTAAACTGAAAGCTCCAAATTAAAGAAGGACTTTTGAAAACAGCAAAGAATATTTTTTAGGGTTATAAAAGAGCCACTGCAATGGAACAGAGTGCAGTTATTACTGTTCAAGATAAACTGCAAGGGCACACATGTACACATTCCACTACAGGACAGTTATGTTGAAGTATGTCAGAAGGGGACACAGTGAACATGAATACAGTTAACAAAAAACAGGTAAGTGTCCATGACAAATTAGGTCACAACACAAAATATATGAAAACATGCTTAAAGTGAATGGTTAGGAAAAAGAAAGTGGTGAAGAAAAAATATTGTTGAGAATACTTAGTGGAATTATTTAACTCGTAAGAGGAAACAAAAACAGAGTAACTGCTACCTCGCTTGCTATTTTGGTTGCATATTTGACATGTAATAAGGATGGTGTTATCTCCAAGCCAGTAAGGTTTCTGCCCTTAATGGACTCTTCAAAGTCCCTCTTATATTCTTTCTAATGAGAATAAGAAGAAAAAAAGCAAAATAGCAAATACTTATTACATTATTCTTAATTACATGAAAAACTTCTGGGAGAATGGAGAAGGAGCAGAGTTTGGTATTAATGGCACAGTGATGATCTTCTACAGCCAGTGCTGCTGAGAGCTAAATTAATCAATCTTCTTTCTGTTCAAGTCCATTAAATAGCTCATTACTTCCAATGCAGATATGACCTGGCATTATGTTTGTTTGCTTGTTTCCTACATATTTGTATGGGCAGAGAAAACATTTAATGGAGTCATTCAAACACAACGACTAAGGGCCTCATACAAATGTTTTTCAACACGGGTAAGCCTTCATCTGCAACAGAACAAGATAATAGTTCAAACAAACAAGAAATAACTGCCTTAGGAAATAGAACAACAGTGAAGAACACTGTGACAACGGAGACAAACAGGCAGCAAGTGGGTTTTTCAAACACAGAGTTCTCAGGTGAAAAGGATAACCAGCACATTTTCTGTGGACGACGGTAGCTGACATACATAACATGATCCTGTGGCAAGAGTTTAAGTGAAGTATATTTCATTCTGCATTGCTTCTAAGCACTCAAAGATTTCCTTAAGCTCAATTTACTGACAGCTTCTCGATGGAAAATTACAGAAAATATACACTTCACAGTGGCACAGGAAAAGGACACAATTCTTAAATAGTATCTTACCACCAGTATAAAGAAATGTGACAATTTTTCAAGCTATTGGCATACACAAGACACAAATATAATTGCAAGTGAAAATCAGTGTGAAAGTTTAACTATAAAAAAAAATAGATGTTAAAGTTGCTTTAGCTTCTAAGTATTCCTTTTAACCTTACCTCACTCTGCATGAGCTGAGATTCCTTTGCAGTTAGGTATGTTGGAGTTTCAAAGTCCAGCATAGGTTTACCTTTTTCCTTCTCATACTTTTCTTTGTATTTCACCTAAGAAGAAAGGAAAACAGTTACCCTTCAAAATAATCAAATAACTTAGCTCTTCAGCTAGTATATGCCTACTGTGATCAACTGATCTCTTGTAAAAAAAATGAACTTCTGACACTGATTATCTTCCTGAAATACATATTATTGACCTTAAAATGTAAAATCAAAGGTCAGCCTTGCAGCTCAGTGTGTATGGCATAAAATTCTAGTGACATATCTCCTGTTGCAGAGAATAATCAGCATCAGCTCTGATTTCAAGAAATAACTGATGACAAGAAGGAAGACAGGAAGTGTACAAAACTAGCCTGAAAGCACTCAGTCTGCTCCTGATGATGGTTGAGTTCAGCCATGTTAATAAACTGCTTTAGTGTTAGTGGGAGGGCTTGAGAAGATACAGCTCAGCATCTTCTTCCCTAAGTCTGTGCATTTGTATCCAGTGAGTGAACTGTCCCCACAGTTAATACTTTCTGCTTCCCCACACAGTATCCTGTCTTTATCCATTTTCAAACTGCTGCAGGAGGCAATGCTCTGTCCTTGGCTCAGACCAATCTCAACCTCACACCAGAGCAACAAGTGGTTGCTCTTCCACTACATTTGGACTACGCTAAAAACTGATGAACAGTCATTTTCTTGTAGTCATCTACTATGCAGTTTATTTACAGTTCAGTGCCATTTTTCTGCAGCAGAACATAATCTACAGCCCTTCATGTTCCAGTAGTAACTTCTCTCTTGCTTTAGGCCCAATAAATACCTGGAATGAGGAGGATTAAAAGACCAAACCTGAGGATAAATGCCCTCTTTTGAGGAAAAGAAGCGTCAACAGCCATACCTAAGAGCAGCAGTGGTTTGTTTTCATTAAAGGAATTATGCATGCAGAAAAAGAATGGTAGAGTTCTTCTCTGTATCACTTGAGACTGGAATGGACAAAGCAACTGAAATTTGCTCTCAGTTACAATATTTTTTTTTTCCAATTTCCAGTTTCTGAGATTATCAAGTCTACTTTAGTATAGATGAAATCCCCTTAGTAAAAGTATTATGCTGAGTATCCATCCAGATACAACATGAATAAGCAAATAGGAGATTTACTCTACAATGAAGACCTCATGAATGTTTTATATGTGTTCTAAACTTGCAAATGTACAAACATTTCTCATTGACTTTTGTCCTCTCAAGCATGCAGTGTTCAAAAAGCAGATTGGCACAAATTTCTATGCATCAGAGAAATTGCTAGGATGGTTTCAGTGGTGGAGACTTCAGAACTCAATGAGTATGGTTAATGAGAAACACGTGACCAACTTACGTGGCTCTGCAGTTCTGATGCCTCCCTTAGATGAACCTGTTCAAGATTATCTGGCACCATATGGTAGTGACCCTTACTCTTCTCATATTGCTTCTTGTACTGGTACTGAAGGGAAGGTGTCAAAAATCATCTCAATAAAAAAAAAATCCCTCAGCAAATCTACTTCTTAGGTCCAATCAAAGCAACACTTCAATGGAACATCAAAGAGAAATGAGAAATACAAAACGCAAGACAAAAACAAGAAGTTTAACTCTCAGCATCAAATCATTTTTAAAGATGTGAGTTGTCTTTTTGGATCATTTTGATTGCAGCAAAATTTTTTCAAAACCAGGAATGAAAAAAAAGGAAGACAAAAAGTAAATAAGAAAAAAACAACCAAACAAGACAAAGGCAACACAGTGGATACATAAAAAAGGCTGTGCCAGGCAGCAATGATTTTCATATTTCCTCAATAAAATTTTCAAGTATTTTGTTAGAAGTAATTCTGTACCTCTACAGTAGGAGGACGTTAAACGTAAAAAGGAAATGAAAAAGCAGAGAAAAAAAAAAAAAGTTTTAAATATAGTAAGCAATAAAGAAAAAATAAAAAAGAAAGAAGAAAATAGCATTTGTTAGTGAGATGAGATCAGTTAAAATGTAATAAAGAAGGAATCCACTGAAAACGATTAGTGGATTTAAAATACTAGCAGCTCTACAGCTAATAAAGATTACACTTCCAGAGAACAAATGTGAGAAAGTTGCTAGTTCACTAGGAAACAACAGTTAGAAAGTAGAGAAGAGATCACTACCAGGTGATGGCCCAGGAACTATAGCAAAGGGAGTAATCATTAAAGAAATAATTAGCAGAGATCAGTTCAGGCTGGAATCAGTGGGAATGGAAAAGTCAAATGGATCTGGGGTTAGTTAATGAGCTTACAGCACTGGCCAGCTGGCTGGTATTCAGGACATGGTTCATGATCAGCGACTCAGACATGTCTGTGACAGGCTTATGAAGTTTCTTGAGATCTGCTTTGTATTTCACCTGGGGATATGAAAGGAAAAACGACATCAGTGAAGATGGAGGAAGCCTTTCCCATAGAAAATCTGAAACTTTTAGGGCAATGTGTAAGTGAGCATACCTCACTAGCCATGTTGTGAGCATCTTTCATGGTCTTGTAGATTTTAGCCTCCTTCAAATCATACTTTGGCTTTTTACCCTTCTCTTTGGAAAAGTTCTCCTTGTATTTCACCTAAATGTAAAAACAACAAGATATTACATCTGTTCTCAAGTATTCACCTTGGCTGTGGAAGGCAAACAGACCGTAGTACATTCTGACTGCAAGCAGAATAACAAAAATGCAGTAACTTGAAGGCATCCACTGGAATAAAGGTTACTTTAAAGATCATCTAATATGGAAAGAAAATCCACATCTGTATTTAGGAAATATCACTTTCAATCAGTGCACATGTAACATCTCCTCATTGTAAAAACAGTAACAAACATAGACAAGAGAGGTGTTGACAAGACACGGACAAGTTCTGATCCTCTGTGAGATGAAGAATTTCTCATTCAATGGCAACTGTGCATACACATAAGACATTTCACAAAGAGACAAATACTGACAGCACAAAGACTGTTGAAAATAAGCTTATAACATTCTTTTTGGAGAAACACAAGCTTTTAAGGCAACCTCAGGACACATCAGCATCAAAGACCATCAACATATCAAACACATAAATACATACTGTTAAACACATGTTGTGTTTGTAGGAAGCAGAGACAGATGATAATGATCACATACACAGGACTCTAGGAATCAGACTGGATAAGGGGCTTAGCAACACTTCCAGAAAACAGATTAATATCAGCAAGGTGAACTGGATCAATGTAAGCTAAAGTATTTCAGCAGACTCAGGCTGGAGGCACATATGGCAGGCTGATGACAAATGGGAGTTTGGCTAATGACTTTAATGAGGACATCTTCATTCATCTCCTCCATCCCTGTTGTTAAAGGGTAACTCCTCACTATTTCTTGCATATCTGCAAGAGGCTGTTCCATTACGAACAGTTTTGTTTTAGTATATATATTTGCTGCCAAAGATTCACAAAATTGTTTCTGAGGAGTTGTAGAAGACTGTAAGAAAAAGAACCTCAAATAATCCATGACTTGCCTGCTTGAATGCAGAATAAAATCACTTTGTATAATCATATTTCACACTTCTGAATTCACTGGCATATTCTTGCCCATCCATCACCATGCAGTTCATGCTCCATAATGCCACTGCTCTTTTGCTTGGCAAAACATGCCAGCATTCAGGTGAAGCACACAGTGAAACAGGTAAATCTACAAATTATGGAGCTGCTGTAAGAGAACAATACTCAACATTTTTGACATTAAAAGAATCAGTATTAGTCCTGACCTCACGAAAGTGGAAATAAGCAAGCATACAAGAATACAAGTTATGAAAGCCATGCAACATATGTTGAAGATCAGACCATCATGCCAAAGAGTTCACTGCTTGTAAGCCCAGAAATGTTACTGAAGAGCTACACAAACTGAAAGCAAGCATGCCAGACAGCAGAAATACAACCCCCCCAAAAAAGATAAGTGGATAAACAAGCTGCTTTAAGAAGAAGCTTCACAAAGAAGACATAATGTTTCATAAAGAATAAATTCATGAGAAGAAATACCCAAGAGAAAAAGAAAGTGAAAGATGATGCCAATTGGTATTTGCCCCCTTAGCATCTCTGAAAAAGCTGATTTGCTCTCAGGACCAAAATCTCATCAAAGGAGTTTATAAGACTAAGAGGAGAGCTGGCTGGCCTTGGAGCAAAAGCGTGGAAAAGGAGGAGGAGCTCATTATCACTGCGTGGAAATAGACATCATTTCTTCTTTCTCTTGTACAGCAGCTGTTCCAGATGAGGTGTCAGTTCAAGAGTCCTCAGTAGTACCAAAACGATTCTTGCTTTCCCCAACAAGCATGGTGGCTGTCATTAAAGCATGCAAACTTACATGCAGTACTTGTGACTAGATGCAGAAAAAAACCATAATCCTCCTTTTTCATTTGCAAATACAAGTGCCAAACCGAAATGGCACGGATCTGCCTGCTGCACTTCAAAGCTGCCATGCAGCCACAGGCCTTCTGTTTTCCAGAGCTCTTGACAGCAAGGAATGTAAGAAAATATTCGCCCTCAGATCACTACAACGCACACTTCTCAGGGCTTATTTAATCATACACCATTATGCCACTCCAGAACAATGTAAACAGAGTAGTTCAAGTAAAAAATACGAACAGAATTATTAAAATAATAATAATAATGTGAATATTCTGCATGTGGAATGACTTTTCACTTGAAATAATCATAGCATTGTAAGGGTTTGGCATAAACATTTCTGTTTTTCATACAGCCTTGGAAAAACCAGCTCAAGCTTATATTGCTGCTTTTAGGATTTTGGGGTGAAAGAGGTGAGCAGTGCAGGAGTGCATTGGAACTTCTATTAAAAACAACAAAGTTTCAAAACCATCCTTGAAGGCACAGCAGCGTTTCAAGCCTCAAGAGGTGCTTCTGGAAGAGACATTCCCCATGCACACAACTCCCATGCACAGTCTTCCCAAATGGGAAAAAAAGGCACATCTAAATATGCAGTCTCAACATTCAACACATTTGACAGAAGAAGACCCAGCGTAACTGGTGCATCATAGATCCTTCAGCAACACGGAGTTGTAAGTGCACAGGAAAGAGACAGATGCAGAAAAATGGCATTCCCAGTCATGTCACTTAAAATTATCTTACATGACTACTTAGCATATTAGCTTTCTTAAACGTTCTCATCCATGGTGTATCATAAGATGCAGCTCCGTGCCCCCTCATGTGCCGCTTCAGGTATTCCGCCTACAATGCGTAGCAAGAGAGCAAGATCAGAAATGCATTTTGTTATGCATGACAGGATGAAAGCATGAAGCAGGAAGGAAGAACCAAGCAGAACCGAGGTCCTGGTGGGAGAAAACTCACAGGAAACCATCTGCTTCAGACTAGTTGCAGAACACGACCGGTGCAAAAGAGTACACAAGCTTCTGTTAACACAGCATACCGACTCCAAAACAGAAGATTTAAGACACAAAATAGAAAGAAAGTGGCTGAAAGAAACTGCTTGTTCATCGCATGAGGGATGACTGTGAAGAGTCAGGTAAAAGGCTGCTTCTTTTAAAGCCAGTACCCAGAAATGAGGGGGAGGGGAGTAGAAAGCATGACTAACGTGCCAGCCTTAGTACTGTGTATAAGTGCTTCATTTTCTTTTTTCATACAAATGAATAACCAGCATATCTGCATCTATTTCACCCTGGAGACAGAACATGTACTACAAACTCTACACTTTTACAAAAAAAAACAGCTTCCAATACCAGCAAGCCCTCATTTTAAACAACACTTTTCTGAAATCAATCAGCTGGCTGTTAGAGGCAAAGACTATCTTCAGTTTTAATCTACAGGACATACAGACTTAGGCAACCAAACAACTAGGATCTAACAGAGTCTTGTAAGAAGGCCAGTTAACTCCTTGCACACCAACTATTTTCAGCATTTCACAGAACTTACACATTTGTGATAGTTATTCAGAAATCTGTATGTTTCTGTATTTTAACTTTCCATATGCCATCAGAATTTGAGACTGCATACTGAAGAATTCTAAGTGCCATTTTCAAGAAGATGGAAACATGGCAAGCATTTTAGAGATGACAGAATAAACTGCAGAGAAATTAAATGCCTCATCTCCTAACTTCTATGAATCCACTCTTGCCTGTACAGAAGGATTGCTTCTGCTCCCATTGAAGTTAGCAGAGTTCTAGAATCTGGGTGCAGTTTTCCACCAGTCCAGTTTTTGTCAAAGTGACTGGGTGCACTTTAGGAAAGCCACAAACACTGAATAAATGACTACAAGAAAGTGGTGGGTCACATCTGACAGCAAGCAGAATCAGACTCTCAATTAGGTGTTTGCTTAACCTCACACTGGGATGTACCTTATACTTTAAGGTGCTCCTTTAAAAATATTCCCTTATTATTTAACCTAGAAATAATTCTAGTCAAAACATTACTCTAGAAGTTAATGGTGTGTTTCTTCTCTCAGTGCTTCCAACTTTCACAGCTTTGTGTTATTACCTGACTGGTTAGCTTGGACACTTCCTTCGCCAGCTCAATATCTGGACGGCCCAGCATGGTCACACCAAGGCCAGCTTCTCCACGCTTTTTATATTCAATCTAACAAAGAAAGAAAGATTTATGTATATTTTAGTATCGATGAAACGCTCTTTTGATTGCTCTGTAACACTGTTTTCAGAGTAAAATTAGTGCTACAGAAACTATAAAGAAGATTTAAAAAACAACCACCACTCACATCACTAATTAACTTAGCAGCCTGAGTTGCTTTCTTAATATCCGGGCGATCTGCAATAGGTGTGTAGTGGAGCTTTGACTTGGCATCTTTCTTGTATTCAATCTAATCCATGATGACAGACAAAGGAAAAAAAGATTACTGAGTTTGTTCATGAGGAAATTATGAGGAAATGCATGCAGTCAAATTGCACAAGAAATAAGCATACACAATTCTGATTATATGTGAAGGAAAGAAATAAGTTATTTACATGCTTTGTGTAAGATTACTTCACATTATTAACGATAAATATGACTTTCAAAGACATTCTTTATTTAAGTGCAATTTTACATCTGTAAAAATTCACAGCCTTATCCTTCAGACTTATACCTGGATGTGGAGGCTGGGAGAAACCCAGAAGTGTGTCAGTTTTTGCCTGGTGACTTTGATTTAATTTTCTTACACAAACCAGTTAATTCATGAAAGCACAAAACACACTTACTGTACTCTGTTTTTTAGCAACTTCCATGGCATGTTTCACTTCAGGAGGCTCCAGCATGATAGAATAATTAGACTTGCCTTTCTCCTTCACAAACTTCTTTTTATAGTTTGTCTACGAAGAACAAAAAGGGCTATGAGTGATTTTTTCTTTATTTCACAGGCAGGTAAATGCTACTGAAGCTTACAAACGAGTTCACTGAAGCTGTTGAGACAGATAAAATGCAGTGTCTTAAGCCTCAAATATTAAGGCCGCTGTGCATTTGTCTTAATCTACATTTCACATTACATAAACTGGCTGTTTGGAGGATCTTTGTTTCAACTGTGTTCTATTAAAAAAGAAACCTGAATTAAGGACACTCATTCATTTGCACTCAAGTCTGTCCCTTTTCTCCAGAGTATCTCCACAATATTCCAACTGTTCCTACAATTCCAAATTGTAACAATTTATCTTTTCTGAGTCCTTGTGCATTCTATGATAAGACTCCACCATGTAGACTCAAATATGAAACACTCTCATCAATTATAGGTACCAGCTATCAATCTCACAGCAAATTAGTACTGCAGAAGTTACTTACATCACTGACGTTCTTGGTCACCTCTTTCACATGAGCAGTGTCTCTTGTCTCAGGTAGGGTTGTGTAAGACCCACGGGGTAGCTGTTTCTTGCTGTGTTCTTTGTATTTGTTCTGAAAGCATAGGAGAAAAATAAGTAAAAAAACAACACACACACACACACACCCTGACCCAATATTTAAAGGATATCCATAAACATGAATAAGTAACTTTCAGATGTGTTACCTCAGATACCAGAGAGCTGACATTCTTAGCCAGGAGGATCTGAGGTGTATCTGGAACAACCAGGCATGTTCCTCGAGCTTTGTTGTGCTTCTCTTTGTATTTTACCTAGCAAGGAGAAAATATATCGTTTTAAGCATTGTTTTGTGATGATTTCAAAAGAGACTGCTGTTGTTCTCATTGCTTTTTAGTGGAAAAGGTGCAGATCATTTTATATTTTGATGTTTTCCAAGACAAATTTGTTCCAGGCTCCAAACCCACATAGCTCTCAATCGGAATATTAGTAATATGTGAAATATATTAATTCAATACATTCCTAGTAATTCTTAAAGATATACTGCTTTAAGAACAAGTTTAAGGACAAGTTTGCTTTTTGTTGTTTGTTTGTTTCTTTGTTTTGTTTACTCCAGGCAACATTTTCATTTCAGTAAGGTTAATCTATAGATAAGAAAAGCTCTAGTGTATTCAGGCAATGCTAAAATTTAAATACTTATTTAATTGCCAAGACCACATATTTGTCCAGTAACATTTACAAGATCAAATTTATTCAGATTTTACCAGTTTGTCTTTGAAATAAATTCATTAAATAATTGATACCGAGCACAACTTTTCAAATCACAGAATCCTAGAATGGCCTGGGTTGCAAAGGAGCACAGTGCTCATCAGTTCCAACCCCTGCTGTGTGCAGGTCACCAACCAGCAGCCCAGGCTGCCCAGAGCCACATCCAGCCTGGCCTTGAATGCCTGCAGGGATGGGGCATCCACAGCCTCCTTGGGCAGCCTGTGCCAGTGCTTCACTTCATTCTTAATCCAAACAGCCAACAAAATAGCTTTTGTAGTAAGTTCAAGAAGAATAAAGAAGTGAATGCTCAAGTACTTACATCACTTGCCAAGATGGCATTGTTTAAAGCCAACACTGTGTTCTTATCATCTGTGACAGAGAGTTTGCATCCCTTCAGGAATTCTCGGTCCAGTTTGTATTCGTACTGCAGAAATCAATAACAAGATTAGAAAAAAAAGAAAAAGAATCCCAGATCTACTACAATTTTTAACTGTGAAAAGGAAAAATGAGGGGAAAGGGAACATTCAGGTTGTTCAGACTTTCTTACATCACTCTGCTGCAGAGATGACTTGGCTGCTTGGACAAAGTCAGGCCTATCAGCAATCCAGTGCCAATGAGCCTTGGCTGCTTCGTATTTCTTCTTATAATCCAGCTGTTCACAGGCAAAAAACAAAAAATGAACAAAAAACCCAACAATTTAATGCTGTGTACTTGACAGATTAAATTCATATAAATGCAAATTCTCTTTCAGTTTGGATAAGTAAAAAATGTAAGAAATTACATCCAGATCAGATTAGGGTTTTCCTTTGAATTATGTACAATCCTGGAGAAAACCATTTACTTCAGTTAATCAACTGCTGGGTCAATAAAGTTACATGAATGACTGAAATGATGTTTTAACTTTGAGGAAGTTAAGTGCTTTCAATGCTTTGCTTATTGCAGCGGATGTTGGGCCACCACTAATAAAAAACAAATGAGAACTTCTCATTAAGCTCTCACTCCTCCTACAAGAACATAATCACAGTTTTTTTCAAAAAAGGGCAAAGCTAGAAGAATAGTGAGTGTGGGATATACAAGAAATCTCAGGTGATCTCATGAACTGGCAAGAATGAGTACTTCAGTACGAAATACATTAACATATATTTAATTCAAGCAGCATAAGAACTAGAAATCATGTCCAAGCTCAAGGAATTTCAGTAGAATTCACAGTAATTCCCCCTGGTCACCATTGCTGGTCTCAACCACTGTGCATAACAGAAGTGCAGTACTGATCACACAGAACTCACATTGCTGTTCAGCTTGTAAGCGTGCCGTGGAGTCTTAATATGAACTGAATCTGCTACAACATTGCAGTGGGATTTATTCCTCTCATACACTTCTTTGTATTTCAGCTAAAGAAAGAAAACATAAAAAATGTTTACAAAGATAATAACACATAAAATCGAGCAACTTCAATAAGAGCAGCAGCAAAACATTAAAATCACGATATTAAAAATTGCTTCTGTAAAGATAAAATCTTCACAAAAAAAGAAATTTCATTGATACAACACAGTATCAACTGTCTGCTGGAAACAAGGGCCCTGGTCAGGAATGTGTAATGCAGCAGGCAGAACTCACCATGAAGCTAACACAATTCACATATGAATGGTAATTCTGTCTGCTTCTACTTTCCTGCACTCAATAGAAATGCCTTAAAGAAACCTATCTTCTGATGGGCACACTCAATGTCCTCCAGAAATCCCTTTCCAGATTCTGAAACGTAGCACTTATTTTGGAACCAGTGTATTCCAATTCACAGATAGCTTTTGAAGAATCTTTGTTTATTAATGACCCGCTACCATGGATGAGATACCAAATCCAGTTTTGAATTTTATTATGCATTGAGGGCCACTCTAACCCAGCAAAAACATTCTAAGAGCTACTGCAGAACCTGACATGAAAAAGGTCCTGAGAAACTTAATATCCAACTGATTTTTTCAGAACAGACATTATATACATTCAGAGTTTTATACGCAAGCAAAATCAACACACTGTAATGAGAAGCTATTTTTAATGCCAGTTTCACAGATGTTAGAAATGCTACTTATCAGGGTAAGAAGTTAACTGTGTGTTTTTGGTGATTCACTTACATCACTTATTCTGTCCTTGACTTTGCGCACGTGCAGCAGCATTGGGGTGTCGTGAATTGTAGTGTAGCCTTTGGGCTTCGCTTTGTTATATTCCAACTTGTAAATAATCTGAAGGTACAAATCAGAGATCACATTATTTCTTGACAGTCTTGGTATCAGTGGAAAAAAAACAAATCAGGATGAGAAACATTTTTAAGTGAATACTGAAGATATTATTTTCAAAGGGCAGAATTTGGGAAGGAAGTGTAGCTGTAAGGGACTGACCACACTTACATCACTAATCTGTTTGTTGACTTTTGCAGTCCTTAAGTTTTCTGGAGTATCCACAACTGTGGTATACTTATCTTTCTTCTTCTCATAGTCCTTTTTGTACTCCACCTAGTGATTGGCAAAGAGACCACGTTAACCACACAAACCAAGGGAAAGCAGCTCCAGGAGATACACGTTTATATTCACACAAGAAATTGCAAAACCCTTTCACCAGAGCCAATGAAAACTGAACATGCAAAACAAAGCAAACACTGCAAATCTCTTATCTGCCCTACAGGCTGTCTATTCGCACAATTGTTTTACATTTCTTTTACTGAATCATAAAACTTCACTTCTATGTCCATGACTGAGTGAATAAAGCAACCTCAGCAGGTCAGTGATTCTTTTAATTCATAACGGGATGAGATCTTATTTTAGAATATTCATCAGAACAAAGAGAGATGTAAAACATCTTACACAACAGAAGATAAAAGCATCCATTGAACCATCATAATGCCAGGCTACTTTAAAGTCATTGGCAGCAGAGTCTGTATCTTAATCATTTCTTAAAGATTACCTTGTTTTACTCAGGACTCTGAACAGTTTTCAGAGGATTCAATGAGAACAGACTGTATCTCAAGAATGGTAATCCACTGTAGATAGCCTCAGGGCAGGTGGAAGAGGTTGGAACATACATTTAAAAAGGAATTTTCATGCTTTATCTTGGATCAGAAAAGAAAACCATGCTTTTGAAGAGGACTAAGACTGACAAAACATCAATAATTACATACAAACAACAAATCAAAAAATAACACCCATTCAGATGAACGTCCAGGTCAGGCAGAGTGCTATTTTTTTTTTTCCTTCAAACACACTCAAGCTTACCGGCAAGGAGTTTTTAATGAGGTAATAAATAGACATCCACTGATCAACTGGATAAAAATGCCTAGTAATGGCCCTTGGTTCTATAATACTAATGGACTTTATTAACAGAGCCTGTAGTGACAACTCCCTCACTGTCATGTAACTGGTTTCTACTGTTGCATTTCCAGCGATAATTTATACATTACATGCCAGTTTCATCAGCCCAGTCAGAAAATGTGCTTGCCATTGAAAACAGCAAGGTTACTGCTAGCAGATCTCATTTCTCAGTAATATAAATATGTACCAGTTACTCCAACAAATCACCTTTTTATCCAACTGTTACAACGAATTCCAGTTGCATAGGAATCCAGATTATTCAAAGACAATACAGAAAATGACTTCTTTATCATAACAGCAGAATCATTTAGAGGCCTTTTTTTTAATATCAGAAATGATACCAAAGGTTCTTTTTCTGTATGAACAGATGAATCATACTCTCTACATTCAACCCTTACAAAAGATGAAAGGAGAGAGTATTTTTGTTTATAAACTTTCAGTATCTGACTGCCTGAGAGCTGGCATGCTGGCCTTATTTAAAAGGGTTGTGAGGCCATGGCACTGCTGCCCAGAGCTGTGGTTACCCATCCCTGGAGGTGCCCCAGGCTGTGGATGGGTTCTGGGCAACCTGAATTGGGGGGCAGCCAGCCCACGGCAGGGCTGGAAAGGCTCTGAGGTCTCTTCCAACCCAACCATGATCTTCCAACCCATTCTATGATCTTCAATGCATGGAAAATTGCTCTATGTACGTATGAAAGGAAGACAAGAAGGCAAGATCAGCCTAAGCTAAGTGAAGTTCAAGCCCCAGTAAATGCTTTTTCAGGTAGCTTGGGTTTTGAACTATTTTACCATAGACGTACCGTTCTGCACATGGACAAAACTTTGGAGTCTGTCATCTGTGGAATCCCAGAGAACTCACAAGCATAAAAAGACCAAGCAACTAAATGGTAGTACTAATGTCTCCTACAGCAGCAGTTCTTCGTATTACCTGGCTCCATAAGTATGAGTTGTAGAGTGCTGTCAGGATATCTGGCCTCAGAATTTCATTACACCCTTGTTTCAGGAGCATCTTGGCAAGGGATTTATAACTGTTCTGTTCATGCAAATGGCAACGAAGCACAAAAGAGACTTGTGAACACCATAAACAATAAGACAGCTCTAGATCCCTGACACCTTGAGAGTGGAGAGATTTAGGCACAGTACTGTATGTATTCATTCAGATGTGCATACAATTTACATCTATGTAATTAAGAGTACATGCTGAAAGATTTGCTTATTATCCCATTGAGGAAATTATGAGAATATTTTCAGGGAGATAATAGTAAATTACATATAAAAGCATGGGCACTCAAAAATCCAATATGCCACTGCTGCTTTATGTAGAAGTAAGAAAGAAGGTAGTATTTGTGGAAGCCAATGAAAGAGAGCTAATAAATGCATGACACAACGTGCATTTTTTAAAACCTCTCCATTGACTTCAACAGGCATTAGATTGGAAATTAATTGAATATGATGTCAATTGATGCACAGTACATGAAAGTACATACAGTAGAGATTAGCTCACTCAAAAAGTAACAGTCCTTTTTGGGTGGCAAAACTAAGACTATCTGATCTGAACTAAAACATCACAATATCACAGGTGAAACCTCTGATACTGCCAGCTGTAAACATTTCACACAGGCAGAGCAGCTGGGAGTGAACCAGGCACTTTCTGGCAGCACTGGCAAGTGCTCCTACGGTACCTGACTGCTCAGTGTAGTCCCCCACTTGGCCAGGAGGTTCTTAGGATCATCCACAATAACGCTGTACCTATCTTTGAGCTTCTCATAGGCAGCCTTATATAATTTCTGCTCAGAATAGCATAACAAATTGTAACAAATTAAAAGAAGACAGTGAAAACATAGAGATCCTGAGATCACAGATGCATCATTTAAACCTCTTCGTATGACATATTCAAAGTCAAGGATTGAAGTCCATATCCAAAATAGAAAATGTATTATTGTTATAAAAACAAAACAAAAAACACAAAACGCAAAGAACAAACAAACAAGAAAAGAAACAGAAAAATATGCCAAAATAACATATGCAACTCTAAATTTTATCTGGAAGGCATAACTTACAATTGAAAGATACCTTCAACCCTGTTCCTGTCAATCTTCAAGAAGCCATTTTATAATTTACTTCCTTCATGAAAAAGAGCTGCTGAAGCAACCCTGTGTGGAACTAGATTCTTGATTTGAGTTCAAAGAGAGCGTGATGAGATGGAAGGGTGAATTACAGAGTTACATTATCATCAGACTTTCTGTAAGCAAAAACTTTAATCCATCGTGAAAACATCACTCATATAATAGAAGACATTTAAGTAAGTTTATTTCAATGTATGGGGCCCCTCCTAATACGATTTTTCTCTTCCATGTTTTTCATAATAATTTGTTCCTTATTTGTAGTACCAAAGAACAGCAAGACTAAACATTAACAATCTTCCATCACAAATTCTGGTTCTCTGCTTATCAGACTGAGCATTAAATTGTAGCAATGATTTCTGCACTTAACCAGGTTAACCAGATTGCTGGGTTGTTGTTCTGTTTTTTTCTTTCTGTGGGACTGGTTTGTAAACCAACTCTAAGCTGGTAAGAATTCATCCAGACCACACAGATTTTCAGGGCTTTTTTCCTAAGCATTCAATACCACTTCTCACAACTAATTAATGATTTTAATATTCCTGATACATTAAGTTCATTGCTTCTGTAGCACAGGAGAAAACAACTAAGTAGTAGAGTCAGAGAATTCAAGGCAGAATATCAGAAATGAAACTGAGCTATGATTACTTTGGCCACAATACTATCTTAGTACCATCACTATTCCATATTCATAATACTATGCTTTAATTCTCTTTACACCTTTTTCCACACTGCAATCAACAGTTTTTCAACAGTGTTACTCAGCAGGTAGTATTATCAAGTTAGCAGCTCTTTACTGGTCAGCAAAGCCAAAGTTTTTTCCAGCAATTTCAAAAATGGAACAGAGGGGTCAAGATTTCACTTCTTAGTTACTGCAAATCTGTTCTGTGCTAACATTCAGGAAGGTCACAGGAACAACCTTGCATTTCCTGATTTCAGTCTGACCTTAAGACATCCTTAGCTCTGAATCTATTTTCATTTATTTGCAAATTCAGAAGGACAGTCAACCCTTGATTCCATACTAACAGAAATCTTTAACACTTACCGCATCCAGCAACTGAGTTGCATGCTTAAAATGCCTGTTAATTGGAGAGTCAGCTACGTACTTGTAATGAGACTTTGTCTTTTCAAACGTCTCCTTGTACTTATGCTGCAGGAAAAAAAAGCACAGATATACATCACAGAGTTAACTCCAAGTTCTTTTAGAATTTTAGAAACTTTCTGCAGCAAAATATTGCTGATTTAATTATTTAACTCAACTACAAGCAAAAAATATTATACTGCAAAATAGCTGTAAATGTAACATCTTACAGAATGGAACTATCGTATCAAGCACTCAATGGAAGCATCAATTCTTGATAACCTTAAAGCTTGATTTCTAGAATCACTATGAAAATCACAATGGAACAGAGATTTTTACAGGGACCACAGGGGATAAGTAAAAGATCATTTTGCCTCGTTTTTCTTTCACACCAAGAACTGAAATTATAGATCTTTTCTCAAGTTCTACCATGACAAATTCATATCAGTGTCTAGGCTGGAATTGGATTCTCCTAAGAAAAACCAAAATATAAGAAAAACATAAAAACAAAAACCATTTAGCAACAATTCAGGGTGTTTTACTTACCCCACTGTAGAGCACTTTATTCTTTCCTGCCAATGTAAAATCTGGTGTATCCCACACATAACAGCCGATGCCTCTGAGCCACGATAAGTCTTCCTTGTATTTAACCTTTAGAAAAGAAACAAAGGATGCCTTCACTGTTTCAAGAAATAAAACTCGGTTTTCATTTAGGAAACCTACATATCAAGTTCCAATCTCTCACATCCAGGAACTATTTGAACTCACATCACTAATAGCATCTGTGACGATACGATGATGGAAATGTTCTGGTCGGTCTGGGATTGATCTCCAGACTCCCAGCTGGCTCATATAATTTTCTTTGTATTTCACCTACAAAGAAAATTAAGAGAATGAAAAAAACAGATTTTGAGAAGCAGAATACCTCAACCCATGCAACTTTTAGACATTCTTTGTTTCCAGAGCACCAGAAGTATAGCAGTGGAAATAAGATTTACTTGTATTCACTTTTTTTTTTTTTTTAAGACCAAAGGCAATCAAGCATATAATCAAGGAAAGAAAATATTATTAACAGTGCTGATCATATTTTTCCTAATTATTTGATACAGTCAAATAGACTAACAACATGACTAGCACGTTCTAGGTTATTAAATGACAAATATACATACACTGCTAATATCATCTGTGACTTTTCGATGATAGACAATATCCAAAGCATCTTTCACTGTGTGGTATTTCCCCTTTGTGTTCTCAAAGGTTTCTTTGTAGCGCAACTGGAAATAAAAGAAGTAATATATTAAAAAATATATTTATCTATCAGGAATCATTTTAGTTAAAAATCCTGTATCTGAGGAATGATAAAAGTTATATGTTGCTTTCCAATATCCTAATATATGTCCTGAGGAATTTCAAGGAGCTTTAACTACCTAAAATCAGTTACAATTTGACTGAGACTTGTGAAGAAAATTTGAAAGGAAAGGAGTTGGCACATCTAAAGCAAAACTTCATCCTATTCTTTCAGATTGCAGACTGAGAAAAGATGCCATGTATTAAGTATTTGATCTCTAAAATAGCAAAAAAAAACCCAACCTATGCATTCCTTCTTCTATGTTCTGGTCCAGAAGAAAGCAGGAAGACTATTTGCCTCTCAGGGGAAAGACCTTCTCAGAAGAGAAATCCAGGTGTGCAAAAGAAGTGATATATTCTTAAAATCATAAAAATCCCTCTCATGAGAGCAGTAAGAAATATTCTCATCAAAACACTGGCCTAACAAATATTCCATCAGGACTTCCCAGGGTATCTGGGCAATGTGCAGTGTAAAATATGTAGCAAAGGTCCCACTAAAGAGTGAGATCTCTGATTTATTTCTAAATGAAACAACGAGCAAGTTCTCAGGGACACGTAAGTGAACTCCTAAAACCAAGCAGAGATGAAATTATCTGAATCATTTCACACTGATCTGTGCTACCGAGTGATTTCATACGTAAGCAACTTATTTTTTTTCCTTTTCTAAGTCAACATTTCAGTGCAAAGCAAAATGAATATGAATTATAACAAAGGTAAGAAAGCACTACAGTGACACCAAGTGAAAACTATTTCTGTAATATCAAATGGAAATGGAAGAGAGGTTCTTGAAACAAGCTGAGACAATCCCTGGCTTGCATGCTTGTTCCTCACTGACCCCCCCCCTTTTTTATTTTTTTTTGTAGAAACCAAGAAAAATTGGAATGAAATCATTTGTGGACTACATACATCACTGGCATTCAGGTATGCTCTCTTGGCTCTGATCAAGACTGGTGTGTCAAGGACTGGTGTATATTTATCCTTCATCTTCTCATACTGGATCTTATATTTTGTCTAAGAGAAATAGTAAAAGTTAAAGGTTACATCTTCAGTCTTAGAAGCAGTTGCCAATCTCATATTACATTGACAGCTAGAGGTGCTATCCGAGTGCACAACGTCATTCTTGCAAAGCTCTCTGTCAAAACACTGGGAAATAAACTTGGCTGTTCAATTCATACTAGATGTTCCACATTTTGCAGCCAATCTCCCACAGATTCTGCAGACAAGTATTTAGAAACACGTATCTTGTAAAATATTCAAGTTCGTAAGAAACGTGCAGTCATTTACCACAAATTGTAAAGGAAACATGGAACTTAAGTATGAGCTACAATGCTAAGTAAAAGGCGAACAGATGTGAGCCTTGAATCCATCATCAAAATTAGAAGTGAAACTTCTAAGCTGTTTAAATATTGGTACGAAACAAAAGACCAATCTTACCTCACTGACCATGTCTTTTACATGCCTGGCATGCGTGAAGGCTGGAGTCTGGCTACCAGCATGGTGATGAGGTCTCTCTTTGGTGGCAAGTTCCACATACAAATACTGCAGCAAGACAGAAAGAATCCAAAAAAATACATTTCAATTAAGTTTTACTTTATCACCCTGAAAAATGACTATAGGTTCACAATAAGTTCACTATAAGTTTTGCATAAACACCCAATTTACCCCAGGAGAAACTGGTGTGAATTGCACCCTTTCACTTTCCATATTATCTCAGTCCACCTTTTTCCATTACTCACAGTGTTCTGTAAATACTAACAATATCTTCATTAACCCCCAAGTCCAATGCATATGGTATTAATGCTGTCTCTGCCCTACGTCCATGCCTCACTTTGATAAAAGCATCCAAAACAGTCTGTTTTTTTTGGTTGGGTAACAACATTTTGTACTACTAACTCAGCAAGAACTATATGAATGAAGATAATGAACAAATGGTAGACTGACAAAAGTACTTATTCCTCTGACAAAGTCAGAGTTTCAGAGAATCTGAACACAACAGACCACGGTTCAATGCTTTGCTTCAGACAGCCAAAGTTGGATTTGTCCATCACAGAGGTATGGTAAACATGAAAAATCAAGCCACTTAACAATGGCTGTTTTTATAAGTACCCTCTAGGAATTCCACATTGGTTTGAAATGACCTGGAAAGATTCTGCTGTACTTAAAGATAATATTAACAAAGAACCTCAATTGTTTTTTATTAGTAGAAATTTTTCACCTGGCTCTGTATTTTTTGTCCTTTCTTGGCTCTTAAGTAGTCAGGTGTGTCAAGGACAGAAGTGTATTTTGTCTTCAGCTCCTTGCCTGCAGCTCTGTAAACCAGCTAGAAAAAGAAAAGTCTGTGAATGATTTCTTCTCTTACATATATTTGTGTAACAGCTGCCCAAACACAGCTTTGCAATTGTAGCATCTCTCAGATTTCTGAAAAGAAAACAGTGAGAGATCTGAGCTTTACTTAATTACAGCTACCAAAGATGAATAAAATGAACACAGAACTTACTTCACTCAAATGGGCTTTCAGTTCCTGAACATTCCTGTACTCAGGAGTATCCAACACCACACTGTATTTATCCCGCATCTTCTTTGCAGTATCAGTATACACGTAATTAGACTGAAAGATGAAGGCAGTATCACTTAGGAAGCTCTTATTATTCTTAGTTGCAAAGAACATCACGGTGTGAAGTAACAGCACTTTGAAACAAATAGCCAGAAGCACAGCAATACATGCTGTCGTTGGTCTTCATTTATTTTCATATACTTCACTTCTTGGATTACATATCACACGTGTCACTAAATGTGTTGTTGTTATACATCCATTCTTTACATAAGAAAAACCTTACCCAAAGCTTACGCAGCTGACGAGCACGGACCATATCAGGAGTATCATAAAGGAAGCAGCCCAAGCCCTGCAACCACTTCAGATCCTCTTTGTATTTATTCTACAAGGCAATTAGGGAAAGAAAACCAGAATATTAACTTTGCAGACAAGTTCACTCATCAGTCCTTAAACACAATTACAAAGCATTTACCTATTACGGAATAGAATAAAAGCCAAATTCCACTTTCAGTATAAAATTTCTACATTCAAATACCAGGTATCTTAATAGGAGATACTTACATCACTTGTGATGTCCCCAACATAGCGGCAGTGCAACACCTGAGGAGTAAATGGCAAGGAAATCAAGTGTCCTTGCATCTTAAAGAAATCTGACTTGTAGATCAACTGAAAGACAAAGAAAAAAATAGTAGATTTCATGTAAGATCATGCTGAATATTCTAAATATCTTCTGTTCTATGTTAGAAAGGCACATACATCACTGACAGCTTCCTGTGTTGCTCTGACTTGACGGATTTCTGGTGTGTCTGGAGTAGTATGAATCTTATCCTTGTTCTTGTGGTACGTTGCCCGATACAACCTCTGTATGAAAGAAGACAGGATTTTACATGTTAAAAACTTAAACATTGCAAGAAATGTAGCAGAGTGTAAACTCTTGTCTTTTTAGGATAGCTCTTTTGCTAGATATTGCAGAACTAACAGACAAAAAAGGGAGCAACCGTACTTCTAACCAGTCAGACTTTTTTTGATAGCAGCATCTCTAACAGCAAAATGTAGAATCTAAGACCCCAATCCTATAAATACATAAACACATATGCTAAATTTTCAAACTAGTACTCATTTCTTTGATCATTGACTTTACATGTATATAAAGTTACAGATTCAATGTCAAAGACACAATTTCTGTACCTCTTCAACCAAACAGCAGCAGGATGGCTAATGAAATTAAGCTAGAAGTGATTTCATTGTAAGATAATAGTGTTACAGGACTGTAGAAAGTTAAGAGTCATCAAGAACATTAAAAAGCCACGCTACCCAACTCCAAGGCTGAATCAATGATCCCCTGCCATTCTGGATGGACATTTATCTATCCTGTTCTTAAAAGCCCCAGTGAACATGGATCCTACCATCTTTCCAGTCAATGTATTTTCATCCCTCAGATTCTGGGCACTATAAATACAAATGAGAACAAATACTGTACCTCATTAATGACTTGATTCACTTTCTTCACATTCTCAAACCCAACATCATTAGGTCCCAGAGTATAGCCTTTAGCTTTCATATGTTCATAGGCTTCTTTATATTTCAGCTACAAAGTGGGAAAGAAATCTTTTAGATTGAACAAACGTGTATAGAAACTAATTTTCCTTATGCTTCTAGTTACACTGCTGTTCTGGCAATAATTTGTGTAGATTTTTAGACTCAGATTTTTGGAGACAGTCAAATGAGCTACACCAGAGCTAAATAGGCATCATCCTATCAAGATCAAAATACCTTTATGATCTCACCCAAGATGAGTAACATTTTAAATTCCTCTTATGTCTAACATGATATGCACATCTGTCTGAGGAAATTTTTATTTTATAGCAATTGCTTCAATTCTGTTAATGTAAACATTACCAGTGTTGGGAGCTGAGTGCACTGGTAAGAACTGATTGCTGAGACCAGGCACACCAGAGGTGTCAGTCCTTCCCTTAGCAATGCTGTAGGCACACCTGTCTTCAGCACTGCTTCCATCCTCATCTTCTGGATGGGCGCTGGTCCTCCCTCACAAGTAGCTCATCTCTAGCTCTGTTTTGTAGCCTGGTTTCAAGTCCCATCGCTTGGATTTACCATGCACCTATGCTGTTGGTAGCTTGCCTCCAATTTCTGTTCTGTCTCCTCTATCTCCTGACTGCAGGAATGGAAGCTGGCCCTCACTTTGTCAGAGACTTTTGATGCAACCTGCTATCAGCATCCTGCTCTACCTGCCTTACTCAGTGGGACTTCCCACTGGCTGATGAATTTACTGCTTGTATCATGGTCATCATAAGTTCCTGGCTCAGGCAAACACATGGAACTACCCCCTACTGTTTTTGCTTTCTGGTAACCATTCTCACATCTGAGAAATAACTGCCTCCACAGTCGTGTACTCCTAGAAAACAGGCACCAAATTTTCCCTGGTAACTTGTGTTATAGAAGGACACAGTACATTACTTACATCACTGCCAATGTACTGGACGTGTTTGGCATGCTGGAAGCCAGGGGTATCTTTGGGAAGACTGTATCCAGTAGGCAGAGCTTTCAAACCAGCCCAGCGATACAAATTCTGTAAAGAAGCAGGGGGAGGAAAAGGGAGAGTCTTTGAGACAACTGTGTGTAGTATTTGACAGTATTCATTAGCTACACAGAAAATCTCTTATACACACTCAGCAACAGATTTCCCAGATATCTGCCTTATAATGCATGCTTGAAGGTTAAATAATGACACTGTGCCACTTTATTTTCATGCAGTGGAATCCAGCTTCCATATCTGAAGAGCTAAATAAAGACCAACGTTTAAAGAATCTGGATTTTGAATCTGAAAACACTGTGGACTTGCAGAAAGGAAAGATCAAGAGAAAGCACGAACATGCATCAAACAGGAGAAGAATGTGGATGTTGGGTTTTCTTTGGCATTCTGATGAAAACAAAGTTTTTATACTTACTTCACTCTGTATCTTGTTTGCATGACGTGCCCGCTCCAAATCCACTGTCTTGTTAGTGGGAATCGCTTTGCCTCTAATTTTATTTAAGTAGTCACCACGATAGATAATCTAAGAAGAAGAAAAAGTAATTAAAGGAAAGTCATAACGCTGATGCCTTGTCACAGTATGTATTATTTGCACACACATGGGAATATCTTCCAAAAAACTGGATGAAATTCTTTTGAATTCTGGCAATTAATGATTTTAGTGACTGCGATTTAGTGATTAAATATTTAGTGATGCCTTAATAAAGGCAGGGTCAATGAGCTGTGGATAATAAGCAATGAAATAATGACTACATATATTAAAGTGACATTTCTAGGACCCGTGAACAAATGGCACTTACCTCACTGGCATTCAAGCCACTGAGGATACTCTGGACATAGATAGGAGTGTCCATGACCACAGTGTATTTGCTCTTTGTTTTTTCTGCAGCAGATTTGTACTTGATCTGCAGAGAGAAATTCAAGAACTCCAGTCAGTAAGACTAGTTATTGTTAACTGGTTTTATTGTATTTTTATATTTACACTAATTACTGTCTATTTTATTTGTTACTTATTCTATTCATGAATCGGCATTAATACACAAAATGTCTTGAAATTAAGGCTGCACAAATGAATATGGCACCTACTTAAGAACTCCTTTCAAGAAACAGTGGGAAATGTCATCAGAATATTTATACGCACCACGTGATGTGCACCAACTTAATTAGGGGGCATACAATCAGTAAAAGCACAATGATTAATTCTCCCATTTTAAAACCTTAATCCCAAGATAAGGATATCTTTACTTCAATGGAGTCAGCAGCTTCACTCAGTTTAACATTACTTGCAAATTTACTTGGATGCAGGACTCGAATGCATACTGTCATTTATAAAGGCACTCACGAGAACTGGCTCCAAAATGGAGCCCTGGGGGAGACAGCTAGTAGATAATTCAGCAGAGAAGCATATATGACATTTTTCAGACCATATCTGAATTAGAATAGAGCTACTCCACCCTGTTAATACAATGCTTTGAAAAATATTAAGAAGTAAGCAGAAAGAGTGCATTCAATTCAGACTCACATCACTGCGAAGGTCGTAGGCATGTTTAGCATGGAGAATCTCAGGAGTGTCCCAAACAAAGCAGCCAATGCCTTTCAGCCAGTTAAGATCATCCTTGTATACCACCTAAGATACCCGAGAAAAGAAGCAATCTCAGATGTGCACCATGATCCAACCCTTTTTGTTAAGTCAGTCTGAACACAACTGTCAAATGCTGGCAGGTTAATGTTTCTTGGTTTTTGACATTTTTTGTTTTGAGAAAATCAAAACAATTCCTTTCGGAATTAAAATGATTTTTCTACAGCACTTCAAGAACTGCAAGGTTTAGGCCCAGAGCCTATACTGATAATAGTGAAATGATGCATTCCAAGCCACACTTCAGTGCAGACTGATTTGTCTGTGTTACAAAAACAGGATATAGATGCTGTGCCATCAAGCATAATAGATATGAGTGGAAACCACAGAGTGCTCCAATCAAGTTTCTGCAAAATCATTTCCTCTACAGAGCACAAATGCAAGAATCCTTTAAGAAAAGTGAACCACAAACACTTGTGAACTTACATCACTGATCTGATCAGCTACTTTTCGAACATGTGCGTTGATCTGAAGATCTGGTAAGCAGATCCAGTTGTGGAGACGCGTGCGGTAATCGATTTCACTGATTTTCTCCTGTGCATCTTTAGCAGCAATTATGTCTACCATGTCAGGAATAATGTGGATTTTGGTTTTATTCTTTTCATAGGTTTCCCTGTACAGACGCTGCAGAATTAAAACATTCACATTAATAATACTGGCAAGTAGCCTGAATTACTAACTGTTGATAAAGCTGAGGCAAAAGACTGTGGTATTCTACTAATATTTTCACAGACTGCTATAGTTGGAGAGCAATCATTTTGGCTATGACTCACATTTCCATCTTATCTACTCTAAAGATTTGCAGATTAAGGATCCTTCAAGCTCAGCAGTAATAAGAAAAGGGTGCTAAAATACAATTTGTCAAATCTTCATGGCAGTGATGTCAACGAGAGGCAGGCCAGGCAGTGTGCAATGTTTCATACATAAACATATTAGACTGAGAGGTTTAGAAGACAATTCAACAGTTGATGTAGAAGCCTGAAAAGACATTTGCTAAATATGGTAATCACCCACAAATACTGAGCACTGCCAAATGCCTACTGAAATACATTATCTGTGTGGTTATTAAGAAAACACCACTTACATCAATATTAAGCTTTCCAACTCTAAGGCACCTTGCTATATTGGGATCATCCTCAACACTTCCAGGTATTGTGTATAGAGCTTTGAACTTGTCATATTCTTCTCGGTATTTTACCTAAGCAGATGTAAAGAAAGACAACAGATAACAAATTCAAGTTAGAAAATTGTAATTTTAGAACCAAATCAGTAAGTAAATCAAAAACTATTCAGTTCAGTCCAAAAAGTAGAGGCAGCATTTAAAGCAGGATCTCCGTTTCAATTTTTATTTTTATTTCAATTTTATTTTATTTTTAATTTTAATTCAATTGCAAAGAAAATGCACTGTAACTACTGAAAAAAGTAAGAACAGTTAGCTAGAAGGTTTTTAAATAAATAAATTGAATTTACTAGTTATTTTTATTGCTACAGCTCTTTCCTTTAAATCTATCCAAGAGAGGGATCTCTCATTAGCTTTTGCTCAGTAATGCAACAAATCGTGTCCTTCTACAGTCAGTAAAGCATCATTTAAAGACATATAGAACATTTGGTGCTTTTCTGACTCAGGCCACTTAGGCTAAAAGAGAACTGACTATAATTTTTCTAGAAGTTGCTTGTATTATTATAAAATGCAACTTTTTTTCCATGAAAAGGAGCAGCAAAGGACTATCTAGCTGTTAGTGAAATTATTCTCACAGAAAAAGGGTTTGCTACAGATACATATTTAAACTAAAAGATTCTACAGTTCCAAGATATTAAAATGCTTTGATACTTAAATGCAAGACATGAATGCTTGAATTGCTAGAACTGATCTGATTAAAAAAAAAAAATCAAAGTATTTTATTGACTTACAATACTGGCATTATGCTTCAGTTCTTTTGCACGTGCTAGGGATACAGCATCAGAGGGTAGTATGTAGCTAGTAGCTTTCACCCTGTCCCAGGCTTCCTTGTAGAGATTCTGTGGGGAATAGAAAGTCTCTATCAGTGGAAGGATTCCCTGGGTAATAACCAATGTCCAGTAAAAAAATCAATATCCCTTCTGTTGTGATGATTATTTTACACCTTAACTATTACTTCACAGAAATTAAGACAGCACAGTATTATAATCTTGATAGCACACAGAAAAGGTAACAAAGTTCTTTCCTGTTCATCTTATCCATTCTCGTACAAGAAGTCTTTTTGGTTCAGGTGCAACTTTCTTCACAGAACCCATTTATTAATGCTTATATTTTGACAAGACTGAGCCTGTCATTCAGCATCTTCTCCATACTCACACAATGCAGAGGGCTATCACTGACTCTGCTAAGTTTCATATTTATAAATTTATCTTCAAACAGAGAAGACAAACAAAATAAAATTAAATATCTCAGTAGTACCTTGAGAGAAAAGCACTTACATTGCTAAAAAGATGTTTCAGATTTTGAATTCTTTCAGAGTCTACTGTTTCAGTCACAGTTGTATACTTGTCCTTAGTTTTATGGTAATCTTCTTTGTATTTAACCTATAAAACAAAAGATGGATTCAGTGAACTCGTCTCAAATCTCAGAAGGAGCAAAGGAAAAAAAAAATGAATAGAAAAGAAGGGGACACTCACATCACTGGCATTTATAGCACTCTGCACTGCAGTCACATAGACTGGTGTATCAGTAACAACACCAAAGTTCTGAAAATTCTCTTTTCCAGCAGCTGTATATTTTATCTAAGAACACAGAAAAAAAAAATGTTGAAAATAACCACAAAATTTTCGTGCTAACTTCCTTTAAAACCAGTCATTTAAAATCAGGTAACAGAAGGATAGGATTACAGTCCAAGCAAGACCAACTTGAAGTTACTGCTGTGCTGAAGGAATGCTTCTACATAGGAACACAGCAAGTATGAACTATGTAATACAGAAAATTGTGGATAATTGTGAAGCACATCTAGGCTAAGAGAACAACCAGCAAGACAACAGATACCTTTCTCTCAGCATAAATAACTTAAATAACATAACATAAATAACTTAAATAAATAACATAAATAACTGAGGTATCTTGTGTACAGAGTTGCACACAAAATGTGTGCGACCTTCTCACTGTTAAAAACCAAAATGCTTCAGCACTTCTATTCTCCCAGTTTTTCTGCTTTTTTAGCAACAATTATCAAGACTCTGCAGACTAAGCTGCAAGATTGCAATAATTAGAAAAAGTATTTTGGATGTAATTATTTCATTCTGCTTTCAAGTAGGATAGGTGAAAGGCCCAGTGAATCATAAATGAAGAAAAAAAAATATCTTATACATGTTCACTTATTTGAGGGCAACTTGCTTACTTGGCTCTGGAGGTCATATGATTTTTTAGCATGCAGGATTTGTGGAGTATCCCAGACATAGCATCCAATTCCCTTCAGCCAATTTAAGTCATCTTTATACACCACCTATACAGGAAAAAAAAACCAACCACGTACATAATTAGGAAGAAATCTGCCCCTGTTTGAAGAAAATACTGTTATTTTTACTTTATTCAGCTTTTGCCACTTGTGCAAACTCAATGCACCACAATTCAGGCTTATTCATCAATTATTCCTGGAAATTTAAATGTGTGCACAGACAATGCTTGGTATGACCCATTTCATACTGTGAATGATTCTTACTCAAGTTTTACATGGAAAAGGAAGCCAAAAGTAATACATCATATTAATAGGCCAGGAAATTAACACATTAAATTCTGTTAGGAAGGCTTTTCACCCAAGTAGAGGTACTGTTGAATATTTAATAAGGAATTCAAGTACCATCTGCAGCTGTGGGATATAACCTCAAAGAAAAGTCTTTTCCATACTCATCCAGGAAGTCTGTGCAAGCTGTCCTGGCTCCTGTGTAAATTAATTGGTGATCACTGCAGCACAGCAACACTTTGACTTTGGTACATCTGCATCCCATCTCTGCGTGTGCCAGATGGTAAGCATTCTACAGAGTCTCAACAAGTCCATCTGGTGAACTTTGGGAAGGCTTGCAAATATTAACTTCTTACTTTTTTCCAATTTACAAGTGTGAGAGAAATAAGCAGATCATTAAGATCCTCCCCAGAAAATGTAAAAACCTTTGGTACTGTGACACCAAGCAATCTAAGACCATGGTTACCAATTTCATGTTTAAATACTGCAAAAATACCTGAAAGCATTTCATATTTAAATATCTTGAAAAGATTACTTTGTAAAATGTTAAATAAATATGTGAAATACGTACATCACTCAAAATTTCTTGGGCCCTTTTTGCTTGAATAACATCATGCTCCTCAGGGGAACAATTCCAGTGATGGAGGTAAGTTCGGTATTCAAGGTCACTGAGGATATACTGGCACTTCTTAGCTAGCACATGATTCATCATATCACTTGGAATATGGACTCTTGTTTTAGTGTCTTCGTAATTCTTTCTGTATGCCAACTAAAAAACAAAGATGGAGGAAAGGGAAAAAAGTGAATAGTGTTCTCCTGCATAATTTGGCTCCAGTAGGTAGCAGATTGTTCTGCTAACAAAGAACAATCTGAGGCTAATCTTAGTTTAGGGACAAAACTCCAATGGGATTCAGTGGGATGAAGTCTGAAGTTAGATATTAGTCACCATTTATTCTGACAAGGTACTAGAAAGACAAAAACAGTCTCCTTCATTGGCAGATTTAACTGTGTGTGAAAGGTAACACTACTTCAAGATAAGAAGTGCCTATGTTACAAAAGCTTTTCTTTAATCCAAATTATCTCCCTTTTCAAAAGGAGACATAATATTAGAGATTATATTAAGCATGCCCTGCATGACATGTTATACGTTCAGTGGTGACAACAAAACACCAATGTGTTTTATCTTTCTGATTCCTCAATTCCTATTATATATATTATATATATATATTTTTTGCTAATATGGCAAAAGTATCTCAAGCCATATAGTATTTCTTGCTGATCAGATTCTTAATGTAAAATAGAAAACTCTAATAGGTCCAATAGTTTTAAAAAAAAAAAAAAATAAAAAATAAATCTATCTTAATCTCTTAAATCATTTCAAATTCAATAATTCACCCCAAATACATTCAGGAAAGCATATGGGAAATACTATTACTGGTGTTAATAAGCATAGCATTACTTATGTTCAATATGAGAGAGACACTGATAATAAAGGAAACAGAAACTACTGGGGGAAGGAAGGTGGATTGTCTCCTCACCGCGCTCCTTATTTTCTGGAATGCTAATGAATGAACGACGCTGGGGAAATCTCCAATGTCCTTCCCAGCCAGATAATGGCCTTTCAGCTTCTCATACAGCTCCTTGTATTTACGCTGCAAAATAGGCATGTTGAAATTTTAAAGTTCATGTTCACAGGAGATAAGAAAATAAAAAGAAGGAATGGAAAATTCCTACTAACCTCACTATTCACGTAGTTTGCATGCTTGGCTCCAACAAGTGGAATGTATTTTGTATCCAAAGTATACCCAAGGGGCTTGCTGATTTCCCAGTCTCTTTTATAAAGTGTCTAGATAAACAGAACACAACACAAACTTTGATATAAGATCCATTATACTTTCCAAGAGGTCCGATTCTGCTATTTTCACACATACGGAATAGGACTGTTTCTATAGAGCAGTTCCTCTTTCCAACAAATCATCCCAACAAAGTAAATGAAGAATATTAATTCAGAACACATATTTGGTCTAAGACAGAGCTCCAACTCAGGACAGTAATGGAGCACAAACTTGAACTCTCTAGATCTGCTCTCTTAAAATGGTGACCTGGAATTCATTGTTTGTCACCCAGAAAAGTAACAGAAATATTCAAAATGTAGACATGAACTGCTGTTTAAAAGTGTGGTATAGAATTGACCTTGATAATCTTACAGATAATTTGTTTTAAATCATGAAAAATCTTCAAGTAAAACTTGTATTTATCATAAGAGCAGTAATTGTGCCAATGGAACTTTTAAAATACGTCATGTTTTAAATATTAAACACATTGACTTTCAGACTAGACTACAAAGATATGGCATATAAATTAGTCATTTGCACTTCCAAAAGTAGATACTTCCAATTAAAATTAGTGAGACTACTGATAAATACCTGCTTAGTAACACAAATCACTTAAAGTTTTCCTCTCATAAAAAATAAATGTAAACTCACATCACAGAATCGTAACTATACTAATGCTCCTCCTACTCTCAAACACCTCACAGTAGTACTCCGAGATCAGTTTAGTGAGGAAAGAAATGACCCTTAACCAAACTGTCCTACAACAAAGAGATTAAATGACATTTCCAGTGCCCCGTAGTAAACTGATGGCAGAAACAGAACAGTATTCTGAAGTTCAGTCTATATTCTGTTGCTTTCAAAACTAACTGCAGCTCAGTTAGGTATTTATCAGATCTTACATCACTATACAGTAAGGACATGTCTCTGGCATGATTCAGTTCAGGAGTGTCATCAGACCCGATGTACTGGCCTTTCTCGAGGTTAAATGTTTCTTTGTATTTTAGCTACAAGAGAGAAGAAATACTGAGTTAATGCCACAATAGAAATAAATTATCCCAACTAGTCCATCTGTAAGAAGTAGACATTTATTTTCTGTTAAATGTTATCACACCTTCAGAAATGTTGTATAGTGCATTTCAGCCACTATGGTACACAGACAGACGTCATCAGTAAAACTTGAGTAAAATGGAACATGTTTATCAGCAATTAAGACAGTGGCCACAATGAACTCCACTAGCTTACAAGAACAAGACTCAATTTTAAATCACTGTAAGGAAAATCTGTATCAACTGTAAATAAGGGATAACCTGTATCTGTCTACAGAAAAATGTAAAATGCTTTGTTGCAGCAATATTGTGTTATTTCTATATTCTTACTGAACAACTTGCCCAATAAAAGTCTACTATAAATAAGCATGCACATGCTTACACAAACACAGCTAAACACAGTACAGTCCAGCAAAAGCAATTGAGTCATCTACTAATTCTAATAATACAGAAAGGAAAAATGGTACATACATCACTCTGATTGACAGAGTTAATCTTTGCCAAGACAATGTCTGGAGTGTCAACCACACTGGTGAACTTAGAAAAGTTTTCAAGGGCATCTTTCGTATATGCTCTCTGCAAAGAGATGAAATATTTTCTTATACACTGTGGATAAGAAAGAAGAGCTAGCCACACAACAACTCAAATACCTTCTTACCTTATTTATCAGTTCCTGTGCATGCTTAACTTTCTTATGTTCCACTGAATCCAGAGGAATCCAGCCACAACCACGGAGCCATTCCAAGTCAGATTTATAAATATTCTAAAATAATGAAGTTACAAAAAGAAAAGAAATTATGTCCTTCTGCCTTATGGAATATAAAAAATGCACTCAGACCATACAAGTTGGAAATTACATGGTATGTGTGTAAAATCACTTACATCGCTTTGCAGATCATAGGCCTTCTTTGCATGAATACAATCATTCTGGTCAGGGTGGCATGTCCATTGATGCAGGTATTGGCGGTAGTCAATATCACTGACCAACGTCTGACACTCCTTGGCTGCTACAACTGACATAATATCCGCAGGGATGTGAATTTTGGTCTTTGTTTTGTGGTAATTTGATTTATACAATCTGTCATTCTGGATCTCGCCTGCATGTTCAAACCACACCAGTTTTGGATCATCTCTCATACTGGGGACTCCCACGTAGTGACCTCTTTGTTTGACATAGTCAGCTTTGTACTTAAGCTGATGGAAGAGTGGAGAAAAAAGTTAAAATAACATCAGTATTGATTATATCTACTCATTTTTTTAAGCCGTGATCAGCCATGGCTTCGTCAACACCAAGAACAAATGAGACTGTTTTATTAACAGATAGTTGCCAACAGCAGTCTGATTTTCAATACATGACAAAATTAGGAGACAAACAGCAATGTTACTTTGTGTAGTCCTTCCACTTCAAAATGTGTAATTTTCTAGACTAACATGCTATCATTTTTCAGTAGGGTGCATTTTCAAAACATGAGGAAAACCTAGCACGAAAACCTAGCTAGAAAATATCTGCTAAGCACTCAGCCTCAGTTTTCCAGCGCATTTTTGAACATATTATTTAAGACTGTCTGAAGAATTGACCTTTATTTAAGGCATTTACACCACATTTTTGACAAAATGTGCGCTCAGTAGTTAACCAAGAGCTTCAACTCTCACTACACAAAACTTTGAAAGCATCTTATAGTTTCTCACAGAGGAAGCCTCTGTAATGTAACAGAAACTGAAATCAGAGCTGCAGATAACAATCATCACATTTATTAATTTTTTAGAAGCTTATAAAATATGAAATTTTACCTCAGGTGACTTTGAAAGGACTGCATCTGGAGAAACTAAAGGTGGAGACAAGAATCTGACCTTTCAATACTGATATCCATGAAAATCATAATCTCAAAAATGTCTGAATTGTCTGGAGGACAGTGAACTTCATCAATCATAAGATGTCCACTGGATGTTATCCCTAACACAAAGCTTTGCATATCGTTCATTGAACTTGCAAGGCCTTTAGCATTTGTAAGCTTCTAAGCATTTGCTCTCCTAATGCAATGAGAAAAGTTATTACCTCACTTTGGACTTCATTTGAGTGTTTGGCATGACGAATCTGCACAGTGTCAGGAGGTAAGAGATAACCAGTGGCTTTTTCTTTCTCCCAGCTTTCCTTGTATAAACTCTGTGGAAAACAGAAGAGAGGAGAAAGGAGAAATTCAAAACTACTGGAGTCATAGGCATTATTAAATGTATATAAGGTATATAAAATGCAAATAAAATACATCCTTTCTCTAGGGTGTTCTTAATACAGCAAGTTTTCTAAATCCCTCAGAAGAGACGTGAGTTGTGGATGTTGTGTTGAGGGACATGGTTTAGTGGGAGCTATTGGGAATAGGTGAACGGTTGGACTGGATGATCTTTTAGGTCTTTTCCAACCTTGGTGATTCTATGATTCTATGAGTAGAAACTGTCATGATCAAGGAGAGAACACGTACCTGATTAAGAATTCTGGCTGCCTCTCGAGCCATATCCAGCTGTGGTGTGTCTGTTAGAGTGTAATTTGACTTGACCTCATTCCATGCTTTGTGGTATGCAATCTAGAACAGAAAAAAAACAATTGTCACATCATCACAGCACATGGAAAACATAAAACCAAGACCTCTATTTTATGCATAAAATAATGTATAAAAACCTGAGTTTTCAAGCCTATTAAATATGATACATTAAGCACGCATCTAAATGGACAAATATTTTTAAAGGAAGACACACAAGGAAAGATTTTATAGAACCTCTCAGAAAATTTGAAAACTTGTTCCACTGCAGCTGGATGGACAGGGAAGTCTCCTCAGCAGATGAAGCTGCACCAGTTTATTTGGTCTACAAGGCTCCACCACAGCCAGCTGTCAAACTGCAGCAAGAAGTACTTGAACCAGGACAGATTTTAAGTTTTGCAAGATCAGTTCTCTCTATCCAACATAAGCTTTACATGAATGCAGAATCCTAGCATCTCCTAACCAATGCTGTATACATTGAGCCATGTTCCCAAGGACAGGACGTGACCAAATGCGTGCAACGAGCTTGAAGAGCAGCATGCTATTCAACTCAGCTTTGTCATTACCATCCTTTTACCACTGTTGGAATTAAGCATTTAACTTTGCATGTTCTCTACCAGAAGCAAATTGAAAAAAGAAGCACAAATTCATGAACTGAGAGGGGTCATGTCACTTCATCTTCACATGCCAGCTTCTCACAGACTTCAAAAACATATGAAGACTGGCAAGCTGACAGCACACCAATTTTTCTAATGATTGTTGTAGCACAGTAATTAACTGGACAGTTTAAGATTGCACTGACTTCACTAGGAAGGAGTAAGCATTACGGTTGCCACGGTACATGTGGTTACCTATGTTCAGTGTTGTCAAATGTTACCAAAGGTATCACTGCCATACACAGACCAAGTTTACAGCCTGACAAGATGCCAGCAAACTTACATCACTAAGAATTTCACCACTTTTCTTCGCTGTGACATAATCAACTCTGTCTGTCACTGGAGTAAATCGAAGTGTTTCAGCTTTTGTACGATACTTTCTCTGTACAACAGAAAAGATGAAAATACAGTCAGATTACAGTGGAATATTTTAGAGCTAACACGCCCAATTCTGACCATACAGAGAACAAAACAAAGGTTACATTCTGTGAATACTGTGGAAATACTCCAGTTGTGTTTTTTGTAATAAAAATACATGAAATGCTGGTGTATTTAATCATTTAAAAATACTGAAAGTTACAACTACTCCTGAGGAAATCTTAAATCTTAATACTGAGAACTCTTAGTTACCTCATTCAATAGGTCTCCGGCATGTTTGACATGATTTATCCCAAGTGAATCATTTGGTAGCCATCCAATTCCTCGTAGCCATTCTAAATCAGATTTGTAAACAGCCTGAGAAAACAAAATAGAGTTTGTGCTGTTAGCCAGAGTTCCCTGTACAATCCAGCAAGATCCATACAGAAAGGCATGCACTCCTGCTCGTTAAAAGGAGAACAGTAATTCCGATTTCATCTAAATTCATTAGCACTACATCTAAATTCACAAATTCATTAGCACTACATGTAAATTCAGTACTCTTCAAACTTAGCAGTATGTAACAGTGGCATACACTACGTATTCTAAATAACCAGCAAAGCCAATTCACTGCACTTAGCAAAACATTCCCACTGACTTCAGTTAGAGCTGAAGCAGACTAAGAAAAGACAACAGAGTAAGAAGTTAAACTAAGTTTGCATGTTAACTCACATCACTTTGAAGATCGTAGGCTTTCTTGGCATGTATCACATCATTCTGATCTGGAAGACAGATCCACTGATGCAAGTAATGACGGTAATCAATATCACTGACCAAAGACTGCCCATGTTTAGCTGACTGGATAGACAGCATATCAACAGGCAGGTGGCACTGTGTCTTCCATTTGGCAAAGTGTTTCTTGTATTCTAGTTCACTCTGAACCTTGCCTATGCCAAGGGCAAACTGCATTTTTGTATCTGCTTTTGCATTTGGAACTCCAACGTAATGTCCTTTCTGCTTCTCATGATCCAGTTTGTATTTATACTGGGTAAAAAGCAAAGTTCACCATTAATAACAGTTATGGAATACTTCTTAAAGCATATGGAAAGCTAGATGCCTCTTTCTGCACTTACGTCACTAGCAATTTCTCTGGAAGCTTTGGCTGCTTTAATTGGGATTGCGTCTGCTCTCAAATCGTAACTCATCTTCACTTCATCCCAGGCTTCTCTATACAGTTTCTGAAAAGACAGTACAATGTCACACATAAGCAAGATTCCCTAGCATTTGTCATTAAAGAAACACGTACTACACTGTCATTTGTTTGCTGAAATGTGGTATTTTGGGGGAGCATCACTTCTGCTTCAAGCTATAAATACTGCTTGTCAGGACACGCACAGTGCCTGTAACACACCACTGTTCCAACCTGTACAGCATAAAGGTGCTTGTAAAAGTTATGAAAATATTTATAGCCTCTTTTCCATTTCATAAAGCATTGTCTCAGTGGTGCACTATATTAATCATTTCTGAACAGCTGTATGCAAGTATTTGTTTTAAACTGCCTAAATACTTCAAGAATGCTCAGTAGAGGGAAGGCAATGTTGTAAGCTGCATATAATGAAAGATTTCAAGAAGATTCATGCGACTTAACCTCCAACTTTTTAAGTAACACCTTAGAAAGTTAAAATTCAGAGTTTACTGTTTTTTTAATGTAGAAAGCAGAAAAATAAACATACCTTGCTATAATTATGAGCATTAGACCTGGCTAGGTTGATTTCAGGTGTGTCTGGCATAATATGGATCATAGTCTTGTCCTTTTCCCAGGCTTCTTTGTATTTTGGCTGTCAAAATAATTCATTTTGCATTTAAAATACGGAACAGCACTTGTCAATAATACAACATTCCATAAATCTCACATAAAATTATCATCTCCAAAAAATAAAACGTCTTGAAAAGCGTAAGGCAACTTAAAATACCACTATCTATCTATTTGACATTTTAAAAGAGAGTTTTCTGTTTAACTGCTTATCACCTCCAAACAATGAAAGATTCAAGAACACTGTAACGTACAATACTGAGCTGTTCAGCATTCACTTTAGCTAGAAGAATGTCTGGAGAATCGACGACACTGGTGTACTTCACGCTGTCAATAGGTGTGCGATACACCTTGTCACTCAGGAGATCCTGGGCATGTTTCACTCTCTGAATACCTGGAGAATCATTAGGCAACCAGCCAATTCCACGGAGCCATTCTAGGTCTGACTTATAAATAGCCTGTGTTGAAAAATGGTCAGAAGAAAAAAAAAATTGTGTTTAAAATGACAGTCTTAGTTATTTTAGACCAAAAGCAGGATATGTCTTAGGAAATTGCCAGTCAGCTTATACACACACAAGAGATATTCAGAGCAATAAGTAAGCCTGGGAAGAAGATTTAAGTAAGCTAGTAAATTAAGCAGTATATTCAAAGACAAATGAATATAAAAAGCGGAGAAGCAAGTGAATAGAATGGATGTTAAGGACGGTAAGAAGTCTTTCTGTTCTCTCCAAAATATGCATTCCTCTAGGTGCTTCAACAATTTAAGGGTCCAAATAAGAAAATATGTGGCCCCTCGTGAAAGATGGCAAAAATACATTAAGAAAAAAAAAAAAGAAAAAGGAATAGAGATACTGAGGAGTAGAGCTGCTAATTCAGCAGATCTCCTGATGTGGCAGCAGACAACAACATTGTCTTCAATTGACCAAATTCTTCAACAAGGAACATGAATCTCACCACTGAAGCTCCAGTGAAATAGAGGAAGACACACTGCTGTCTGCTTAAGTTGTAAAACCATAGCACAAAAGCAGCTGTATTTACTCCATTTGCTTTGAAATCACTAGAATATCTTAGCTGCAATCTGACATAGTGTTCATGACAACAAATAAATTATCAAATATAAACAATAAAATTACTAGATAAAAAGCAAAAAACACTTGTTATCTAAGAAGTACTCAGAACAGCAGATTCATCATCACCTCCAAATTACATACTCAAAAAGAATGTGAAATACAGCAGATACAAATTAAGTCCTGTGAAAGTTTACAGATAATACCAAGAATGAGTAAGATGAGACCATAGGAGAAACTGTTCTAAAGATCAAACAAGTGTGACTAAGCTAAAATGAAATAATAACATTAGTATACACCAGATCTTCATGCATACATACATCACTCTGTAGGTCGTAGGCTTTCCTCGCGTGCACCACATCGTTGTGGTCAGGCAGACACGTCCACTGGTGAAGGTAATGGCGGTAGTCAACATCACTGACAAGTGTCTGGCACTCCTTGGCTGCCTGCAGTGACATCGCATCCACCGGCATGTGGATGTGGGTCTTGGAGTCGTGGTACGCCTTCCTGTAGATGCGGTCGTTCTGCAGCAGCATGGCTCGTGCAGCCCACGACAGCTTGGGATCCTCCTTGGCGGTTCGGCACCCAATGTAGTGCCCTTTCTGCTTCTCGTGAGCTTCCTTGTACTTGTACTAAGACAAGTAAAAACAACATCAGCAGCCACACAACTGCTCGCCTGAACACCACCCACAGAAAGGACCTCCCCGGGCTGCCACTCCTGTGACACAGCTCCCTAAGGCACTGCCTCAGCACCGACAAAGCTCCCATCCACACAGAAGACACTCTCCAGCACCCAAAACACGTGTCCACAGAGCACCACGGTTTCTCAAAAATACATCTGCCTTCTCTTCGTGCATGGAAGCAATGAAAAACATACTGACATAGACGCCTTGCTCTGCAAGACTGCCCCAAGCACCAGCCTCGCTGCACACCCTTATGGAGAAAGCATTTGATAGTGGGGATTACAGGAACTGCAGGTATTCAGCAGCAGCCACAGCCCTGGCACTGCCAAAATCAGTTTCACCTCCTTTCTTGGCGGTGGGAAACTAGCACTTCGTTACCTGGCACTCCTAGCACTCCAACAAGCTTATCACACTGTGTCCTAAGAACGGACCACTAACTCACAGGCAGCTTCAAGCTGCAGAAAGAGAGAAAGCACTCTGGACAGCCCTTAAAATAACAAAGGGACACAAACTCATGCTCTGCTTCTCCCTCAGATGCACTTCACCCAGTTCCATCAAGAGGGGCAAAGGAAGACACAACACAGGACAACCGCGTTCAGAGGAGGCCGTACCTCACTAGCAATGTCTCTGGAAGCCCTGGCGTGTTTGATGGGAATGGCGTCAGCTCTCAGGTCATAGTTCTTCGCTTTGGCCTCATCCCAGGCTGCCTGATAATGTTTCTGCAAAGTAAATTGATCAACCATGTTACATCCAGCCAGGACTCTGGCCTTGATGTGGTCATACACACACATACAACTGGAGAAGAGTTACTGGAGACAAAACATCTGCTCTCCTGATCAAACAAATCCACGCTCTCCTGACTTGTCACTCCTCCTACACCTGCCAGAGACTTCCTTCTTTTCTGGTCTTTTTCTGGACCAATAAAGAATGTGACTGTTGGCAGTGAGTCTTAGTCCATACACCAGACTGAACAGAAATTGAAGTGTCTCCAGTGTTGCTAAAGACCCATGCCATCTAGGAAATCAAGCACAAAAACACTAGGGCTCCTCCTTTAATGTGAAGTTGGCCCTCAAATGTTTGGTTTGTCCACCTGAATTTGATGTCACTAGAGGGGCTCAGTAAATAACATGGTTTTAAATTCTCTGATGACTGTGGAAGAAGAGAAAGTCAATTATATCACAAGTCAGACCACAAGGAACTCTGTAATCAAAGCAAGAGCAAGGTTAAAAAATAAAAAAATAAAAAAAAAGAGGATACTGAAATGTCTATTGCAGCAACATCTGAAACATTTGAGTTCTAATTCAATCACATCCACTACTTCTGAACAATCTTTAACTTGATGTTCAACATCGAGAACATCTAGGAATGGATGCAGATTCCAGCCAAAAAATTTCCTGCCCCCTTCATGCTGAAGACACAAAACAGGAAACTGCTTTCAGCCTTATAAAATCTCCAGTGCTAGTCCTAGTCCCACAAAAATAGTGGGTGAAGCAACACACAGCTGCAAAATATGTCAGGGGTGATGAGCCTACAGACTACTTCAACAGCTCCACAAAAAATCATTGCCAGTTTTTATCAAAGGGAGAAGTCTTCTGTAATTATGCCCTGAAGTTCTAACTTTGCTCACAAACACATGCCCATCAGACAAGGCAGCTGACTCCTTGCTCAACAGATTCAGGAACACGTGTAATTTAAGACAAAATGCATCAGTGTTGGCATGTTCCACAGAGGCAATTTCATCATTTTTGTATTCACACAGACTTTGTGAGGACACAACAGCATGGAGTCTAGATCAGCACCCTTACTGATTCCTTGCTTGACAAATGTCAGGTTCAATAACAACCCATGTGCAGCATTAATTACACTCTGCATAGGGCTGCCTAGATGTAATCTACAGTTTACCATACTAACACAGTGGAAATAGCAGTAGTATGTGCCACTCTTTATGGCAAAAGCTAAAAGAAGACAGAAGTCAGGTGAAAATCTCTACAAGAGTTGCACACTCTGAAGTGAACTTTTCACACACATCTCTTTTCACTCTCTTACATTGCTGATGTTCAGAGCATTGAGTTTTGACTGCAGCATCTCAGGAGTGTCAGAAGGTATGGAAATCTGTGTCTTGTCCTTGTCCCAGGCCTCGCGGTACAGACGCTAAGGGGAAAGGAAGCAAAATGACATTTCACTATGGCCTGAACAGTGAAAAATACAACAACACTTGTGGGAATACTTCACAACATCGATTTTAAATTAGCCATTATCATGTTAGAAACTGAACTCTCCAACACAAGGAAATGTCAACATACGGTGTAAGATAAAGAAAACAAAAGCTTACATTACTGAGTTGCAAAGCATTGATCTTAGCCTGGACAACATCTGGTGAATCAGTGATGCTGGTGAATTTTATCTGGTCTGGCTGTGTGCGGTACAGCTTGTCACTCAGGATTTCCTGGGCTTTCTTGGCTTTGACCACATCCACAGAACCTTCTGTCAGCCAGCCAATACCTCGCAACCACTCCAGGTCTGATTTGTACACATTCTGCAAATAAACCAAGGGTTACTGCCATTGCAGAGACAACTCTGAGTACAGAGAGCTTATGTACGTACAAGGCTTTCCCCAAACTTCTTCTCCAAAAGTTTTACACAAAGTACTAATTGCTGAGCCGGCAGCCTACCAAAACCATTAAGTAAAAAACTATCACATCTTTTGTATTGCAACAAAATTAAACATCATTTAAAATAAATCCTACATGCAAAAGAGACATAATCTGCAGGTAAACATTGTTCAGTAGAAAAAAAACACATCAGTAACACACACTACATGCTGATATGAACTGCCTAATACACTCATGGCTAAGATGTAAATAATGTTGAAATTATCATATACACGAATTACAAAACCATGTGAGGACAGACTGCAAATTCATGAAAAGAGCCTTGAGATAATGCATGAAGAGAGACAAGAAGAGGCTCACGCAACTTTCTGAAAGCTTTCCTACAATTACTCCCACTCACATCACTCTGTAGGTCGTAGGCTTTCTTCGCGTGCACCACATCGTTGTGGTCAGGCAGACACGTCCACTGGTGAAGGTAATGGCGGTAGTCAACATCACTGACAAGTGTCTGGCACTCCTTGGCTGCCTGCAGTGACATCGCATCCACCGGCATGTGGATGTGGGTCTTGGAGTCGTGGTACGCCTTCCTGTAGATGCGGTCGTTCTGCAGCAGCATGGCTCGTGCAGCCCACGACAGCTTGGGATCCTCCTTGGCGGTTCGGCACCCAATGTAGTGCCCTTTCTGCTTCTCGTGAGCTTCCTTGTACTTGTACTAAGACAAGTAAAAACAACATCAGCAGCCACACAACTGCTCGCCTGAACACCACCCACAGAAAGGACCTCCCCGGGCTGCCACTCCTGTGACACAGCTCCCTAAGGCACTGCCTCAGCACCGACAAAGCTCCCATCCACACAGAAGACACTCTCCAGCACCCAAAACACGTGTCCACAGAGCACCACGGTTTCTCAAAAATACATCTGCCTTCTCTTCGTGCATGGAAGCAATGAAAAACATACTGACATAGACGCCTTGCTCTGCAAGACTGCCCCAAGCACCAGCCTCACTGCACACCCTTACAGAGAAAGCATTCGATAGGGGGGATTACAGGAACTGCAGGTATTCAGCAGCAGCCACAGCCCTGGCACTGCCAAAATCAGTTTCACCTCCTTTCTTGGTGCTGGGAAACTAGCACTTCGTTACCTGGCACTCCTAGCACTCCAACAAGCTTATCACACTGTGTCCTAAGAACGGACCACTAACTCACAGGCAGCTTCAAGCTGCAGAAAGAGAGAAAGCACTCAGGACAGCCCTTAAAATAACAAAGGGACACAAACTCATGCTCTGCTTCTCCCTCAGATGCACTTCACCCAGTTCCATCAAGAGGGGCAAAGGAAGACACAACACAGGACAACCGCGTTCAGAGGAGGCCGTACCTCACTAGCAATGTCTCTGGAAGCCCTGGCGTGTTTGATGGGAATAGCGTCAGCTCTCAGGTCATAGTTCTTCGCTTTGGCCTCATCCCAGGCTGCCTGATAATGTTTCTGCAAAGTAAATTGATCAACCATGTTACATCCAGCCAGGACTCTGTGAAATGGTGCTTTTCTTAATATGTAGTCACTGGAGCTTAATCCTTTGGGTGTTTTTTGTGTCTCTTCTAACAGGCAAGTTGCAATAGTGATCCTTACAAGCGCCCTAGCAGAAACCTCAGAACTCAGATTTCCAAGGAACGAAACTCAAAACATGAGGATACATTATTGAAAACACATCACAAAATCATGTTGAAGTCCACTGCTGAGCACATCTATGACCTCACCCATAGCCCTCACATGGGCTGTTACACTGGTAGACTTGTGCACCCTCATGACTAGTACTAAATTCTGTAAGGCCTTGATGTGGTCAAGCATTCTATTCACATACACAGCCAATTGCAGGAGCAGAGTTGCTGGAAAAAAAATACCTTTTTTTTGACAAAATAAATCCAAATTGTACTGAGCTTTGAAGCCTCCTACACCTGCTAGACTTCTTTATTGGTCTTCTCCTAGGCTAACCAAAGAAGTTAATGAGGGCAAAGAGTCTTTGTCCATTTACACGACTTTGTTCATTTACAGAAACTGAAGCCTCTCCATATGTCCATAAAGACCCATGCTATCCAGAACATCCAGCACACAAACACCAGGGCTCTGGTTTTAGCATCATCGTGGCCCACAGAAGCTTGATCTGCCCACCTGAACTTGGTGTCATTTGAATGGTTTGATAAACAACGTGCTTTGTAGTTCTCTGATGACTGTGAAGAATCAGAAACTAAAGGTTATAGCAAACCAAACCACAAAGAATTCTTACATTGCTGATGTTCAGAGCATTGAGTTTTGACTGCAGCATCTCAGGAGTGTCAGAAGGTATGGAAATCTGTGTCTTGTCCTTGTCCCAGGCCTCGCGGTACAGATGCTAAGGAGAAAGGAAGCATAATGACATTTCACTATGGCCTGAACAGTGAAAAAAAAAAAAACAAAAAAAAAACCTTAAACCTCGTGGAGATTATTTAGTAATGTTCATTTCATTCGTTTCAAATTAATCATTATCTTGATAGAAATTGTAGTCTCTAACAAAGACGTGTGAATGAAAAGTAAGCGAAACAAAAGCTTACATTACTGAGTTGCAAAGCATTGATCTTAGCCTGGACAACATCTGGTGAATCAGTGATGCTGGTGAATTTTATCTGGTCTGGCTGTGTGCGGTACAGCTTGTCACTCAGGATTTCCTGGGCTTTCTTGGCTTTGACCACATCCACAGAACCTTCTGTCAGCCAGCCAATACCTCGCAACCACTCCAGGTCTGATTTGTACACATTCTGCAAATAAACCAAGGGTTACTGCCATTGCAGAGACAACTCTGAGTACAGAGAGCTTATGTACGTACAAGGCTTTCCCCAGACTTCTTCTCCAAAAATTACACAACAAGCAGTCAGCACTGAGATTATGGACAAACAAATCCTTTACAGACATACCTTCCTTCACTTTGTAATAAAATTAACCATCTCTTAAAAATGCAGGATGATCCAAAAATTTTTAAAAACATTACACAGGCACTGACTGCACAGACATGAAACAATCCTTGAGATTTTATCAGCAATGACAAGAAGAGGCTCACGCAACTCTCTGAAAGCTTTCCTACAATTACTCCCACTCACATCACTCTGTAGGTCGTAGGCTTTCTTCGCGTGCACCACATCGTTGTGGTCAGGCAGACACGTCCACTGGTGAAGGTAATGGCGGTAGTCAACATCACTGACAAGTGTCTGGCACTCCTTGGCTGCCTGCAGTGACATCGCATCCACCGGCATGTGGATGTGGGTCTTGGAGTCGTGGTACGCCTTCCTGTAGATGCGGTCGTTCTGCAGCAGCATGGCTCGTGCAGCCCACGACAGCTTGGGATCCTCCTTGGCGGTTCGGCACCCAATGTAGTGCCCTTTCTGCTTCTCGTGAGCTTCCTTGTACTTGTACTAAGGAATTGTAAAAGCAGGATAATAAGATATTGATCATGTATTGGTCATGAATGATTTTTTTTTTAAATGTACTAGATAGATAGTATACTTATTCACAGTTTAGAAACATATGCTTTCTTGTTGCATACTTCTTACTCAATTCACAGTCACTTATGATTTCCTAATATCTGTTTAGTATCTGGAATTGCAGTGCAATTTTTCTTTTGAAATTGATATCCATTGCCTTTCTGCTTTGAATTCTATGCTGGTAAGCTTTTTCATGAAGAGAATATAGCATACTTTTTTTAGTGTCTCATGTAACTTTCCACTGATTCCTATTTCACAAATGAACAATCTACATAAAGGAAGTACATACATCACTCGCAATATCTCTCGATGCCTTTGCACTTCGAATTGGAATTGCATCAGCTCTCATGTCATAACCCTTCTTTTTGGCCTCTTCCCAGGCTTGTATATAATGTTTCTACATAAAAGAAGACAGAAAACAGCTTCTGAGTATTCATAAGGGTGGAACTTTCACATCTCATATTCTCTCCCAAAATTTTAGTGAAAATGTGTTTTATAAAATCATTATGGTGAAAGAAATGCTTACTTAATTTCCCTCTTTCCATTAAGGTAATTATATGTTTAAATATTCTTACATGGCTAACATTCTCTGCGTTGGCCTTGGCTAATAAAATGGTTGGAGTGTCAGGCATGACGTGAATCGACGTTTTGTCTGCATCCCAGGCTTCTGTATATAAACGCTACAGGAGAGAGAAAGAGATTCTTTTAAGCAGCTTAACTATGTAATGATGGCAGGACTGCAAGCTAGAGACTGGCATTCACCAAAAATATATCTATTTATGATATCAAAGAAATGAAGTCTTGATGGAGAGCAAGGTATATTACACAACCAAACTAATATATTTGTACAAAGAAAGTATTTTACAAACTTTCACATGGTTCAAGTAGGCTTTAATATCCTGATACAGTAAAGGTTTTCATAGAACTACTTAAGTAGGAAACTTCATTCTTCCTCCATTTCTTTGGGTAAATTGGAGCAGCAAATTATTGACTTAAGGTTGCTAGGAAAACACTGTGTACTCTTCTTCTGTATTTTTCACCTTATCAACAAGGTCTTTCAACTAGCAACACCAGTTGCAGTAACATACAAACCCACCTTGTTCATTATCTCAGCATTATGCTTGGCTAACATCATAGCCAAAGAATCTGTCACGCTGGTAAATTTGATTTGGTCGGCTGGTTGACGATACTTCCTCTCGCTCAGGATTTCTCCAGCTTTCTTCGCCTTCTCAACATCCAAAGAGCCAATAGGAACCCATCCAATTCCTCTCAGCCATTCCAAGTCGGATTTATAAACAGCCTGAAAATTTTTGAAAGTACATCATATATAATTATTTTAATGTTGTACTTGCATATATAAGTAATTGTATCTTATACCACACTAGGAATTTTATATATTTCTGCATATTAGCAGCACGTGGTTTTTAAACCAACTTAAATTTTTGAACAAAATATTGAATCTTTAAATAACAAGAAGGGAGTTATTGAAGATCTCTGCATGTGCCAGAGTTAGGAAGAAAGTCTATCTCAGGTTAAAGACAGAGAAAACAGAATTAAATGTAATGATGACAGCGTATTAAATGCTTTGCTATGAAGAACACATGCGATTCAAGTGACTGAGGCACATTTTATACAAACTATTAGGTACAAAACCCAGCATATTTAATCATGTATTACAAATTCAGCAATTTACTCACATCACTCTGCAGATCATAGGCCTTCTTAGCATGGATAACGTCGTTCTGGTCCGGCAGGCAGATCCACTGATGCAGATAGTGGCGGTAATCAACATCGCTGACCAGCTCCTGGCATTTCTTGGCCAACACAATTCCCAGCATGTCCACGGGGCTGCTGAAGTGCGTCTTGGTCTTCTCAAAGGCTTTCTTGTACTCCCTGTCACTCTGGATCTTGGCTACGTGCATCGACCACATCATCTTGGGGTCGTCCTCGATGTTGCGGGCTCCAATGTGGTGGCCCAGCTGCTTGCGGTACCCTTCTTTATACTTGTACTGAAATAAAGTATGTTCGTATTTTATATGGTACACTTATCAATTAATAAATGATACACAGAGATTAAGATATTTTTTAACATCATTACTAATATTTTTATGCAACTCAGACCTCCCTACTATTTCATTAACTTTGACATAAGTTGTTGTTTTTTTTTTAATACAGCTATCTGTCCTGATTTCACCTGGGAGAGAGGTAATATTCTTCATAGTTAAGCCACAACATTGTAAGACATACACAGTTAATATTTAGTGTCACATCCTAGCTAATAAGTCTGATATTCTGCATTGGTTTGATGTTAAGATTAGAATGTAATAATTAAGTTATTGTTAAGGTTTATCATGGGACACCATGATGAAGACAGTTTGAAGTGGTCTTTACACTGTTTAATTATCAATCTTGGTGGAAAAACAAGTAACATATAAGTATTATCCTCTGTTCTACAGATGTTTCCTCATCAGGAAACAGCATAGTTTTTAACACTGTTTTTGTGTGCAGACATTTTAAATTTCAGTACAACATTCCAACAGAATTATTTTTTTCCCCAGAAAACGACAAAAATTTATAACTTTTAGCATTAGTTTTCTAACATATATATATATATTCTGGGCAGAAATTTCACAGTATTTCCTACTTTGAAACAGAAATGAATTTGGTTAACTACACCATCCTACTTTAGCATCCATGAGCATGCAATAGAACTATTACAGCGGACACAGATTTGCCCTTTACATTATTTTGCCTATTGATTGCTATTATGTCTTTCTTATGCATAAAAATACAGACTGTCCATGCCTTCTATGCACTACAGCACTCAGTAGAATTACAGAATTTCAGTATTATCTATTCTACACTGAAGATATTGATATAATAGATATCAAGATATAATAACCAAGGGAACAGTCATTTCAATTTTTTTTTGCTTTAACAAATCCATAAATCCATGAGAAAAAAACAAACCCAAAATGCTTACATCACTGGCAATCTCTCTGGATGCTTTGGCAGCTTGGATAGGAATGGCATCAAAACGCAAGTCATGACCCTTCTTCTTTGATTCCTCCAAAGCCAGTCTGTACATTTTCTGTTAAAAAAAAAAATAATAAAAAAATGGATTCAATAATCAGAAAATTTACACACTTCAGTTAAACACACTTGAGTAAAAAAAAAAACCAAACAAATTATGGTCTTTAATGATGTTGTTGATGTTCAGATAGCTTGAATATCTCAACACTGCTCTACCTTCTGCAGAAAGAAAAAAAAAACAGATTTGAAAGATTTTCTGATTTCATAGCAGACATTTGGAAAGTAGAAGTCATCCAGGGAAGGGAAAGAAAGAAATACTTTAAAACTTATATTATTTATTTCCATGCTCCGCTATAAAACTGATCACTAGCTCATGGTAGAAAAAATATTTTAGAAGAACATCAGATGCCTAGGAGATAGATTCTAGTAAAAGAACGACTCAGAAGTGAATAACATAGCTGGCCACTTAGGAAATCAAACAACTTGACAACAATATAATATAAAGTGAAATTCAGAGGTAAATAAATTGAACTTTCTCAGCTCTTCAGATTTACTCACCTGACTGTAGTGTACTTGGTTTTGTTTAGCTAGTACAATTTCTGGTGTGTCAGGCATGATGTGAATTGTGGTCTTATCTTTATTCCACGCTTCAGTGTATAAACGCTAAGAATACAGGAAAAAGATTAATGTTGCATTGCAGTACAAGGTCAATTTTCATTAATTAGCTAAACTATAATACTAGGTAAAATTAAAGGAAAGAGTAAAAATAAATGCCTACACATTTAATCAGAGTTAGATACCAAATTCTCCCCGTAAAGAGAATTTAACTGAGGAAATTCAGTGTAGAAACACAGAATCACAGAAACAGAATGGCTAAAAGCAGACAGGACCCCCAAAAGTCATCTGTTCCAACTCCCTGCTCAAATAGAGGCATCTAGAGCCTACAGAACAGCAAGCTTAATTAAGAATAATGAAGAAAGCAAAGTGTTCTGACTGCTCACTACACAGACCACATAAGAAAAAAGATTTAAGTGTAATATGTTGAAAATCTCAAGGTAAACCTTTTGTTACATGGCTATTAGTTTTGAGAGAAATACACAGAACACAGTATTTGAAACAAACGTTATAACTGAACTTAAGCATTATTTGTGATCACATTATTTCTAGTCTTCTGTCTCCAAGGGTTAGCAGGAGAATGCCAATACGTTGCTAAACCGAATCAGGACTCACCTTATTCATCACCTCTGCATTATGCTTAGCTAAGTTCATCTCTACAGAATCAGTAACACTAGTAAACTTGATGGTGTCTGGAGGCTGACGGTAGACTTTATCACTCAAGATCTGTCCTGCCCTCTTGGCTTTTTCAATATCCAAGGAACCAATGGGGACCCAACCAATGCCACGCAACCACTCAAGGTCTGACTTGTAGAAATTCTATTACAAAAACAAACAAAACCCAATAAAAAACAATGAACAAATACAACCAAATTAGAAATTCTAATAATGTCATTTACACGACACATCTTTTCACAAGCATTTAAGTAAACTTATCATCAACTTTTAATACAAATAAAACTCAAAGCCCAGAAAAAAGCTTCAAAGAAATCACTGCATTTCTTCCAGACACAGAATTCCATCCAGATACAAGTTTCACATCAAGACAAATGATGAATAGCTCAAAAAGGCCAAATCAGACAACTTAATTTAAATATCAAGAAGTTAACATATACTCTTGTAGATCTGAATTTCAGTACACCATACAACTTTAAAATTGACTTTAAAATTGTGTTCTACCACATTTGTACTTGATGTTCTCATCCACCTATGTAAAATATCCAATACATTTCTCCCCAAAAATGAAATCACAGGTACTCACATCACTCTGCAGATCATAGGCCTTCTTAGCATGGATAACGTCGTTCTGGTCCGGCAGGCAGATCCACTGATGCAGATAGTGGCGGTAATCAACATCGCTGACCAGCTCCTGGCATTTCTTGGCCAACACAATTCCCAGCATGTCCACGGGGCTGCTGAAGTGCGTCTTGGTCTTCTCAAAGGCTTTCTTGTACTCCCTGTCACTCTGGATCTTGGCTACGTGCATCGACCACATCATCTTGGGGTCGTCCTCGATGTTGCGGGCTCCAATGTGGTGGCCCAGCTGTTTGCGGTACCCTTCTTTATACTTGTACTGAAATACATATCAAGATATTATATTTATATGTAGAACATAATATCAGTTACCCATGTAAAATGCTTTAATAACAAACTCTCTGAAGTTTTCTGTAACCTACAGCCAACAAATATACATTTGAAGTAATTCTGGGCTTATAACATGGATCCCCAGGTTAAATTTCTGAGATTTGTATTAGAGCAATAAACAGAGCTGAATAATTATTTTTTTTTTTAAGAAATTCTTCTCTAATGTTATTGAGACATAATCTTGTTTTATACATATTTCTAAAGATTTAACTACACATAAGCACACAAGGCATCTTGTCCATATCTTTTACAATTTGGCCTTTATACATAAGCTATTTCCAAAATGCACTTTTTAGATGAGAGTTAAAATTAAACTTCTTTTACAGAAATAATCCGAACATTGTTATATTGTTGAGATCTGATGTCAAAACACACAAAAAAACCAAAATATTAGTGTCTTACATCACTGGCAATTTGCCTGGATGCTTTGGCAGCCTGAATTGGGATAGCATCACTTCTCAAATCATAGCCTTTCTTTTTTGCTTCTTCCATGGCTTGTTTGTACAGTTTCTAGGTAAAGAATCAAACAACAGGATTAATGTAGCTAAACTCCATATGTTGCGTTGTGTGCAAAACAAACTGCTTGTGAGTAGGAAAAAAAAATTGTTAAGATTTATTCTATCCTGGTTTTATCTAACTTCCTTAATTCAAATCTCCAGATCAGTAACTTATATTGAATGAATATCTTTGCTAGCTACACTAATAATTTTTTTCTTTCTAAACTTTGATCGTATAACATACATTACAACTTGATAGCTGAACTATTCCTCCACATACAAGTAGAATAAAGCTTTCTAAAGCCACCTCTTACTGATGTGAATATTTTTGCCTAAACTAACTGAACACTGGGAACAATAATCATCACAACTGTGAAGGAATTCTTTTTTTTTTTTTTTGCATCTCTAATGTTGGACTGAATTTTGCACTTTTCCAGCAATATATATAATGTTAAATAAAATAAATAAAATAAAATGGCAGAAAGAACCCCGCAAAATTCACCACAGACATACTTTTCACAGAATTTATTCAAAGCAATCACCACAGATGGATGGATGGATGGATGTAAGTATGTATGTACTACAAATTATGTTTCAAAAGTCACATTTGATTACGGGTTTTTGGTGTTACTTAAAGAAATCGATCTATACGAATATCTATATTAAGGTTATAAGAATATTAACACAGAACCTATGGAGATCTAACACACTCACCTCACTGTAATTATGCATATTCTGTTTTGCCAGTGTGATTTCAGGTGTGTCGGGCATGATGTGAATTTGCGTCTTGTCTTTATCCCAGGCCTCAGTATACAAACGCTGCAGGAGAGATGCCATAGGTAAAACAAAGAAAAAAAGATGGCAACTCAGAGATCCCATAAAACAGAAGACTGTAGTCCTGGTCTAAAAAGTCCTTATTTCTTACATAGTAGTGAGATTTTATGCTCATTTCTCTAAGTGTTTAAATTTCAGGTTAAGCATTCATAACGTAGAAACAATTCTGCTTCAAAGAAAATATTTAGAAAAAGGGCTTTTCAAGGAATGCACATCAGACACACAGATCTAAACTCTACGAACAACATCCCACTCAAAGAAGAAAGGGCTCCATTGACATTAATAGTGTTGAATGAGATTAGGGCATCAGATTCACAAAAATCAGATTCTTGGACTGTAAGAACTATGCTGAGTCGTTTAAAATACAGGTATTTCAAAGACTGCTTTGAAACAAATAATTTATTAACTCCTGCATCACTAGACAACTTTGATCAATCATTAGACAAGTAGCTAAAATTTATATCAAAAACTGGATGAAAGATAACATGCTACTAAATACTTACTAGAGCATGTAAAGAGCTTCAAAACTTTAAATTACTATTTAACTTGGTAGCTTGGAAGATACTGCTGTGTATATTAGCAGCTGCTAAAAATAAGTTACATTCTTAGTAATCAACAAGTAACTTAGATTTCTAAAGTCTCGCTATGTTCAAAACTCATGCAGCAAGCACAGACTTGTATTTCTAGACTTTTATCTCAGAACTGCAGCATTATTTGTGATCACATTATTTCTAGTCTTCTGTCTCCAAGGGTCAACAGGAGAATGCCAATACGTTGTTAAACTGAATCAGGACTCACCTTATTCATCACCTCTGCATTATGCTTAGCTAAGTTCATCTCTACAGAATCAGTAACACTAGTAAACTTGATGGTGTCTGGAGGCTGACGGTAGACTTTATCACTCAAGATCTGTCCTGCCCTCTTGGCTTTTTCAATATCCAAGGAACCAATGGGGACCCAACCAATGCCACGCAACCACTCGAGGTCTGACTTGTAGAAATTCTGTTACAAAAAAATACGAAGACAGACATCTTTTTAAATTCCAGTTAAACTTCACATATATCATACAAAAACAATGCTTACTTTCTGTTAGTCATTTTTCTCCTAATTCAGTCCACCGAATAATCTTCGTTAACCACACAGATCTAGATCCCAAACTTACTCCAAGCTATAACTCGCCAAACAGCATGCAGGAGAATGGCCAAGGAGGAATTAGAGGAACTTAAGACTTGGAAATTCAGCATAAATGTTTCCTTAAAGATAAATTCCTAACAATGAGGAGGTCATTCACAAAGAAAAAGTTGTAATTGAAATCATTTTTCTAAGTGAGAAAAGAGGAGCGTTCATCCCTACAGTCATGCAAATTAAAGAAAAATTCTAAAGCTATGTAAACTTAACACAGAGTTAGTCTGCAAAAAATGGCACTAAGGTTCTCCATTATAATAGTACAAAGAGAATTCCCTTCCATTCTGCTAAGAGATTGGCTGAACTAAAACCTCATAGTACTCAGCCTTCCATATTAATATTCACTACTAATAGTCATCTGACCTTGCCCTTGGAACAAGTACAGAGAAACAAAATGAGAAACAATACTGTGTGAGAGAGACAGTTCAAAAAGCTCCTACGTTATGCATACACCAGCCTGTACCATTTGTGTGTTAAGCACAAGAAGTTACATACAATTTTGAAGTTGATCAGTAAGTACTCACATCACTCTGCAGATCATAGGCCTTCTTAGCATGGATAACGTCGTTCTGGTCCGGCAGACAGGTCCACTGATGCAGATAGTGGCGGTAATCAACATCGCTGACCAGCTCCTGGCATTTCTTGGCCAACACAATTCCCAGCATGTCCACAGGGCTGCTGAAGTGCGTCTTGGTCTTCTCAAAGGCTTTCTTGTACTCCCTGTCACTCTGGATCTTGGCTACGTGCATCGACCACATCATCTTGGGGTCGTCCTCGATGTTGCGGGCTCCAATGTGGTGGCCCAGCTGCTTGCGGTACCCTTCTTTATACTTGTACTACAGGCAAAAAAAAATGTTAATTAAGTTTATTTTAACTCCCTTGACATATTAAGAACAGTCCATACAGAACAACCTCCAGAAAACTCAGTGTGTAAAACCACAGTACTGTTACATTCATCAGATACCTCACTAATAAACTATAGTGTGCAAATCAAACATAGAACTGACCAAATAATTTCTGCCCTTTCGGATTATTATATTTTCCAAAGCCTAATTTTAAATATTAAAAGATTCACCTCAGTATGTGAGGATATAACAAGTCTGAAATTACGGTATTAATGAAACACATAAAAAGTTCAGAAAATCTACCTGTCCACATAAACAGTCAATAAATTAACCTCTAATTTACTTCAGAAAAAGTAAAAAACTACTTTTACATTGAAATCGACTGGTCAGCAACCTGTATGTTTATAGAGAATAGGAGCAAAGTAGATGGAGAAAAAGGACCTGTGAAGAAGTTATCCCCACAAAATTAAACCAAAAGGCCAAACTTTCAGGTAAAATCAAAAATTCTGAAAGATGACACAGACAGAATACAGACATACGTTGCAAACACAGAGAAAGCATGCAAGATGGCGTGCCACCAAGGCTCCTGTGCACTTACGTCACTGGCAATGTCCCTGGAAGCTTTAGCAGACTTGATGGGAATGGCATCTGCACGCAGGTCATAGCCCTTCTTCTTGTCTTCTTCCATTGCCAGCCTGTACATTTTCTGAAAGATAAGCAAGCATTCCCCACGTGAAGCTAACAGCACTTCTGCCTGGATCGCCTCCGCCCACAACTGCACACCAAACCCCAGGAAAAACACCTACCTCACTGAAGTTCACCTTGTTCTGCTGGGCCAGCAAAATACCAGGCGTATCTGGCATAATGTGAATGCTGGTCTTGTCTTTCTCCCAGGCTGCGATGTACGAGCGCTGAAAAGATGAGCGCAACACCCACTAAGAACACACAAGAGCACAGCAACAAACGCAAAGACAACCCAGCTCTCTTGCTACAGACACAGGCACCTTGCTTTGAACCAACACCCCCATCCTACACCCGTTTTCCTCTGTCACAGCGCTCCCAAACACTGCTCCAATTGCACTCAACACAAATGGATCCAAAGCACTGAACACAGATCCCCAGGACAGGGCAGTGCATCAGCATTTCCCTCTGGAAAATAACAGCTCAGAGTCCCACAAAAGGCAGGCAAAACGCCTCCAGCTTGCAAACACAGAGGCAGCTCACGTGGTTCATGATTTCAGAGTTGTGCTTTGCCAGAAGCATAGGCATGGAGTCAGGAAGGCTCGTGAACTTGATGGTGTCCGGGTGCTGCCGGTACTTCTTGTCACTCAGGATCATGCTCGCTCGCTTGTTCTTCTCTTCATCCAGGGAACCAATTGGCGACCAGCCAATGCCTTTCAGCCACTGCAGGTCAGACCTGTACACAATCTGAAAAGACACGGCAGGACACAGGGCAGCTGAGCAACATCCTTCACGGCTCTGGCTGCTGCAACCCAACCTGAAAGCACTTATGACTCCCGTTAAGCACAACTTCCCTCACACCCAGCTTTTGGAGGCACGTGCAGCCTACACCAACACAAGCAGCCAGCAAGTAACCAACCAGCTGTCCTCCAGGATCTTCACTACTAAACCTTCTGCACGCAACAGGGACAAAGATCTGCTCTGTTCACCAGTTGTTGGCTGGCAGCAGCACACGAGCAGCTTTACTCCTCAACAGCTAATGCTCCTTAAACCATTCCCATCTGCACAGATGCCTTGTGTTTGCCCAGCCATTTCACCCCAAAGTAAACAATTTGATTCTTTTGCTCTCCCCATATCAAACTGAACTTTGACACCAGCACCCATCCTTCCCCAAAAACTCCCAAGGTAAGGCACGACTCTTCTGCTAATATAAAGAACGATGTCACACAAACATCTTCCTCCCCACCTCAGGACACACCGTGCAACACTCAGACGGGCAGCACGGCCACACCACCCTCTCACACAATCACCTATCTTACCATTCCCCAGCTGCTGCCCATCTTCGCCAACAACGGCACACAACACAACACCCACTTCCCCTTCCCACACACCCACCACTCCATAACTCACATCACTCTGCAGGTCGTACACTTTCCGGGCTTGCACGACATCGTTCTGGTCCGGCAGACAGGTCCACCGATGCAGAAGATGCTTGTAATCAACATCGCTGACCAGCTCCTGGCATTTCTTGGCCAACACAATTCCCAGCATGTCCACGGGGCTGCTGAAGTGCGTCTTGGTCTTCTCAAAGGCTTTCTTGTACTCCCTGTCACTCTGGATCTTGGCTACGTGCATCGACCACATCATCTTGGGGTCGTCCTCGATGTTGCGGGCTCCAATGTGGTGGCCCAGCTGCTTGCGGTACCCTTCTTTATACTTGTACTGCAGGGTTAAAGGACATCACTCAATTCCAGGTCAGACTAACTTTCCCTTCTTACCCTGTTCTCTAACAAGTCCTGCAAAAAGCACACTGTGATCAAGGTGGACAAAATCACCACGTGATTAGGCTCATAAGCACAACATTTCCACACAAAGGGATACACACCCCTCACTCCCCAGGCCTGCACTGGACTGCTGGAGGTACATGGAGGTTGGCAATTCCAGACAACCTAGCGTTGCAACCAGGAACACTGTTCTCGTGAAGAACAGCAAAGTGCCCTCCAACCTGATCAAGAAGCCATCCTGGCTTTCATCCTGATCTGCACTGTCGGAATTCCCCCACACAGCCCAAAGGAGCAGCACCAGACTCTCTAGCACACAGTGCTGGAGCCCTGATCACTCAAACTAATGGGAGTCCTCAGCTGAAACTACACAACTGCCTAAACCTGGGCAGTCACAGCAGACAGCTCTACACTTCCTAATCCTCTTCTTTCTGAAACACACAGTAAGCCTGAAAAAAGACTGAATTCAACCTGCACCAATAACGGAACAGACCAGAACTACAAAAAGCCGCGTGACAGCAAATTCAGTACATGCATGGCAGCATCACAAACTGATATTCTAAACCACAAGGACAGACAAACCCAAGCCAATCTCATTGGGGCTGGACCGGATGCAGCCCAAACACAAACAATAAATCCTGCTGTCGTATCACAAAGCATGCTTTGGGTTTTCTTATCCAAACCACAGTGGTGCAGCTGCAGACAGCAGGGCAGGGCAGAATTACACTGCTGACACCACCTCAAATCTCCTGCATGAGCTGAAGGTGCAACTAGCCCCCAAAGGACACTGCTTTTCATTAGGGACTTCATCAAGTTCCAGCTAACACACTCCCTGTACAGCATACGCTGTCCTTCGTTGCACTGCACACACACAGCCCGCACAAAATGCAACAGCAAGAACCTCCTCAACCAACGTCCTTGCAGACCAACTGAGCAGCAACGACAGCTCAAAGCTCTTCTGTCACCATTCATCTGCATCTGCAATCTCTGCTCTTCAGGCACCAGCACGGACAAAGCGTCAAGACGGCGTGCCACCAAGGCTCCTGTGCACTTACGTCACTGGCAATGTCCCTGGAAGCTTTAGCAGACTTGATGGGAATGGCATCTGCACGCAGGTCATAGCCCTTCTTCTTGTCTTCTTCCATTGCCAGCCTGTACATTTTCTGAAAGATAAGCAAGCATTCCCCACGTGAAGCTAACAGCACTTCTGCCTGGATCGCCTCCGCCCACAACTGCACACCAAACCCCAGGAAAAACACCTACCTCACTGAAGTTCACCTTGTTCTGCTGGGCCAGCAAAATACCAGGCGTATCTGGCATAATGTGAATGCTGGTCTTGTCTTTCTCCCAGGCTGCGATGTACGAGCGCTGAAAAGATGAGCGCAACACCCACTAAGAACACACAACAGCACAGCAACAAACGCAAAGACAACCCAGCTCTCTTGCTACAGACACAGGCACCTTGCATTGAACCAAGAACCCCAGCCTACACCCGTTTTCCTCTGCAGCAGCGCTCCCAAACACTGCTCCAATTGCACTCAACACAAATGGATCCAAAGCACTGAACACAGATCCCCAGGACAGGGCAGTGCATCAGCATTTCCCTCCGGAAAATAACAGCTCAGAGTCCCACAAAAGGCAGGCAAAACGCCTCCAGCTTGCAAACACAGAGGCAGCTCACGTGGTTCATGATTTCAGAGTTGTGCTTTGCCAGAAGCATAGGCATGGAGTCAGGAAGGCTCGTGAACTTGATGGTGTCCGGGTGCTGCCGGTACTTCTTGTCACTCAGGATCATGCTCGCTCGCTTGTTCTTCTCTTCATCCAGGGACCCAATTGGGGACCAGCCAATGCCTTTCAGCCACTGCAGGTCAGACCTGTACACAATCTGAAAAGACACGGCAGGACACAGGGCAGCTGAGCAACATCCTTCATGGCTCTGGCTGCTGCAACCCAACCTGAAAGCACATATGACTCCCGTTAAGCACAACTTCCCTCACACCCTGCTTTTGGAGGCACGTGCAGCCTACACCAACACAAGCAGCCAGCAAGTAACCGACCAGCTGTCCTCCAGGATCTTCACTACTAAACCCTCTGCACGCAACAGGGACAAAGATCTGCTCTGTTCACCAACTGTTGGCTGGCAGCAGCACATGAGCAGCTTTACTCCTCAACACCTAATGCTCCTTGAACCATTCCCATCTGCACAGATGCCTTGTGTTTGCCCAGCCATTTCACCCCAAAGTAAACAATTTGATTCTTTTGCTCTCCCCATATCAAACTGAACTTTGACACCAGCACCCATCCTTCCCCAAAAACTCCCAAGGTAAGGCACGACTCTTCTGCTAACATAAAGAACGATGTCACACAAACATCTTCCTCCCCACCTCAGGACACACCGTGCAACACTCAGACGGGCAGCACGGCCACACCACCCTCTCACACAATCTCCTATCTTACCATTCCCCAACTGCCCATCTTCACCAACAACGGCACACAGCACAACACCCACTTCCCCTTCCCACACACCCACCACACCATAACTCACATCACTCTGCAGGTCGTACACTTTCCGGGCTTGCACGACATCGTTCTGGTCCGGCAGACAGGTCCACCGATGCAGAAGATGCTTGTAATCAACATCGCTGACCAGCTCCTGGCATTTCTTGGCCAACACAATTCCCAGCATGTCCACGGGGCTGCTGAAGTGCGTCTTGGTCTTCTCAAAGGCTTTCTTGTACTCCCTGTCACTCTGGATCTTGGCTACGTGCATCGACCACATCATCTTGGGGTCGTCCTCGATGTTGCGGGCTCCAATGTGGTGGCCCAGCTGTTTGCGGTACCCTTCTTTATACTTGTACTGCAGGGTTAAAGGACATCACTCAATTCCAGGTCAGACTACCGTTCCCTTTTGACCTTGTTCTCTAATAATTTCTGCATAAAGCACATTGCTAAGCAAAGCTGGCAAAAATCACTGTGCAAACTGTCTTTGAAGCGCAACATTTCCCCACTCTGGGCTATGCATCCATCGCACCCCAGGCCTGCACTGGATTGCTGGAGGTACATGGAGGTCCACACAGAAACTCTAGTCAAGCTAGCTTAGGAACAAGGAATGCTGTTCCTATAAGAAAACATGCAGACTGATATAGCAGGCAATCTGCAATTCATCATGGACCTCCCTGAGTACACTCAACCTTGCACCCCATGGTAGCAGTACCAAGCTCTCTACTGATAATTTTGAGGACCAGTCTTATTCTTCCATCCTGGTCAAAACCTCAGCTGCAGGCCACCAAGAACCAGAAATTTGGGCAGTTACAGCAGACAGCTCTTTACTTTTCCCTCCTCTTCTTCCTGAAATGTACAGTAAGCCTGAAAGAAGACTGAATTAATCTACCTTGAATTATGGACAATCCAAAACTATAAAATGGTGCATGAAGAGTAAATTTAGCTCCTTTATGGCTACATGCAGTTGTCTAAGTGTCAAAGAGTCCTAGATCAGCTTGGGTTGGAAGGTACTGTTGAAGACCACTGTGACCGTAATGCACAGAAACATCTTTCACTAGACCAGGTGGCATCAAATTCCATCTTGACAGTGAAAGATATCCACAAGTGGGGTATCCACTTTGTTGGGCAACCAATACCAGTGACTCTCACTAGCATTGTAAGGATGGAATTTTTCACCATTTCTAAACGCATCTTGCCTCTTTCAGTTTCAAACCACTACCCCTCATCCTATCACAACACACCCTTGTATAAATTGCCTTTTGCAATGTTTCCTATAACCCCTCTATAAAAACTGACAGCCTACAATAAAATTGACCTGGAAACTCCTTCTATCCGGGCAGATCATCCCATCTACCTCAGCACTGCTTTGTAAGCAAGGTAATCTAGCCCTCAGATAAATTCTGTGGTGCATTAATGCATAAATCCAGATTGAAAAGTCCACTTATTTGTTGTGCTGGGAACCCAAAATTTAAACAAAGTACTTTAGGCTGAGGTTCAGAATGGAACAATAGGGAAGAATAGCTCGAGGGAAACACCACTACTGAAACCGCAAAAAGATAAAATTCAATTGCTATGCAGTAAACAAAGCCAAGAAATAACAATCAGCACGGAGAACAGTGGCAAAGTAATGATGGCTCCATAGTGATTATTCCAAATGCTGCTGTCGTATCACAAAGCGTGCTTTGGATTTCCTTAACCAAAACAGAGTGGTGCAGCTGCAGACAGCAGGGCAGGGCAGAATTACACTGCTGACACCACCTCAAGTCTCCTGCATGAGCTGAAGGTGCAACTAGCCCCCAAAGGACACTGCTTTTCATTAGGGACTTCATCAAGTTCCAGCTAACACACTCCCTGTACAGCATACACTGTCCTTCGTTGCACTGCACACACACTGCCCGCACAAAATGCAACAGCAAGAACCTCCTCAACCAACATCCATGAAGACCAACTGAGCAGCAACGACAGCTCAGAGCTCTTCTGTCACGATTCATCTGCATCTGCAATCTCTGCTCTTCAGGCACCAGCACGGACAAAGCGTCAAGACAACGTGCCACCAAGGCTCCTGCGCACTTACGTCACTGGCAATGTCCCTGGAAGCTTTAGCAGACTTGATGGGAATGGCATCTGCACGCAGGTCATAGCCCTTCTTCTTGTCTTCTTCCATTGCCAGCCTGTACATTTTCTGAAAGATAAGCAAGCATTCCCCACGTGAAGCTAACAGCACTTCTGCCTGGATCGCCTCCGCCCACAACTGCACACCAAACCCCAGGAAAAACACCTACCTCACTGAAGTTCACTTTGTTCTGCTGGGCCAGCAAAATACCAGGCGTATCTGGCATAATGTGAATGCTGGTCTTGTCTTTCTCCCAGGCTGCGATGTACGAGCGCTGAAAAGATGAGCGCAACACCCACTAAGAACACACAACAGCACAGCAACAAACGCAAAGACAACCCAGCTCTCTTGCTACAGACACAGGCACCTTGCATTGAACCAACAACCCCCAGCCTACACCCGTTTTCCTCTGTCACAGCGCTCCCAAACACTGCTCCAATTGCACTCAACACAAATGGATCCAAAGCACTGAACACAGATCCCCAGGACAGGGCAGTGCATCAGCATTTCCCTCCGGAAAATAACAGCTCAGAGTCCCACAAAAGGCAGGCAAAACGCCTCCAGCTTGCAAACACAGAGGCAGCTCACGTGGTTCATGATTTCAGAGTTGTGCTTTGCCAGAAGCATAGGCATGGAGTCAGGAAGGCTCGTGAACTTGATGGTGTCCGGGTGCTGCCGGTACTTCTTGTCACTCAGGATCATGCTCGCTCGCTTGTTCTTCTCTTCATCCAGGGAACCAATTGGGGACCAGCCAATGCCTTTCAGCCACTGCAGGTCAGACCTGTACACAATCTGAAAAGACACGGCAGGACACAGGGCAGCTTAGCAACGTCTGTAACTCTCACCAGCACTCCTCCAACCAAGGGTGGCTCCTGCAAATCACAGAATTGTGGGGGTTGGAAGGGACCTCCAGAGATCATCGAGTCCAACCCCCCTGCCAAAGCAGGTTCCCTACAGCAGGTCGCACAGGTAGGCATCCAGGCAGGTCTTGAACATCTCCAGAGAAGGAGACTCCACCACCTCCCTGGCAGCCTGTTCCAGTGCTCCGTCACCTCACCGTAAAGAAGTTCTTGTGCACATTTGTGCAGAACTTCCTGCACTGCATTTTCTGGCTGTTTCCCTATGTCCTGTCTCCATACACTGCTGAAATGAGTCCAGCCTCACTACTCTGCCCCCCACACCTTAGATACTCATAGACCTGGATCAGGTCCCCTCTTAGTCTACTTTTCTCAAGGCTGAACAGACCCAGTTCACTCAGCCTTTCCTCATAGGAGAGATGTTCCAGGCCCTTCACCATCTTTGTGGCCCTCCACTGGACTCTTTCCAAGAGATCCCTGTCTTTTTTGTACTTGGGAGCCCAGATCTGGACGTAGTATTCCAGATGAGGCCTCACCAGGGCAGAGTAGAGGGGGAGGATCACCTCCCTCGACCTGCTGGCCACGCTCTTTTTAATGCACCCCAGGATGTCATTGGCCCTCTTGGCCAAAAGGCACACTGCTGGCTCATGGCAACCTGTCGTCCACCAGGACACCCAGGTCCCTCTCCGCAGAGCTCCTCTCCAGCAGCTCATCCCCCAACCTGTACTGGTGCATGCAATTACTCCTCCCCAGATGCAAGACTCTACACTTGCTTTTGTTAAACCTCATCCGATTTCTTACTGCCCAGCTCTCCAGCCTGTCCAGGTCTTGCTGAATGGCAGCACGGCTTCAGGCGTGTCAGCCAATCCTCCCAACTTCATCAGCAAACTTGCTGAGGGTGGCCATTATCCCCTCATCAAGGTCACTGATGAAGATGTTGAACAAGACCGGACCCAGCACAGACCCCTGAGGAACACCACTGGTTACAGGCCTCCAACCAGACTCTGCACGGCCAACGATGACCCTCTGTGCTCTGCCAGTCAGCCAGTTCTCAACCCACCTCACTGTCCACTCATCTATCCCACACTTCCTCAGCATTGTTATAAGGATGTCGTGGGGGACAGTATCAACTGCCTTGCTGAAATCAAGGTAGACTACATCCACTGCTCTCTGCCCAGCCAGTGACAACACTGTAGAAGGTTACCAGGTTGGTCAAGCATGACCTCCCCCTGGTGAACCCATGCTTGACTACTCCTGATAACCTCCTTTTCTTCCAGTTGTCTGGAGATGACATCCAGCACAAGCTGTTCCATCACCTTTCCAGGGATAGAGGTGAGGCTGACTGTAATTACCTGGATCTCCCTTCTTGCCCTTTTTGAAGACTGGAGTGACACTGGCTATCCTCCAGTCTTCAGTCACCTCCCCTGTCCTCCAAGACCTCTCAAAGATGACAGAAAGCGGTTCAGCAATCACTTCTGCCAGCTCCCTCAGCACCTGTGGATGCATCCCATTGGGTCCCATGGACTTATGAATATTGGTGTTGCCTAGGAGCTCTCAGACCGCCTCTTCCCTGTCTCAAGGGAAGTCTTCCATTCCCCAGAGCCGCTCACTCACTTCCAGGGTCTGGGATTCCCAACGGAGAGCTTTTGCACTGAAGACAGAAGCAAAGAAGGCATTCAGTATCTCCGCCTTCTCAGCATCCCCCGTTACCAGAACATCCCCCTCACTTAGTAGGGGAGCCACATTCTCTCTTGTCTTCCTTTTACTGTTAACATACTCAAAAAAGCCTTTTTTATTATCCTTTATCACCTTTGCCAGATTCAATTCCAGGCAAGCCTTAGCCTTCCTCATCGCATCCCTGCAGGCCCTGACAACATTTCTATATTCTTCCCAAGCACTCAGACCCTTTTTCCACATTTCGTGGACCTTCTTCTTCCCTTTGAGTTTGTACACAAGCTCCTTGCTCATCCACACAGGACTCCTGCCACCCTTTCCTGATTTCTTGCTCACAGGGAAGCACTGATCCTGAAGAAGAGCCGTTTAAATGCTGACCAGCTCTCAGAGGCCCCTTTACCTTCTAACACCCTAGGCCAGGGGACAGCTCCAAGTAGGTCCTGGAAGAGATCAAAGTTTGCTCTCCTGAAGTTCAGGGTAGCAATCCTACTTTTTGCTTTGCTTCTTCCACTCAAGATCTTGAATTCCACCACCTCGTGGTCACTACAACCCAAGCTGCTCCCGACCTTTACTTCCTTGACAAACCCTTCCTTCTTAGTGAGAATAAGGTCCAGCAACAGCCCTCCCCTCATCAGCTCCTCCACCACCTGTATCAGAAAGTTGTCTTCAACACATTGCAGGAACCATCTGTACCGGGTGTGCCTGGCCATGTTGCTTATCTAGCAAATATCTGGATAATTGAAGTCCCCCATAAGCACCAGCGCCTGGGACCGTGACGCTACTTCCAGTTGCTTGTGGAAGGCCTCATTGACCTCCTCCTCCTGCGAAGACAGACTCCCCTGCAGAACCCAACCTGACAGCAATCTGTGTCTCCTATTAAGCTCAGCTTCCATTACAACCAGGTTTCGGAGGGCATGTGCAGCCTACATCACCACAAATAGCCAGTTTTCCTCCAGCATATTCTCTTCAAAATGCTCTGTGGGCAAGAGGGGCAAAGATCTGCTCCATTCACCAACTGCTGGATGGTAGAGGCACACAAGCATCTTTACTCCTCAACACCTAATGCTCCTTAAACCATCCCCATCTGCACAGATGGCTTGTCACCCAGCTTTGGTCACCCAAAAGTGATAATTTGATTCCTTTGCCCTCCTCTGCCTCTTCCTCTGTAAGAAAGTTTGGAAGCCTCCAACAACCCTTCCTTCAAACTCCTCAAGGTATGCAACAACTCTTCTCTGAACAAAAATTACAACACCATATTATTTGGCACGATTTTGGTAATGGCTGCAGATGCCTGTTTGCTTTCTGTGAGAATAGTTCCAAAGCTACCCTATGATAGATAACAGCCATTTTCACCTTTCACCAGTAGGAACCCATTGTTACTCAGAAATGAGCTAGTGAATAAGACTGGTTGCCCCTCCCTTGGAGAACACTGGAGGAAGGAGAAAACAGCTGCACTACAACAGTTCAGACAAAAGAGTGAGAAAATGTGACAGAAACAACCCTGCAGACACCAGCAGCAGTGAAGAGGGAGGGCAGGAGGTGCTCCAGGCATGTCTCACAAGTTCCCTGCAGCCCAGATTATGGCCCATGGTGGAGCAGTCTACTTCCCTGCAGCCCAAGTGCTTGATGTGGACTGTATGTCCGCATGCAGCTCACGGAGAAGCCTATGGAAGCAGGCTGACGTGGCCTGAAGGAAACTGCAACCCCTGGAGAGCTCGTGGAAGAGCAGGTCCCCAAGACCAGAGCTGCAGCTCATGGAGAAGAGCCTGCAGTGGAGAAGGAGGCCTGGGAAAGCCAATGCCTGTGCAGACCCATGCTGCAACAGTCCCTGAAGGATAGGCACTGTGTTACAGAGCTGTGTATGAGCAGTGCTTGAATTGCTCCAGCAAGTGGGAAGCCAAAACAAGATCAGTTCAGGAGAGAGGGCAACCAATGGGAAGAACCCCATGTGGAGCAGGGTCAGAGAGAGAATGGAGAAGCAACAGAGATGAAGTGTCATGCACTGACTGCAAGGGCCATTTCTCATTCCTCTGCAATACTTGGGGAAGAAGGAAAAAGAGGGTAGATGGGAGAAAAGATATTCTAAGGTTATTTTCATTTCCACACAGCTCAGACCTAATAACAATATACAATAAACATATCTCTGCATACATTATGCTAATTTGGTGAGAGTTAACCATAATCATAATTAATCATACAATTCCCATCTTATTATATCTGAAGGTGCTTATTATATCTGAAGGAGCTGAAGGTGCAACAAGCCCCCAAAGAACACTACTTTTCATTAGGGACTTCATCATCCTCCATTGCTACAACAGGGAAAACTGAAGGAGCAGTGTGATGAACTTCTGAGAGCAAAGCATGAGAATCACAATAGATACCATACAAACACCTTCCTCCCCACCTCAGGACACATCGTGCAACACTCAGACGGGCAGCACGGCCACACCACCCTCTCACACAATCACCTATCTTACCATTCCCCAACTGCCCATCTTCGCCAACAACGGCACACAGCACAACACCCACTTCCCCTTCCCACACACCCACCACACCATAACTCACATCACTCTGCAGGTCGTACACTTTCCGGGCTTGCACGACATCGTTCTGGTCTGGCAGACAGGTCCACCGATGCAGAAGATGCTTGTAATCAACATCGCTGACCAGCTCCTGGCATTTCTTGGCCAACACAATTCCCAGCATGTCCACGGGGCTGCTGAAGTGCGTCTTGGTCTTCTCAAAGGCTTTCTTGTACTCCCTGTCACTCTGGACCTTGGCTACGTGCATCGACCACATCATCTTGGGGTCGTCCTCGATGTTGCGGGCTCCAATGTGGTGGCCCAGCTGCTTGCGGTACCCTTCTTTATACTTGTACTGCAGGGTTAAAGGACATCACTCAATTCCAGGTCAGACTAACTTTCCCTTCTTACCCTGTTCTCTAACAAGTCCTGCAAAAAGCACACTGTAATCAAGGTGGACAAAATCACCACGTGATTAGGCTCATAAGCACAACATTTCCACACAAAGGGATACACACCCCTCACTCCCCAGGCCTGCACTGGACTGCTGGAGGTACATGGAGGTTGGCAATTCCAGCCAACCTAGCATTGCAACCAGGAACACTGTTCTTGTGAAAAACAGCAAAGTGCCCTCCAACCTGATCAAGAAGCCATCCTGGCTTTCATCCTGATCTGCACTGTTGGAATTCCCCCACACAGCCCAAAGGAGCAGCACCAGACTCTCTAGCACACAGCGCTGGAGCCCTGATCACTCAAACTAATGGGAGTCCTCAGCTGAAACTACACAACTGCCTAAACCTGGGCAGTCACAGCAGACATCTCTACACTTCCTGATCCTCTTCTTTCTGAAACACACAGTAAGCCTGAAAAAAGACTGAATTCAACCAGCACGAATAATGGAACAGACCAGAACTACAAAAAGCCGCATGACAGTAAATTCAGTACATGCATGGCAGCATCACAAACTGATATTCTAAACCACAAGGACAGACAAACCCAAGCCAGTCTCATTGGGGCTGGACCTGATGCAGCCCAAACACAAACAATAAATGCTGCTGTCGTATCACAAAGCGTGCTTTGGATTTCCTTAACCAAAGCACAGTGGTGCAGCTGCAGACAGCAGGGCAGGGCAGAATTACACTGCTGACACCACCTCAAGTCTCCTGCATGAGCTGAAGGTGCAACTAGCCCCCAAAGGACACTGCTTTTCATTAGGAACTTCATCAAGTTCCAGCTAACACACTCCCTGTACAGCATACGCTGTCCTTCGTTGCACTGCACACACACAGCCCGCACAAAATGCAAAAGCAAGAACCTCCTCAACCAACATCCCTGAAGACCAACTGAGCAGCAACGACAGCTCAGAGCTCTTCTGTCACCATTCATCTGCATCTGCAATCTCTGCTCTTCAGGCACCAGCACGGACAAAGCATCAAGACAACGTGCCACCAATGCTCCTGTGCACTTACGTCACTGGCAATGTCCCTGGAAGCTTTAGCAGACTTGATGGGAATGGCATCTGCACGCAGGTCATAGCCCTTCTTCTTGTCTTCTTCCATTGCCAGCCTGTACATTTTCTGAAAGATAAGCAAGCATTCCCCACGTGAAGCTAACAGCACTTCTGCCTGGATCGCCTCCGCCCACAACTGCACACCAAACCCCAGGAAAAACACCTACCTCACTGAAGTTCACTTTGTTCTGCTGGGCCAGCAAAATACCAGGCGTATCTGGCATAATGTGAATGCTGGTCTTGTCTTTCTCCCAGGCTGCGATGTACGAGCGCTGAAAAGATGAGCGCAACACCCACTAAGAACACACAAGAGCACAGCAACAAACGCAAAGACAACCCAGCTCTCTTGCTACAGACACAGGCACCTTGCATTGAACCAAGAACCCCCAGCCTACACCCGTTTTCCTCTGTCACAGCGCTCCCAAACACTGCTCCAATTGCACTCAACACAAATGGATCCAAAGCACTGAACACAGATCCCCAGGACAGGGCAGTGCATCAGCATTTCCCTCTGGAAAATAACAGCTCAGAGTCCCACAAAAGGCAGGCAAAACGCCTCCAGCTTGCAAACACAGAGGCAGCTCACGTGGTTCATGATTTCAGAGTTGTGCTTTGCCAGAAGCATAGGCATGGAGTCAGGAAGGCTCGTGAACTTGATGGTGTCCGGGTGCTGCCGGTACTTCTTGTCACTCAGGATCATGCTCGCTCGCTTGTTCTTCTCTTCATCCAGGGACCCAAGTGGTGACCAGCCAATGCCTTTCAGCCACTGCAGGTCAGACCTGTACACAATCTGAAAAGACACGGCAGGACACAGGGCAGCTGAGCAACATCCTTCATGGCTCTGGCTGCTGCAACCCAACCTGAAAGCACTTATGACTCCCGTTAAGCACAACTTCCCTCACACCCAGCTTTTGGAGGCACGTGCAGCCTACACCAACACAAGCAGCCAGCAAGTAACCGACCAGCTGTCCTCCAGGATCTTCACTACTAAACCCTCCGCACGCAACAGGGACAAAGATCTGCTCTGTTCACCAACTGTTGGCTGGCAGCAGCACACGAGCAGCTTTACTCCTCAACACCTAATGCTCCTTGAACCATTCCCATCTGCACAGATGCCTTGTGTTTGCCCAGCCATTTCACCCCAAAGTAAACAATTTGATTCTTTTGCTCTCCCCATATCAAACTGAACTTTGACACCAGCACCCATCCTTCCCCAAAAACTCCCAAGGTAAGGCACGACTCTTCTGCTAACATAAAGAACGATGTCACACAAACATCTTCCTCCCCACCTCAGGACACACCGTGCAACACTCAGACGGGCTGCACGGCCACACCACCCTCTCACACAATCTCCTATCTTACCATTCCCCAACTGCCCATCTTCACCAACAACGGCACACAGCACAACACCCACTTCCCCTTCCCACACACCCACCACACCATAACTCACATCACTCTGCAGGTCGTACACTTTCCGGGCTTGCACGACATCGTTCTGGTCCGGCAGACAGGTCCACCGATGCAGAAGATGCTTGTAATCAACATCGCTGACCAGCTCCTGGCATTTCTTGGCCAACACAATTCCCAGCATGTCCACGGGGCTGCTGAAGTGCGTCTTGGTCTTCTCAAAGGCTTTCTTGTACTCCCTGTCACTCTGGACCTTGGCTACGTGCATCGACCACATCATCTTGGGGTCGTCCTCGATGTTGCGGGCTCCAATGTGGTGGCCCAGCTGCTTGCGGTATGCTGTTTTGTACTGATACTAAACAAATGCAGAAACCACAGTGTTTTCAAGAAGTAATTTGAAGTTCTCTATTGTTAGAGTTGTTAATTTTTGAATTAAATGATATTTTGAAAGATACTATACATTCTGACTATATTTACAGCATTTATTTATTGAACATTTTACAGTAATTTCTATAGATACATTATTTTTTCTTGTAAATTATTTTACTCAATGCAATTAACTTCACATAATAAAGAAGTAGACATTGCTGTGCAACCAAGAGACTTTTAGTCTCTTAAACCTCAGATATCTCTTAATCAGTCATCATTCACCAGTAATCTTTACCAGTTTCATGGCACACCACTATTTTCACTCAGACTCTTACTTCACTGGCAATGTCTCTGGATGCCTTCGCTGCCTTGAGTGGTATGGCATCAGGAGGAAGATCATAGCCTTTCCTCCTCAGCTCTTCATATCCTAACTTGTAATGTTTCTGTTGGAGAAGAATTTAAAGTAATTGTTATTAAAATAATTGAAATTACTATTGAAATAATTGATAAAAGTAAAGTAATTAGAGTAAAGTAAATTAAAGCTGTGGAGTGTTTTCTAATATGGAAAAAAAGTAAGCTGATCTAACCCACACAGTACTACCTTTTTATTCCATTGATTACTAAAAACAAAGAATGAGATTTCAAATATGGTCTCATTCCATAGCTTACACAATGTATATTTTGTAACTGATAATATGAAATACATCAAACCAACTTTATTTTTTCCTGATTAACTCATCTGAGGGCAAATCTGTACGAGAAATATAAGTCTGAGTAAATAATAGTCTTCTACTGAGGTGAATAATACAGCCCCATGGCCTGCTGCACTCCATTTCAACGATAATTACTTATCTTCCAGACTTCTAAAGACACAACTGCTAATGTTTCTTTACTGTTTACATGTAGCTGATATTTGCTCCACTATACAAAGAATTTCATGTAAAGTAACTAAATAACTCTAAGAAGATATAATTAGACTTCTATCAAGACAAGAATGACAGTCTTATTAAAAACTATTGAACTTAAAACTATAATGTCAACACGATCCATAAGGATGAAAGAGAAAGCATCAAACTTGCCTTATCTTCTTGGTTTGCTTTCATAGCAATTTCACTTCCACCTTAGAATTCAGCAATTTGCTCGGTGTCCCAATGCATAACAATTTTAACAGGTAGGCTAACAATCGTTAGATTGCTGAAACTGCTCCACTCCATTTTAAACTACAGCCACAAAGGGTAAATCCAAATTGCATACATCAAACATTATAGAGACATACTTACATCACTTGTGTTGATTAAGTTTGATTTAGCCAACAAAATTTCAGGAGTATCAGGCATGATATGAACCTGAGTTTTGTCCTTGTCCCAAGCCTCTCTATACAGTATCTGAAGGGAGACATGAATAAAACTGGTTCACACGCATGGCAGTGAATTCAGCTTACCTTTTCCCTACAATAACACATCAGTGATGTGTGAACAAGAAGGAATGACTTAACAATGCAAGATATTTAAGTAAAACAGTACATTAACTTCCTACTGAAATACCTTTTTCCCTTTTTTACATGCATGAAGGGTCAAGGAGACAGCATTATGTCAATAAACTGACATACTACAGTAAGGATTCTATTTGCAGTTGTTTCTGAATGAATTAGATAATAAAGACACAAATTTGCTGAATAAGACACCATTGAACAGTAAGGCACAGATTGCAAACACTGGATACCTGTATATTTTAATTGCATTCTGGTAGGGCAATCTTTATAACAAATGTATACTAATTCATTTACTGGATCCAAAGCAACTTACATCACTTCTATTTTTGGCATTAGATTTTGCTAAGGTGATATTCATGGCATCTGGGATACTTGTGAACTTAATAGTATCTGGGTGCTGCCGGTACTTCTTTTCACTTAGTATTTCAGAAGCTTTCTTGTTCTTTTCAGACTCCAAAGATCCCAAAGGACTCCATCCAATGCCTCTGAGCCACTGCAGATCTGACTTGTACAGATTCTGGTAAGGAATAAGTAAATAAATGAAAACCATAGTATAGAATCTTTCACTGCCCATGTATTAAACCGTATTAAAGACTAACTGGTGTATTATCCTCAACTTGAACTTCAGTGCTGTCAAGAGTGAGTTATTAAAGATACTTTTCAACAAGTAGTTAATATTTTACATAAAATAAAGAAACCAAACTCAGAGAAGACTTACATCACTCTGCAGTTCGTAGACCCTCTTTGCTTGGGTGACATCATTTTGGTCTGGTAGACAAGTCCAGCGGTGTAACATGTGTTTGTAGTCTACATCACTAACCAATTCTTGACATTTCTTAGCCAGAAGGAAGCCTAACATATCCACAGGCATGTTAAACTTTGTCTTCCACTTTTCAAAATCTTTCTTATACTCCCTCTCGCTCTGCATTTTAGCTACTTGCATAGACCACATCATCTTCGGATCATCCTGTAAGCTCCGGAATCCAATGTGATGTCCCTGCTGCTTGCGGTAACCCTCTTTGTACTTGTACTGAAATTATAAATATTGTATTATTGAAATGCAGTAAGAATCAGGCAGTGATAAAATGTATAAGGCAAATATATTCACTCAGTTCAATGCTCCTCATTAGCAATGAAATAAGCAACTTGCTATGGCATCTCATATAAAGACAGCAGCCCCTCAATTCATGTGCATCATTTGTGTCTGTGAATGTATTCCCTGGGAACAAACTGACTCCCCTGGAGAGGAAGAGTGCATGGCTCTAACAGTGGCCTCCTGTGCCACTGATGTATATAGTCACAGCCCAAAGGCTGTCACACTGCACTATTTTGATAACTAAAACAATCAGCTTAAGCATTGACCACGTGTCCAATGACTGATGAAATCTCCTCCATAAATACAGGAGTTGACATTAATATCAAGTTACGGAAAATAACAACAAGACATGTCACCATATCTACTTCTGAGCTGTAAAGAGGATTTCAAAGTAGAGGCACTGGGACCAACTTCCTGATGCACTGAAGACATAACATCCAAATCACAGAATCACAGAATCACCCGGGTTGGAAGGGACCTCAAGGATCATGTAGTTCCAAACCCCTGCCTAGCAGGGCCACCAAACATCCACATTCAGACACATCCAAAAGAAGCAGACAATTCAGTTCAAATTGCTCCTAACTTCCTATGACCAGCCACTTCATGGATGGACCACAATCTTTCTGAAGTGCCAAAATATAAGAATCATTCTTCTTAAAATGTTGTCTTCACTGACAAAAATGGACCAGGAATGTTTTTAAATGTTTTTATCAGCAATTTTTTTGTTGTGGTTTTTTAAACTACAAGTCACTCTTTTACAGAGGGGTCCACATAAGAGTGCACTTCAGACAGAAATAAATGTTGCTTACGTCGCTTGCAATGTCCCTTGAAGCTTTGGCAGCTTTCACTGAAATGGCTTCAGGTGTGAGGTCATAGCCCTTCTTAATCATTTCCTCCCAGCCGAGCTTGTAATGTTTCTAAAATTGAGAACAACTTTGATTAAAAAGCCTCATTAATACACACGCCACCTTCTACTTAGATATTTATTTTGAAATGAAAGGGCACCTTGAAATTGGAAGTAGACTAATTTAACATTAGTTTGAAGTGTAAAAGAAAGCATTAAAAAGCTCTACCTGACTGTAGTTCGCCTTGTTCTGTTTTGCCTGTAGGATATCCGGTGTATCTGGCATCACGTGAACTTGAGTTTTATCCTTTTCCCAGGCCTGAGTATAAGCATGCTATTGAAAAAAGGACATCAGATTATTAGTATAGGTTGACAAAGGCCAGCTCTTACAGGGTTTTCACCCTTCTGTCTGCGCACTTTGATTACAGATGGGTAAAAAGCAGAAGATGTTAACTTAGATTTATTTTCCTATGTGATGACTCAATCCAGAATCAGTGAAATCAGGATCCAGTCTTGCTTTCGTTGAGGCCTACCCACCAAGATTTAACATCAGTAATTGCCATGTAAATATGAGAAAAATAGATGCTGGAGAGGTAGCAATGAAAAAAATGAGCAAAAGATTGATTTAATCAATACCTCTTAGCAGTAACTGAGTATTTCAATTCAGAAAAATTTTGAAAAAGGAGCCATCTTTCAGCAATAGTCATTTTTCCCTGGGGAAACATTGCTACACAAAAGCAGTGACAGAGATTTATACAAAGTTTATTAGTTATATACGAGTGTCTGACAAAATTCCCCATAAAAACTCACTTTATTCATTATATCTGCGTTGTGCTTTGCAAGAACCATATCCATGGCATCAGTGTCTTTTGTAAAAGAAAACGTGCTGGGATGCTGTCGGTATTTCCGGTCACTTGCAATTTCTGTAGCTTTCTTAGATTTCTCCACATCCAGAGAACCAGCAGGACTCCAACCAATACCTTTGAACCATTCATTGTAATCTTGTCTGTATTCATTCTGCCAGCCAGGAAACAAAAGCAAAGATTACAACTCATAAATAGCTCACACTAAATTATTCTTCTTTCCAAAACACTTAAAATGAGGAAAGAAGAAAACAGGCATAGATGTGAACGATAACGAGAAAAAACAGAAACTTACATTACTTTGTATCTGATTCATGTTCCTGTACAATTCAAAACTCATTGCATCTGGCAGAAGCATATAGTGGTGTATCAGTCGTTTGTAGTTTGCATTGGTTACACGATCTTGTGCCTCCTTAGCTGCCATGATACTGAGTGCATCAGAAGGTGTTTGGTAATGAGTCTTGCTTGCCTCATAGGCCTTCTTGTATTCACGATCAGACTGCATCTTAGCCACTTGCATATAATGGACAAGTTTAGGATCATCCTGAAGGCTGCGGAAGCCTACAAGCTTTCCCTTGTCTTGCTCATAACCTAATTTGTATTTATACTGTGCAGAGAACAGAGACAGAGATTTTAGTCCTACTTTCATTTGTTTAACAAGCAATATCTACCTTCTAAGGAAAAAAAAATTAGAATTTTCACATTATTAAACAAATACTAAGAATATGGAGGTGGTAGTTCTGTCTGCTTCTCGTCACAGTGCTTAACAAGCATCAAAATTCTATGAGGGCCCCATCAAATCCAGTATTCATATAACATTTTCTTGAGAAATGGAATTTCCATAAGCTACTTTATTCTGCTTTTGCATGGGGTTCAATGTAACTCGGGATGCACTTGCTTTCTAACCTCATCATAAATGGTACAAAGAGAATATGAAGCAGACTGGCAAAAACCCAAACCACCACAGTAGATCTGAAGGTAGTCCTTTGGAAAACATGAACTTGTTCTTTCTACACTAGAGCTTAGAGATAACCTTACTAGCTCTAAGATGAACTATCACAAGCACTAGAAAGTAAGGTGCCTCAGCCCACACTGCTCTCTGTCATTATGTTTGTACTACTACCATTATTCAGCTTGAGTAACAATCTTAGTGATAGTCTGAGCCACGATCAGAAAACTTGAATTTGTATCTAAAGACTGGACATAAACCAACAGATCAGTATGGCACTTCCATGAAGTTAATTTGCTCAAATGAATCATGATTTCAAGATACACAGGATCTTTTTGCATTTGTTTAATTTATAAAACCACTGGGTTGATTTCTTAAATCCTTTCTCAATCTCTAACCAGCTCTGGACCATGGACTTCACAGACCAAACATCAGTTCCATTTTCCTTAACTACTCAATACCTGGTGAGAACTGAGGGACTGTACAGCCCTCACACTTAGAGCAGTGGTGGAGCAAATTGATTTTTCAGTGGCTGCTCCATCTCATATGTCGCCAAAAAAGACAGAAGGCTAAAAAAAATAACGTGTCCTTAGGCCCTAATTTCACTGCTCTCCCAGGCTGGTTTTACCACAGGAAAACCCTTGTCACTGATACACAAAGGATTTCAGGATGGTCACGATTCCAGAAACTTGTATTCTCTGCATTCAGTTTAAAGATGAAACTTAATAAGGCTATCACTAAAAGAACATCCCAGAAGCAAGAGTAATTCAAGGCTATATTTGTTCTTTTCCAATTCTTGCAAGACTAACATGTGTATACCTTTCTTCTGAGAGTCCTCCATGCATCTCCTTACCCTCCTAATGGAGAATTTGTACTTTAACCATGCTAGGAAATGCATTAAAATATATCAGAATTATTACAAACAAGAGAATAAACAGCCTTCATAGAACTGGCATTTTGAATTGTGCCAAGAAAATGAAATTGATTGTTGTTTTTTTTTTTCCAGAACTTACATCACTAGCAATGTCCCTAGAAGCTTTGGCAGCTTTAATAGGGATAGCATCAGATCTGAGATCGTACCCCTTCTTTCTGGCTTCTTCAAAAGAATGTCTATACATTTTCTGTGAAAGGAAAGAAAAGACATCCCTTAAAAATGCAAAATACAAAACATGTACTTAAAAAGAAGTCGCACAGTATACATTTTATATGTCAGCCTGAGACACAGACTATTCATATGTTTAATATTCTTTGAAAAGCTGTTTAAGCCATTCAGGCACACAAAAACATGGATTCACCTTCAAAATTAACTCCAGTCCTTAAATTTACCAATGAATGCACCTGAACTGCACTACAACCAGTAAAAGTACCTAAAACAAAAGAGCAAATACCTGCATTTCTTTCACGTGTGCACAAAAACTGGTGAAAATTTGCATCTAAAAATGAGATTATTTATTCATATGCAAATAAAGATGTGTACAATTACAATTTTTATTTAGCATATGCAGATTTAGCAAATAGCTACTGAGAAATGGTCTATGATGTTACATAAAGAGTAAGTTCAACCTCCCAGAAAGAACTCTGAATCCACTACATAACGCTGTGTATTAGAAAATAAAATAATAAATACAGAAACAACATGAATGGTGCTCAAACTGTATTATCTTGTTAATGATCATTATATTTTAATGACCTACATGAATGCTACATAACCTGTCCATAAATACCATTGCTTTTTCTTGACAGCTTTTGGTATTTAATTTCAGGGAAGGACAGTGAGAAAAGGAAAATAGCATATTGTAGAACCAACACAGGTTAACAAGGTCAGTATTACAGAAACTTTCCTATGCTGTTACTTATTTCTAATTAAAAAAAAAAAAAAAAAAAAGCAACTTTTTACAGACAGTACTCACATCACTTATATTAAATGCATTAGCTTTCGCTAAAGCAAACTGTGGAATATCTGGTGTTATGTGAACCTTCTTCTTATCCTCTTCCCATGCTTGTTTATATTGGTGCTAGAAGAAAAAAGCAAAAATCACCTGTTTACCAAAAAATGTTAACTGTAACTATTTTTAAGTATCACCTTTCTCTACAGTAATGCAATTGTTAGTATAGTAAGACCACCCACATTTTTTTACCTAGCTCTTACAAAGATAACTGTGCAAGACTGCAATAGAAGTTGAAGAAATACCAATCTTGTTACAGTATTTTACTGCTTGTCTCTCGTCCACGTCAGAAGGTATAAAAAGAAGTGTTAAAAGGATAAGCTAATAACCTTCCAAGCAAGGTGGCTAACAGCCTATCTCATATAAAAGAAGCATCAATTGATGGAGAAATCCTCCTTTTCTTAGAAGAAGTAAAATGTAAAGAAAAGGCACCTAAAACTCAGGGGATCCTTCCAAACACAGTGCACATGAACACGAGACACCTCTAAAGGACAGCAGTGGATTCTGCCAGTTCAGCAGAAGAATTAGAAAATCAGTATCTCAATATATAGTGTTATATCAACATAACACTATTGTTTAACCAGCAATTCCACAGTGATATAATAGGCATCGGATAATACAGGCTGTACAGACCATATGTTTAAAAGTTTAAATGCTGCTTTCAAAAGGGACTCACCAATATTTTCAGCCCATAACCTTACACTATTAGAATTGTACAATCTGTAATGCTGAGTAGTCCTTATGAAGAAATTATCAGGGTTATGCTGTGCGTTAAGATACAGTCTGGCTCTATTAAGATGAAATACAGTGACGGTCAAGCGTTTCCATTAGCTGCCCAAGCTGACAAATGCAGAAGTTATTAACCCAAAAGACTACATCAGGTATAACTGCTACCTCATTTCTGAAAACTTAAATAAGTTGTGATGAACATTTCCTCACCTCATCCATGATTTTAGCGTTATGCAAAGCTAAGGCCATATTCATGGAATCCACAGGAACAGAATACTTCAACTTGTCTGGATGCTGACGGTATTTCTTTTCACTAAGAATTTCCGTGGCTTTCTTGTTCTTCTCAGCCTCCAGAGAGCCCAGTGGCATCCATCCAGCACCCTTCATACTTTCATCATAGTCTGCTCTGTATTGATTCTGGAAGCAGAAGAAAGTAATTAAACGCACATGTATGTCTGAAGATGTTGACACATCTTCCTGTATTTAATGTACAATGGATTTTCAATGCACTTATTTTAAGAAGAATCAAACAGTATCAAGATACATCCAGTGTCTTTTCAGGAGTTCTTTTTTTTTTTTTTTTAAAGTACTATCTGTACTTTATCATACCACTTGTAAAGTGCATTTATAATAAAATAATAAGAATATATTATATATATATATATATGTGTGTATATATATGTGTATATATGTGTGTGTGTGTGTGTGTATCTTCTCTAGAGTCTAAAGTGAAGCTTCTCATTGCCTTGCCCTGTAGAAAAGGACAGCTGCTGAGGAGTGGTAGGATGTATAAGCAGCTTGCATCCATTTCACTCTATAAACATAATTATCTCTGAGCCTGAATTCTTTTAATGATAAATGTAATTCAATATTTCAGAGTCTTCAAAACATACCATAGCTATCATTGTTGGAGGTCTCATTTTATTTACAACATTTTAGCATTTAACTGAACTATTTTCACTAAGAAAAATCTTCCATTTATCTTACCATATTCTCTCATAAACTAAACATCATTGTACTGGCAAAGCAAAGGCTGAAGAGTCTCTCACTTACATTACTTTGTATCTGCATCATGTTTTTGGCTAATTCAAGACTCATAGCATCAGGTAAAACATTGTAGATATGGATCAAGTTTTTGTAGTTTGTATTTGTAGCCACTTCCTGTGCTTTCTTGGCTGCCACAACGCTGAGCATGTCAACTGGAGTATGGAAGTTAGTCTTTGCCTTCTCGTAATCTTTCTTGTATTCACGATCAGATTGCATCTTAGCCACCTGCATGAAGTGCACCAGCTTGGGGTCGTCTTCAAGGCTGCGGAAGCCAATATGCTTTCCTTTTGCTTTTTCATAGGCTAGTTTGTATTTATACTGAGAGCAGGAAAGAGAAACAATGACAGAAGAAGAAAAAAAAAGTACATTATTAGGAGAGCAAGTACTGCAAAGGCTTATCGCAGCAAACATGCAACTGAAGCCATATTTGGGTACAACAGGGCAAAGTTCTGACTGGTTCTGAAAAGATTCTGAATGCTGCTGATAAACACACTTACATCACTTGCAATGTCCTGGGAAGTTTTGGCTGCTTTTATTGGAATAGCATCAGGACGCATGTCATAACCTTTCTTCTTGTCTTCCTCCCATCCAGCTTTGTATAGTTTCTAATTTAAAACAGAAAAGAGAACAGGTACTCTATTAGGAAGGCAGAAGTACTGAAGTACTCCTCAATATTTTCCAAAAAGACCTAAGAATTACACCAATTTTTTATCTATGCAACAGACATTGAATGTCCTCACTGAACACAGCAACTTACATTACTCATTGTGATCTGGTTCACTCTAGACTGCAGAATTTCTGGAGTATCTGGCATAACATGAATGCTGGTCTTCTCTTTATTCCATTTATCAGTGTAGAGCCTCTGCAATTACAAAGACTTAGCACTGAAATTACACTCACAAAATACAAGCTTGCTTCTGTTTTGCTCGAGCGCAGTAAATAATATTTTACAGTACAAAGTCGCATAAGCACTAAAGATAACAAACAACTGCAGGGTGCCAACATTATATTCCTCATCTTCCTTTAGTATTTCATTTGAGAAACTTGAAAAGTACCTTTTGATAACTACTAAATATTTAAACTGAACATTTTAAGTCTGCAGCCTTCCCTTCTTTATGTATATCCTTAAATGCAAAGCACAGGTGGTTCTTTTTCCACGCACTCTCTTTCCACAGCAAACGAAGAATAAGTTCCAGTGGTGTTTGAGATAATTAGGAACAAACTTAAACAATTCCCAGTTTCTTACTGATGCTTGCAAAAGCAGACAGAATTTTACAGGATTTGGTTCAGCTCACTATTAACACTACTTTCTGTAGAAAAAGAGCAAAGGTTACCAAAGCACTAAAAATCTGCACAGGACAGTTTTGATCATAGGCACAGAAGTGAAATATTTAATCTTTATGAACTTGAAATGAAACTCTCTTAATTATGCTTACAGTCTGAGGCTTCTGTTAACTCTTAGTGTCCAATGTTGACCAACTATACCAATGTACCCACCGGAAATTCTTACAAGCTCCGTGGGAATGCAACTGTTGCACATTTTGCAAGATGAAGACCCATGGCTTAGCTGTGATCACCTGAACAAGTCCTCACCTTATTCATAGTCTTGGCATTTTGTTTAGCTAGCACTTGCTCCATTGCATCCAGTGGAATGGAGTACTTCAGCTTGTCGGGGGGCTGGCGATATTTCTTTTCGCTGAGAATATCTGAAGCTTTTTTGGCCTTTTCTACATCCAAGGATTGAATCGGCAGCCAGCCAACTCCTCTCAGCCAGTTATTAAAGTCTGCTTTGTACACGTTCTTTTAAGAAATAAACAAGGCAAAACAGCGAGATGAGGGAAATCAGAATGCCCATACATACAGAAAATAAACCAACACAAACAGATGAGGCCTTAAACCTCCTCCTGGCCATTCATTTTTAAGTAGAGTCTACACCAGCTTGCCAAAACCACTGATGTTTTCCAACTGCTCAGCAAAACACTAAAAATCATTAGGGATAAAGAAACTATTTTCACTAACCCAACATTCAGAACTCACACTACGTAACAGATGCACAGACTTTCACACAAACTTTGAGCAGCAAATATGAAAAACTGACAAAAACAAACTCAGTTTTTTTAACGACACTCTTGGTTAATCAGCTCAGTTCACAGTGGAACTAATTCACTGTCAATCTTTTTCTAAAGCTTCTGCTTGGTGGCCTGGTTCTATGCCTCCTGAAGAGACACCATTTCTATTTAAACATACTTTATAAAGTGGCTTTTATAGCAGATAACGGTATGAAAATGCTGAAAAAAAAGTGGAACAATGTTAGAAATATGAGGGAGTTGATCAGATCTGCATCAGTAAAAAAGAATACAAAGGATCTGTCTCAGGACATTAATTTGCTGAGCAGTCAAATACATGGAGACACGAAGAAAGTTATCTAAGTTCCCTAGAACTTATCAACTGCACATACTTACAGCAACCTCTGGAAAATATCCAGCTCAAGACCAGATCTCAATCTACCTTTAATCCGATATACCCTTAATCTCATTTTCTAGCCTTGAAAGGTTAACACTGTGACACAGTAATACTGAACAGAAAAAAGTGAGCTGCTTAACCATTACATACATCACTCTGAAGCTGCATCATGTTTCTTGATAGCTCCAGATTCACAGAATCAGGCAAGAGAGTATAATGGTGAATGAGCTGTTTATAGCCCATGTTTGTAACGGCCTCCTGAGCTTTCTTGGCAGCTGTCACACTGAACATATCCAGGGGAGTGTGATATTTGGTCTTGGTCACTTCATAATCCTTCTTGTATTCACGCTCTGATTGCATTTTGGCCACGTTCATGTAATGAACAAGTTTGGGATCATCCTGCAGGCTGCGGTACCCAACCTGTTTGCCTTTATCTTTCTCGTACGATTCCTTGTACTTGAACTAGAGACAAAGCAAAAGAAATCTTTATCTACTTTGGAAATACAAAACATACAATTGATAACTTTAAGACACTGAAATTCAAACAGAATTCATTTCCAGCCTTTTACAGAAGTTAGTAAATTTATTCCTGTGTTTCAAATCTCCTTTCACAGCTTGCTTCAGATGGCACACCAAACTTTCACGTGGCCAAATGAAGCTGCCTGAGAAGAGCCACATATCTGTACAGTTCATGAATGTCAGACAAGTAGATGTACAGGTCTTCATATGTACAGGTCTGTTCAAATGGCAGCTAAGAACACAGAATAGATAAGCTGTCACACAGAAACTAGCAAAGAAGCTGGTGGACTTTAAGGGTATAGAACACAGCCCCAGCTCACCAGCAGTCACATTAAAACATAACTCCAAAGAAATACCTTTTTTTCTTCAGGTTCACATGAACACCTGAATTTTCTTGTACCATCAGAATTTCAACACCCGGTGTCAAGTGTTTATACATCATTACACGTACATAGCACATGCTCTGTAGCATGATGTGCTCCAGAAAGAAGGCAATAGACTTTTGCACTCCTCTTATGCAAAACATACTTACATCACTTGCAATATTTCGAGATGCTTTAGCAGCAATAATAGGAATGGCATCTGGTTTCAGATCGTATCCTTTGGCAATGGTTTTTTTCCAGTCTGCTTTGTAGTTAGCCTTATGGGAAAAAATAGGTAAGTCAGGAGTGTCACAGTAAGAAATATTAACATGTCTAAGTCTTTATTTTTATTGTATTAATGGTGATCAAAACATCAGTCTGTGCAACTGCAAGGAGAAATGCTAACCTCTACACAACCTGCAGCTGTATCACGACAAATTTACTACAACCATAGTTCAAGACAATCAGTTTAATGCATGTAACTAAATCTTTAACTCAGTTTTTTTTCAGTTTCCATACAGAACAACTCAATCAGCAGAATTTTTGCCCTTTGTAACTTTTTCACTTCCTTTTTGACTTCACTGAACCTTCAGGCAATTTTTTTTTCCTATGAGCTTCAAAATCAAGACCTCTGGTTTGAAGGAAGCAGCCTGGCTGATTTCTAATTAGGGGTTAGAATCTGGACAGACTAACAGCATTCCATGGCTTTTCAAAGGATGGAATGAAAGGATACATCTATTTCTAATTTTAACTCCTGGAGGCCTGATAACACCACCAAAAGATGTATCATCAGAATGGTAATAAAACTATCAGTGGAGATCCTTACATTCTTGGACAGATGCAAAACAGGAGTGGAAAGCAGTCAGACTGAGAGCTGAACAACAGGAAAAAAGCATTACTTCTCTACTTTTCTCATATTTCCTTTGAAAGCTCAGCAGCAGGAGGCAAAACACACAGAGAAGCTGCACTGCTTTCCTCTGCAACACGTTTTGTACAACAGTGAGGAACGTTAGCTTCCAAACCCATATGCATTTGAATAATAAGTCATGACCTTATCCTCAGTCAGGCTCTCCCACCAGTCTGCCAACAGATCACTGAAATGCCTTCATGTTCAGCAGTGCTCAAAGACACAACTAAACATTTGCTTAACAGGTGTAAAACCCATTGACTTCTACAAGTAAGTAGTGGCTCACCTGAACAGAGAGCTTGCACATTTCTGTATTTAGTATCATAGTATGAAGATAGAAAAGGTCATTTTTCTATTAAGAAATGATGAATATATTATTGAATGCACTATTGGTTGCATACTCACGTCACTTAAATTGAAGGCGTTGACCCTTGCTTGAATAAACTGAGGGACATCAGGATCAAGCTTGTATTTGTGCTTTACTTTTTCACCCTCTTGCTTATATGCTACCTGCACAGTAAAACAAACAAACCTCTGTTAATAAGAACACAGCAAGTAATATTAGTACTAACAAAGAGACAAAACAAGTGCCCTTAATTCCTACCAACAAATTACAATTTTACTATTTGTACATTTTTTAAACTCTACAGTTTCTAAGATGGAACATCAGAGAGAAGAATCATAAACCCATGGTAAGAAATAAAACCTCCGTATTGCATCAGTAACAAATACTTACATCACTCAGTTGCTTGGTGTTGTGCTGAGCTAGAACCATTGTCACTGAGTCTGGCACACTGGTAAACTTGATGGTGTCTGGGTGCTGACGGTACCTCTTCTCATTTAATGCATCCCCAGCCTTTTTAGCTGTTTCCACATCCAGAGAGCCGAGAGGACTCCATCCAATACCCTTGAACCAACTGTTATAGTCTTGTTTGTATACATTCTGAAGGACAGAAAGACAACATGAACCAAGATTATCCCACGGAACTGTTTAAGCAATAGTCACAGAGCCTCACTCCTATGTTCTACATTAGCAGGAATATCTTATAAATTCTGAAAAGGAATAACAAATTATTATTGTTTTTTTTCATTTCTGTCATTTCATAAGTAAGAAAGTAAGCTACTGTATTTTTTCCTCCTCATTTATTTCTCATAAACATTAACAACTTTCAGTATTTACTAAGCTTCTTTTCTCCTACCCTTGTAAAAATTTCACCAATCTCCAATCATTAATAACTTCTAAACTAAAATAAGGTGTTCACTGACCACAGTTCAATTTGGTCTGTGTTCCAGCAGTCTTTATCAGAGCTGGTCTTTTACACAAAGGCCCACAGAGCAGAGACTTAATTTTTTTCCCTCCTATAATTCCTTCCCCAGTAAAATATGCAGAATTTACATCTAGAGGCTTCAAGTAAAAAAACCTACCCAGGCTACAATTAAGCAGGTAATACACAAAGTATCAATATTGACATTGTGATACAGTCAGCAAACAGCCTGAATGCAAGGATATTACAGACATTTCTAAACTCCTTCCATGGTCTAAATTCAAGAGCTGAAATAGAGAGAGGGAAACTCCACAGCATCCAAACAACTGCAGAGTGCAACCTGGTATGCTCAATCATTTCAAACTCTGTATCTGCAAGAACAACCAAGACAGTCCTGCAAGAAATCTCCTATGCTACAGATCTCCAGAGGAGGTATCCCTGGTATCCCTAATGCAACCAATAGCTAGTTTGTTCCCTCCATCATGCTATTGGCTTGCAGTTCACCTATGCTACCACATCTGTCTCACTCAAAGACAAAACAGGGAAACTTGAAAGTCTTAAAGAATAAAACCAAATTATGTTAGTTGCAAAATAAAAGCTCTCTGAAAAAAAATTAAAAAGAAAATAAATTCATTTGCATGCCATAATCCAAAAAGCTGCTCTTCAGAGGCATGCCACCATCAGAATCCTTTTGAGTGCGACTCACCTGGAATGTTGTACTTCTAAATTCCACCAGCTGATACTTAAAGTTTCTAATGCTCGTCCCCAGGACATAATGAAAACAAACCATTCCCATACAGTGATGGCAAATTTCACTGAATAAAAATACCTATTTTATGCTTTTTGTGTAGGAAAACATCAGTGAGACAGCAGTCACTGAAATACTCACATTGCTCTGAATTTGCATCATGTTCTTTGCAAGCTCAACATCCATAGCATCTGGCAGATATGTGTAGTGATGGATCAGATTTTTGTAGTGGGCAGTGGAAGCTACGTCCTGAGACTTTTTTGCAGCCTGGATACTGATTGTGTCAGGAGGTGTGTGATAGACAGTCTTGCTCTTCTCATAGTCCTTCTTATATTCACGATCAGACTGAATCTTTGCAACATGCATGTAGTGAACGAGCTTGGGGTCATCCTGCAGGCTTCTGAAACCAACCTGTTTTCCTTTAGCCTTTTCATATGCTTCTTTGTATTTATACTAGAGTCAGAGAAAAAGAGATCAAATATATTGTCACATAGCTACTGATGTCTAAACTTAAAAAAGAGAGAAGAAATCTGTTATGACTTTCATTGAGAAGGAAATATGCGACCTGTTCAGGAACATTAGCCTAAATAGCATACCCACCAATACCAGCTTTTCTTTTTCCACCATCTAAGGCTATGCACAACAGGTTATACACATAACAATGATTCACCAGCCACAGCTTTCCTTGAAAGGAAGTGAAATCGTTTCCTTAAAATTACTGTGCTGAGAGGTGCATGAAAAACATTAAAACAATTGAGACAATCCATCTCTCTCACTCGAATAGCAAAAAGAGCACAACTGAGAAGCTTCCTCTCCTTAACCGAAAGCACCGAATCATAATCTACTTCATCAATTTGTGCTACATGGCTTCCAACTCATTTATAAGCTGTACTCATCCACCTACCTCAAAACTACCTCAGTATATTCTGTCTCACAGTCTAAGCAGATGCTAATGTAGCTAATTCACTGGAAATCTGTCAGCAAATGACTGCAAGAACTACTGATTTCATCTCTCCCGTGAACAGTGGTTTAGGAAACACAGCAACACAGTACAGTAGCAGCTGCTTATCTAAAGCAAATGTGATTAGAATAAAAGATGTTTTACACAAACCAACACTTCGAGAAGACCGAGAATGTCTTTCTCCATTAGTGACTCTAGTGAGACTCATGGAATATTTATGGTCTACCACATGGCATGGAGTGGTTGACATTTTTACTAAATGCCTAAAACAAGTGTACCTGGGATAGATACTTACATCACTAGCAATGTTTCTTGATGCTTTTGCTCGAGTAATTGGAATAGCATCAAGTGACACGTTGGTCCCTTTAGCTATTAGATCGTGGTAGTCCTGTTTATAATAGGCCTAAAAAAGAAAACCAGTATTATTCTAGAGAACCTACTATTCAAATGAATTATAAGAAAATAAAAGCTACACAAAAGCTACTCCAGACAAATCTTTAGTATGAGATGCTTCCTTTAGTGTTCATTACTTCTTTATTAATTAAACTAAATTAATTACATGATTACACGAGTAGCTGGGATTTGCTTGGAAATTCAAACGATGCCAAGAGTGAAAAATTACAGTGATATAAGTTGATTATAAAGAACTGTGCATCAGTGAAAGAAATCTGCAATATGAGCACATCTGTAAGATCCTCAAAAATTCAAGAGCAATGTGTAAAACATTATAAAGTCATCACTTACATCACTGACATTTGCAGCATTGTATCTGGCTTGGATAAACTGTGGGACATCTGGGGGGAGAGTGTATTTATGTTTCACTTCTTCTCCGGAAGATCTGTAGAGTCTCTGTAAAATACACCATACATAAATAAATTCTTTCCTTGTACAAGCAGCACCAGTTCACTGTGAATCAATTGAGGATTTAGGTTTGATTTTTGCAAATGTATGTTGTCACTTATCTCATAAAGATGGAGACTGCACTTTTCATACAGGATTAGTGATCTTATTGATGGAAGAAACAAGCCCTAAATGCCCCGTGCAGTCCTTCGCTCAGAAAGGTCTTTACTCAGGGCTCTGCAGCACAGCCTTACGAGGAGCAGTCAAGGGAACTGGGATTATTTAGTCTAGAGAGGAAGAGGCTCAGGGATGACCTTATTGCTCTCTACAATTCCTGCAGGGTGGTTGTGATGAGGTGGGGGTTGGCCTCTGCTCCCATGTAACTAGCAATAGAAATAGCTGAGCCAGGGCAGATTCAGATGGGATGTCAGGAAATACTTCTCCAAGGGGGTGGTCAGGCACTGCAATGGGCTGCCCAGGAAGGTGGGGAAAGTCACCGACCCAGGAGGTACTGAAGAAACATTCAGATGTTGTACTGAGGGCATGGTTTAGTGGGGAATATTGGTGATAGGTGGAGGGTCAGACTGGATGGTCTTACAGGTCTTTTCCAACCTCGGTGATTCTATGATTCTATGACATGTATACCTCCTTTAAAAAAAAATAAATTAAGAAGCCTGATTTCTAGGAGAGCTTTCACTGGAACAGGCTTCATAAGTGTCCTTGTCCATGTCTGTGCAAACATACACACCCATCTTCACCTATACTTTCAATTCAGGAATTGTCTTAAAATTGGAAAGTGGCCGCAGTGCAGAAACGTGTGGTCTCAGAGTACAGTGACATGTCTGGTATGCTCACTTACATCACTCAGCTGCTTGCTATTGATCTCTGCTTGCTTCTGCACTGGAGAGTCAGTCACTTGAGTAAATTTGATCTGATCAGGATGCTTTTTGTAGGTGTGCTGAGGGTAAATAATAAAAACATTCATTGTAAGTGTATATAAGCACATCTTCCTGTTAAATAAGACACAGTGATGTAGCATTACTGGGGATAGCTGGCAGTTATGAATGGTGTAGATAAGCACTGTCCTGCACAATAACTCTGACGTTACTTTTTAACACTATCAGAGCCCAAATAAACTTTTAAAGTATTTTAAAAGTACAAACACAAAATATTTGAAGGTATATAAATATTACCACAGACAATAAATGATATGAAATATAAAATATTACACATAAATACATATTTTAAAATACTTTCAAGTATTAATAATTACAATTTGTACTAATAAAATAACCACAGCATGTTGAAGCATTTTAAAAAGCTTTAATGTAAAAATATGCTGACTTAAGCAAGTAGATGCTTGAGGGTCATTTTTTGTTTTGTTACTGTTGTAATTATTTGGTTCTATTTGTTAGATGCTGTTATAACTGTCTTGATCACTAGGTGTCACAAAAGACTTCTAAAATACAGGTGAACATGGCTTATGAAAGTCACTATGCCAAGAAAACCACGCTCAAAAATTAATAGGAATCAATGTAAACTTTCAGACATCTCAGAGCAGATGCCCTGCATTTAACTGGCTATCTGATAACCACTGCCCTATACTTACATCTTTACACTGCTCTAGCTTCTTAATAGCTTCATATTCTTGAGTTATGGTCTGAGGGAAGTAGCATTTTGTCTTTTCTTCCTCATAATCCGCTTTGTAATTTTTCTAGGGATAAAATGAACATTCCATAAGAAAACAGAATTGAGCTTTCTCCAAATTAAAACAGGATGGCAAGAACAGAATGACAGCCACACTCACATCACTCTTCATAGCTTCGACTTTCATACAGTGGATCTGGTGTGGGTCCTCAAAACTGCCCAAATAGTGTCCCAAGATATTCTTTTGATAAGCATCTTTGTATTTCACCTGGAAAAACAATCACAAGCTGATAAAGAAAAGCAATCAAGAGTGTCAGTAAGGAAAGATAAGAACTCAGCAACACATACATCACTGAAATTCTTCAGAGCGCTATCAGTCTGGAACTTTGGTGTTTCACAGTAGTTCATGCTTTTTCCTTTGGATTGCTCATAGGCTTCTTTGTATAATTTCTGCAAAAGAAAATAACATTAGATATAATATAATATAGATAATAATAGATATAATAACGATAAGAAAGCAGACTGAACTGAAATGCACTTACAATATAAATTACAACGGTGACTATTAATTTTTAATTCTTTTTAGTGGCTTCTAGGATTGTTAGGAAAGACATGAAGGTTTGACTCATCATTTCTGAATGTCTGATGTTGAGCAATATGAAGTGTCTTTCCAAACAGATGAAAACATTGAGAGAGTAATCAAGAATGTCAATACATTCCTGAAGTGGTATCAAAAATAACAGTATATGTGAATACCTAGGAGTACATATTTTATCACTGCAGACAGCACTTGAAGTTCTAAGCACTAAGGAAGAACCCCCACCTTCTGACCCATTTTTCAAAGGATTATAAAAGAACAATCATTAGCTATCTCCATAGCACATCACACTCAGCTGTAGGGAAATGACTCCTTATAGTGATACCATTCTGGCCAGTAGGATCTCTTGAAAAATACTACATTTATAAAACTAAAAATACTGAGAAATTCAGTGGAGAAGTCAAGAAATGATCAGTTTGGGGTTTGGTTTACTGCCATAACTGACATCCGTGCTGCTATGCTTTGGTAATACTCACGTCACTCAGGACATCTCCTGCAGTCTTTAATTGCCTCAGCAATGGGTTCTCTGTAGCAGGAAGCACGTTATAATCTGCAATGGCTTTGTTCTTCTCATAGTCTGCTCTGTATTTTATCTTTCAAAAATAAAGACAAAAATAATGAGGTTTTTTAAATTGATATTAAAAGCCAAACACTCACTAACTTATATTGTCTTGAAATTTTCTGAAAGGTCTCCACCTGCTTTTAACTCGTGACTCAGAAAGGCAAAGGACCATGAGAAGCACTCAGATCACAGCAGTGCAGGGATCACCAGCTGAGAGGTTGAGTTGAAAGATAATAGATACTATTAATTAGATGTCCTGACCTTGCCAAGCATTCTGACTTCTTAACTACCAGTTGACATATTAGAATAACTACGTTCTTAAAAGCTAATGACAGAAGATTCTCTTCGTCTTTGCTGATGCAAATGCTGTTACAGAAACTGCAGAAGCCAAGCAAATCCAGCATTCCTAACAAAATGCCAGTATAACATCACTGAGATACACTGAGAAAGCATGAATAACTGAAAATATGAAACCAGATTCAGCTAGGTTAGCAGTATTCATCTATTCCAACTAAAACCAGGTAACATAATACAGTAAGAGCAAACCAAAGCAAACTCCATCTCCATGAAAGAGAATACTTCACAGGTACCCTTGCAGAGGATCATAAGCATGGGTAGGAATCACCGAAAGCTTTGGGGTGGCAGGGACACAAGAACACATCTTTTGCACAGAAGAAAATATTTCTGACAGCTGACAAAGCAGCCTCAGCACAAACTGTACTGACTTCAGAACGACACTCCAGCTCTGCAGATGGGAGCAGGCAGAAGGACGTACCTTACTGACATTCTCTGAAACTCGCTTATTAGCTTCATATTCTGGAGTCTCAGTCTGCATAAAGTAGATTTGGTCTTTCACATTTTCAAAGTCTTCCTGGTATTTTTTCTGTTAAGAACAGAGAAAAGTAGGTATCAAATGTACCAAACGTATCAAATGCAGCTGCATTATAAATTAGCCATCCATTAAGAAGCTTAAATAGAAAAAGAGAAACACAACAAGAGACGGAGGAAAATTTGATGAGTGTTCATTTCAAGATCTTCTGAAGAACTGACTTACCATGCTTATGTTTTCTGCATTCATTTTTGCAATTGCAACGTCATAGCACGGAGTTTGACTCCACTTGCCTTTGATCTTGTTTTTATAGTCTTCGTGATAAATAACCTGCAATGAAATTTGAAAAAATAATACTTAATCTCCAGCTCAGTTTTCACTTAGAAGTCTTCTTTTTAAAGGTGCCTCCTATTTTATATCAGCACTACAACCACTTTATCAGTACTGTCAAAACCACGTGAAGTCTGACCTTAGCATTCAGTTTTCACTTATTTTGGTAAGTTTCCTGACTAAAAAGGTTGTACATATTAAATAAGTCATCTATTCCAAATGATAAATAATAAGACTAATAATAAGACTCTCCATGGGATATCACTACCAAATTCCTTCAGTTGTCTCACTATTCACACAACACTGAAATATAATATTGCCCAAAAACTGAACTAGAATTCACTGTCACTGCTTCTGAAACCTATCATAGGACAGAAATGGAAAGTCCTTTCTATACATGGCTTTACTGGTGATTTCTATCAGACTAGGTTCAGAGTAATGGAAATCAAGTATAAACTGTTCAAACTGAAGTTTAAAGTGTTTGAACAATTACTTAAACAGTTACTGCCTGTTTAATTACACAAAAATCTTCCTGACTTTTCACTCAGGGCTCCAAAGGCACTTTCAACCACAGTTGCTCTCCTCATCACAGAAAGCACAACTTGGTATCACACCGATTAAGAATGTACATGTAAAAAAGATTTTTCTGAATGTTATTGTTTGAAGATACATGTATTGTTTGAAGATACATGTTACTATGTTTTATTAATTTTCAAGAATAATCACACTGATCTTCTTGCTTCTCCCATGCAAAAAAAAAAAAAAATAAATCTTGATGCTAATTTAGCTTCTGAGCTACCTCAGGTACAAGAAATTTCCTCTAAACAACACATTACCTTCTGTCACCTTTCAGATGAGTTCACTAGATACTCTTATCCCTCATCTGAAACAGCAGATAATATCCACTATACAGCAACAAAAATCAGGCATGTCTTCCTTACCACAACTAAACTTCAAAGTGAACTAAAAACCTTCTGGCTTAAGAGTTCATATGACTTAGCTCCAATTTCTCCAGCAAAGTTGATCTTCCTCTATTTCACTTCACCTCCTGCATTCCTCACCTGTTCTATTCCATGTAAAATGAACTGCTAGTTATGCCATACAGCTGTGGAATTTACTGTTGAATATTACTTGCTAATTCGGTGTGCAAATCAGGAAAGAGTTACTAATTTCCACAAGTACCCATGAACTTGCATGGGATATGTATGTGGACAACGATCTGACACTGAGAGTAACTTTTAAAAGGTTTTCTCTGCCATCAACTTAGGCACCTTCAAAGATCAGATATCCAACTTAACAGCAAACTGGGATTATTCCTTGTAAGCAAGTAATTCACTCTGAGACCAGATGCATGCTTGCTTTACACTGTTAATTTTGAAGAGAGGAGTAAAATGGATGTTTTATGTTGCACTTTAAAATGCAATGCAGGAGATATTTTTTACAAAAGGAAGAATAGGAACTGATGCATGTATGAGAGAAGCAGAAATGTTTTATGAAACCCAGATTTGCTGATAAGAATGAAATTTTGTCTTTCACTTGAGACTGGACAGGATCTTCTGAGATGTTTTAAAAAGAAAGAAAACGTAAAAGCTGGCTTTCACTCCTGAAAAAAATCAAAGAGATCTTGAGGTCTGGACTTTTCTTTTGCTCTCTGGTACCTTTTTTGCCTGATTCCAAAATGGAAATTTCTGTTGAAGGAAGAGAACTGCATTCTACTCACATCACTCAGCTGCCTTGTCACTTTCTTGGCTTGTTCCACATCAGGTGGATCTGGCAGAGAAGTATATTTAGATTTTCGTTCATCGTGCCCTTTTTTGTAGACAATCTGGAAATAGAAAAGAAGTAAACATTTACAGAAACTGCCCACTGCAATAGTAACATCACATTTAATCTTACCTCTGCTAATGCCACCAGTAACAAAAGTAGTTCTGTTCACAGAAGAACGATAATCTCTTTCAATCAACGTGTTCTGGGGGACTATGGAAAAGTTCACTAGGAAAATTTTCAAGTCTACTACTCTGATGTTTGTGATAAACTGGACACCTGAAATCTTTACATAAGACCTGAAATACTTAGTGGAAGAGTTTTGTGTCTGGCTTTTTTTCCCCTTAGCATCAGCAAATAGCAATACTGAGCATAGCTCATGAACTACTGAGTTTTCTTATCATACAGATTTGCAGATACTTCTCAGGGCCCAGCAAACAGGGCTACCGGGCTTACAGCCAGCCCCAAGAGCTTCTCAACACATTTTGAGAGGTATCTGAGGTCTTACTAGTTATCTGAGGTCTGAAATTATTTCTTTCACTCATAATCCAACATTAAAAAGCCAACAGGTACACACTATAATAAAGAGCTTTCACTTTTCTATAGAAACACCACCACTCTCAGAGGTATCAGCACACATCTATGCATATTTATCTTCTGTTCTGTTACAGAGTCCAGCCAGAAGCCTCTTAAGTTCACAGAATTACAGAATAGCCCAGGTTGGAAGGGACCTCAAGGATCGTGAAGCTCCAACCCCCCACCACAGCAGGGCCACCAACCTCCACATTTCACAGCAGCCCAGGCTGCCCAGGGCCCCATCCAACCTGGCCTTGAACACCTCCAGGGATGGACGGGGCATCACAGCCTCTCTGGGCAGCTGTTCCAGCACCTCACCACTCTCACAGCAAAGAGCTTCCCCCTGACATCCAACCTCAATCTGCCCTCCCTCAACTTCAAACCATTTCCCCTTGTCCTGCCAGCAAGAAGTTACACTGTAGCATGATCCAATTTTCAACCAGGCTTTGATACTTACATCACTCAGAACTTTTTGAGCCTGTGCCACCCTTCTGAGTTCTGGACTGTCATTGTACGGATAGAACAACGTTTTGTCTCCTTCCCAGTCTTCTGTATAGAGTTTCTTAGAACAGAAAAATGGCAGAATAGAGAATGAATTCATTTTTGTCTTGGAATGCTTCTTGAACTCCATCTGACCAAATCGGTGATTCTTCTTACCTTGCTGAACATTGCTGTATTTTTAATTGCATTTACAAGCTCTGGGGCATCAGGGGGAAGTAAGTACTTGTCCTTATTCTCCTCCCAGTTCTGTTTATATAACACCTGGATAGAAAGATCAGCAGGCTAGTTACTCTCTTATTAGAAAAATATTTACATTAGTTAATAAACAGCTTGATGGAAGGCTTTTTTTGCAAAGTGAAGGTATCATACTAATGACATTTAAAAATATGAATTGGAAACATTTAAGATATTTATAAGTGCCTTGATCAACTTATTTGGCCTTCCCCCCTGAGCTTCTAAACTGTTCTATAGACACTGCTTTAGTGTCCTGAAGTGAAAATCTTGCTTTTATCAGTAACTTCATGATCCGTTAACGTTCACAAGCCTCCTGGTAAGCCAAAACTCACCTTGCTCACTTGCTGAGAGACCTTCTTTGCGTGTTCTATATCCCAGGCCTTTTCATCAACGTGGCAAATAGTTCGAGCAGCTTCCCCAGCCATGCGGTATTTCACCTAGAGCAGTGCACAGCAAACCACAGCTGTACTTACAGCTAACACTGACCAGTGTTCTCTTAAAGCAGGATACTGACATTTTGAAACTTGATAACACAAAGATTCTGTATTGAGTGATTTAGGCATGTCATTAACCTTTACCATGGACTAGCCATTGCTTAGAAATAACACCCAGAGAAACAAACAGATTTGGTGAGTTAGCTGAAAAAGAAATGCAGCTTTGAGACAACGTCACGAGCTCTGAATCCAAGCTAGAGTGTAAGCCTATAATCTGAGTTCTTCCTAAGAGTGCTTCCACCTGTATGAGGAGATGGAAATCCCCATGCTATTTGATCTCTCTTAATTTCACAGTCCATTACCACGGACCGTACACCTGAAAGCAATACAGCAGTCACACCACCACAGCAAACCAGTAGATGGAGCACAAAATCATTCTAATGCTGTTACAACAATCCCTTGACAGCAGGCTCAGTCAGCTTTAGCACAGGGATTGCTGCATCACATTCCTCAATACATCCTAAGCCAGGTGTTGAGCAAAATGTAATGGCTACCCATCTCCTGCACACTGGTTAGGTGTCTCCCCACTCAGCTCCGGGAGTTCCTATTCCCAGAGATCCAATTCTCTCCACTTACTCTACAAAGAATTAAGATGCTTTGGATTTTAGCTCCCCAAACTGTGACGTGCACTATTAAAGGGAGACTGGAACTGCAGACAGAACCACAATTGCAATCTACCTCACTGAGCTGATCCTGCACTTTCTTGATTCTCCGAATTTCTGGCGTATCAACTGTGGAAGCATATGGCTTTCCTCTTTCTTTATTGAACTTTTCTTTGTACTTGTTCTGAAAGAAAATAATGAGAAGTGTGATTAAGACACATCCTAAAGCTCTGGCGGAAACGCAAACAGTAATTTTCGATGCATTCATCTGTTTAGTATAGGAGTTTGGGGCACATCACTGAATAATACAAGCTGTCATTACACAAATACATTTGCACAGTTCTGCTTATTTTAACCAACTGATTTTCTTCCATCTGACACAGAAGAAAAAATACATTTCTACCTTCAGCCTGCTTCAGATCTCCTCTGAGTTTATTTGCATTACACATCTCACCCTGATACATTCAGCTACTTGTTTCAGTGACCAAACACAGGGAACACTGTGGGGTGAGAGTAGCAATCTTGGACATGTGATCTCATATAACATTTCAACAGCAAACACTGGTAGGCATCACATTAAATTAGGAAAATTAGGAAAAAAGTTAAAATTAGGAAAAAAGGTCTGACACCATCTTACACCTGCACAGCATAGTTATTTCCACGCCAAAAACACAGTAAAACTGACAGTAATACAGGAATTTGATATGCCATACCAGGAATTTGGGTAGGCGTTGCTCCCACACACTGTGCACAAAATAATTCTTGGATATAGAGAGGGATAGAGAAACATACTGCTGTACAAAACACTGAGGATCACTATTCAATAAACAGTAGCCTCTGCATTTCCTTACTTAAGTATCCAAGTCAGCACAGGAGGCCTCTTAACTGACATCTGAGATAAATCTTCAGGTATCTGCCACAGGCTTTATGTGTCTAAAGATTACTTGATGCACGTAAGCAGGAAATAGGCAAGAGATGAGCTAATTGAAAGAAGGAAACTTCCTACTTCAAGCAAATGGCACTGACACACGTGATGGAGTACAGAAGGAGTCAAAACAGCATGAAGGATCACAACAATACCTATCAGATGCTTTCAACATTGGTGTTTCTAAACAAGTAAAGGACATGGGACAATTCACCTCACTGAACAGGTCCTTCATTTTATTACTGTGCTGCAGATAAGGTGTCAAGAACTTAGAAGAGTCCACTTTTGTCCGTATCGTCTTCTTTCTGACCGGAGGTGCTGCCGGTTCCTCAGCAGAAGTTTTTTCATACTCAATCGTATGGGTGACGGTTGTGGGACCTGTGAATTCTGTGCTACTGCTCTCAGTGATCTCAGTGACCACCTGGGAGTGGAGAAAAAAATAAACGTGTTTTAATTATAAATCACAGTTTTATTTTAAACTTTTTTCACTTCCTCTGATACAGAAGGATGCTCAGTTCTTATCCCCAAACCACCTAAGGTGTACAAAAGTTGTGACACTTACTTCTGCCTGGGATGACCCAGCAATGCCTACTTTATACAAGTCAAACTGAAAAAGTACAAGGAATTAAACAACTGGCTGATTTTTGCATCAAACTGATACAATTATTCTCCAAAGGAGCAGGAAGAGCGGGGGCTGTGTTCCATATGCACAACTTTCACAGGCATGAGGTGGTTTCTCAGATGTGACCGCCCACAACCAAAACCAAAGCATGAAAGGTGCTCTCAGTGTTGAAGAAGCAGACATCACACAGCCAGGTTTCCTAACGACGATACTGAAAGCTGAGAAAGCAGGTCAGAGGTGCACACAGTCGTCCACAATGATCATCTTCTTCTTGTGAAAGGAACGGACGCTGCAGATCCCAAGTCTTTGGGATCCTGTGGCAAATATGTGATGCACCTGATTGAATAAATGCCTGGAATCCACCTTTTCTCCTAATGTACATTTTCTCACAGTCAGATCATAATCATGGCAAAGATATAGTTGAGATACACATACATTCATTTGATCAAGCACCCACTGGAAAGAAGACCAAAATTAATTTAAATCACTCATATACTTTTTTACCATGCCGTAAGAGATCATTTTAATACGAAGGTTCTAATCCAAAGCATGTTAAAATCATTATTACAGCTGAAAAATGTGCTCTGAAATTATCTGAAAAACAAAGTATCAAGCTTTATTTCATAATCAATAGCTTAAACAAAACAAATGCTTTGAAAAGGAATGCATGAAGGTCAGATTTCCAACAGTTACTTACATTAGTATGAAAAGAAAATACACCAAGCATTAAATATTAACTTGGCAAATACACAAAACTTAAATTACAGAAAGGTTGTTTATTACGTGAACATTAATTACATTTCACTAATGACGCGTCAGGATGTTAATAGTTACTTCTGCACCACAACAGATTAATCTCTTCCAACTCATTTCAAGTGAGCAAGTGTTTGTTTAAGTTCTGGCACTGAAAGCACAGCACAGCTTGAAACCTGCCTAGGCAAGATTCAGAAAAGCGTTACTTGATGTTAGCTTCATAACAGAGCAGTGAATCTACACGCTTTCTTGAGAAGTTGTAGCATATTTCCAAAGCTTGGAGAGGCTTCCTTCTGAATATAGTTAAAAGAACAAACAACAAAACTCCTCCCTTTTACCTTCCTAAGATAACTCATAGGCATCATTAGCATGATGCTAATGCTATTAACTGCACTTGCAGCTGATGGAAATACATCCAACCACATCAGCTAAAAATGCATTCACTCTACATATGTGATTCTTCACTCTACAATGCTGTTTTCAAAATCTGAGGCAGATCTGACACAGAAATAGTTGTGCTATTGCTCCCTTTAAATCCAGTCTGGCTATGGATTTTAAAACACCTGATGAACGCCGCGGTTAAAAAAGACAGGCTTTCTTCTAAAGCGCAGCCTTCAATTACTTGCTCAGATGGTATCAATCATATTATATGAAATTGAAACTATAGTAAAACTTTGGGACCAGATCCTTCGTCTGGAAGGAACTGCTAAGTTTATGTTTCAGCATAAGCCTATGCCATAAAAAACATGCAATGGTAGCAAAGAGTTGCTTACATCTATACTATCAGTAGAGCTACAAATGATGGTAATAACTCCATGGTAACTCATATATTTGTTACCAGTGACATAAAAAAAATCTTCACCACTTTGCAGTGGGAAAAGAACTGGTAACACAAACTAGATTCAGGCAGAATCTTTACATGCTCCTTTTCCTAACAAGCTGCATATAGCGCAGTAGGGCCCTGTTATTCATACATACGTATCTAGCCAAACTCACATCCTCAATAATTCTGTTCATCTTTAACACTAATGATTAGATTTTGCCAGTATATTACCTAAGTAATGTTTCTGCCTGTCTTTCTAGTTAAATAACATAACCTGCTGCTTCATTCTGTCAGCTCCTGTGCAAATTTAGCTGCTGGCCAGCAGCAAAGGGAAGAGCATCAGCAAGACAGAGAGCAGGAAAGAAATCGTCATTGTCCTTTTCCATCAGACACATCCTCAGCTCCTTCTGATGGAAGACAAACAGTAGTGCATCCAAGTTGAATCCCAAATGCAAATCTAAAAAACAGATGGGACAGACACTCAAAAAAAGCTAGAAACCCTCTTGGCCAGCCCACAAGAAGGTCTTGAAGAGGAAATAAAGGATACTGAAAGCAACTGATACCTATGTGCTCACTATGGAAAACTGATCCTCAGAATGCAAAAGGCCACTAGTTTAGTATTACACATTAATTACATATAGAATGTAATTAATGCATATATCAATCGCATTCAACTTCACAGGAACCTTTACCTCATATGGTTCACCCTCCTCAACAATTGTCTCCTCAATGTAGTACTATTAAAGAAAGGAGAAAAAAAAATCATTGTTAGGACAGATCATACAGAATAGCAAACTGTTCTCTCTCTTAGAAAGACTGTTTTAAAAGCACACCTCATGGGAATCAAGACTGCAGTTTGTAAAGATGTTATCAATTCCTGAAGATCTGTTATTATTTTTTTGCACTGATTGGATTTTTTTCTTATGTTCCTTACATGATCTTCCTCCTAATTAATTAATAAAGGACAATTATCTAATGATCCATAACAAAGGCAGATGATGACCACACTGAAAGAAAGCATCCAGTAGAACAGGACTTCCCAAACATTAGGCAATATGCCAAAAGGACTGTAAGAGAATTCTCTCTCCAAGGCTGCCTTCAGAGTTGCTCCTACCTACAGATGAGGATCTCCACAGCTCCACGACAGACCCCAGCCATTTCTGGCTGCCAGTCAGACTTCCTTCTACTGATCAGAATTCAGAGCTCCGCAGTCAGCCAATTTTCTACTCACTTAATTTTCCACTTATCCAGCTCTTATCTCATCAATTCAGTGAGATTACATGACTGTTTCAGTGCTCCTTCTGTAGTCCAGGTATGGATCAACTGCTGTTCTTTCCTCATCTACAGCCACAGCAAAATTACCACGAAAAGCACCAAGTCTGGTCAGCCATGATCCACCCTCAATAAACAAATATTCACTGCTCCCCATCACTTTGCTCTTCATGCGTTTAAAAATGGCTTCTTAGGTGATCTTCTCCATACCCTTCTTAAGGATTCAAGTTCAGTTTATCCTTGGATCCTCTTTCTTGCCTTTCCTGAAGTTGGGTATAACAAGGCTTTTTCCAATTATCAGGAACTTCCCCACAGTACAATGAACTTTTGAAGATTACAGACAGTAGCCCTTCGTTGACATCAGCCAGACCCCTCAGCATCCCCTCTGGTCCTCTGGAACCATACACATCCCAGCTGGGGAAGCCATCCCTAACTCTGTCTTCCTCTACTGTGGATACTACATCATTCCCACATCTCTACTAAGAATCAGAGACCTGCAAGACCAGAGAATAAAGAATAAAGCTTACTAAAATGGATGCAAAAAGAAAACAAAAAACCCAAACCGAAAGAACAACAAACGAACAAAAATACCCACAACCAAAAAAATAAAACTTAAAGCAATATGCTGAGGTTCTCTGTCCACTGAACTACAGTCCCACAGTCTTACCTTCCCTCTCACTGCCAATGATAACACATTCCTGCTGCTCTGCACATCCCTTGCTGGTTTGTCCATACATACAGGAATGCACTTATTAACATCTTATATCTCCATCTGCACTCCTATAAAGTACTCAGCTCCTATTCCCACCTTCTTTTGTGTCTGAACTCAGCCAGGAGCTGCTTGTTCATCCATATCAGCCTTCACTTGATTTCTGCACACTCAAATGTGCAGTTCTTTTGCCCTGAGGAAACTGTTCTAGCAGATTACCCAACTCTCTTGGACTTTTCTCAAGAGATCTTCCCAAGAAGGGCCCTGCACAGGCTCTAATTTACCTTTATGGAATCGGTGATTATAATTCTGTTTGCCTCGCTTGCTTCTCTCAAATCTTCAGCTCCACAGTCTTGGTTTCTGCAGCCCAGGCTGCCATCAACCTTTCCATCTTCCTTTCCATCTTCCACCTGCTCTTTCCTGTTCAAGTGGCACATTCAAGCACAGCATCTCCCCTAGGCAGCTCGTCAGCCATCTGCATCGAGAAGTTTGTCTTCAGCACATTCCAGAAATCTCCAAGCTCACCATGCACAGCCGCACAGCCCTTCCAGCCGACATGGGGGGCGATTAAGGCCACCTGCGTGGCTTTGTCCAGCTGCTTAAATAAGGCAGAGCTCTGAAGCAGATCTGCAGGTGAATAATCAGCCTTCCTCCTTTTGCAGGCAGATTTTCCCCCTTTCCATCTTGAAGCCGTCGTTTAAGGAGGGTTTCCAGCTAGCACGCCATTTTTGCCACGCGTGGCTCAGACTCTCATCACAAAGGCACTGCCAGCCCTTACAACACAAATCCTTGCTCGACTCTTACCCAAGCACCCTGCGGTGCCAACAAACCAGAGCAGATCTCCCACAAGACACACCACGATGGTTACAGCGCTTTCGCTCTCCGCCTTTCCCCATCGTAGCCAGAAACAGAATGCACACGAAGCAGCTGCCGCGCCGTGCTGCAGCCAGAGCCTCTTCACAAACGGGGACCGCGCTGGCGCCCCGCTCCGCCCCGCCACCTGCCCCGGCCCCTCCGAGGCCACCCCGAACATGGCGGCCACCCCTAACATGGCGGCCGCGCGGTGGCGCCATGCCGACACCAGGACAGCGCGCCTGGCGGCAAATGGCGGCGGCGCTGAGGGGCGCCGGCCGCGGTTGGTGTGCCGCTCTGCTTCGCTACCGCAAAAACGCGTCAAGGTGCGCTAGAAGCACCGCGGTGAGCAGCAGAGAGATTGCCCATGTTTCGAGTTCCCCCCTCGTTCGGCTGTTTTGTGGTAATTCCTGCACGCTGACCGCCGTTCAGCTCTAACAGCGTCGTTCTCTGGAATCTCACACGTGGCTGCAGCGCTCAGTGCACTCCTCCCAGAGGAGGAAAAAGAGTCCTAAAAATCCTTCACGTCGGTCTCTTATTCACCAACGATATCCTTTCAGAAGATAAATTTCTGATAGAGCGCTCATGTTTTTGAAGTAGGGCGCTCACATAAAAGAAGGGCTCTCGCTTAAAGCAAACAAACAGCAAAGTATTAAGCTGCCTCAAAGCTGCACCAAATGTGCAGTTTCCCCTAATTCTGGCAGTGAGGGCAGCGTGGGGTTGATCCAAGGGACCTGCGTTCAGGAAGGCAGTCATTGGAAATAATAATAATAAAGGAAAAACGAGGCAGGCCTGTGTAGATGTAAGGCCCAACCTGCCATAATTCAAGCATCAACAAACAAACAAGCACTGGCAGAAATAAATATTTTGTCACAGAGATCACACAATAGTTAGGAAGCATGAAGTCAATCTCGAGGGACTTCGTAATGGGAAACAACGAAGGACTGCTGTCCTTTGGACTGGGCTGTGCAGTGTGTGTAAAGATGGACGTTATGAGCAGTAATGCTTGTTTCTCAACACACATTTAGCTGGTAAATTGCTTGACTTAATTAATTATTTGAAGTTTTGGAAGCTGGCAGCCAGGACCCAGTGCTGTAATGAATGCTGCCTGAAATCAGCGATCCGGTGGGGTTGGTGCGGAGCTAAGAGTTGTGTGGTGGCTGTGTGCAGTACATTATTTCTTTCCTCAAATTAGTGCTGAGTAGTTCGTCACAGCCACTTAATTGTTTCATAATACAAAATTTCATTTCATAATAATAGTAAAGTAGCAGGTCTTTGTTAATGTTATATACACTTTTAATCGCAAACGCGTTATTTCAATGGCAAAGAAAGCTATAATTACCCTAGTTCTTGGGAATTCTTTTAATTCAGTCACTGAGACTAAGTAATTAGTTATAAAACTGTTAGTTTAAATGCCCAATCGACTAATTAATGTCTGACGTGGCTCCACAGACATCTGCAGGTTTAGGTGTAGCTCCATCTTGGCATCTGATATGTTGGAAGGAGAAAACTGCACTGGGAAGAAGCAGAAGCCAGGCCAGAGAGGGGCTTCCAAAGTCATCCTTGGATTGGATGACAGAGGGCAAGCCAAAGGGGAAAGAGATGGCCCCTGCATCTATAATTATGCAGGAGAGTAACCACAGAACCTTGTGGTAGGGGTGTGAAATGGTCACAGTCCTTACTTAAATGCACAAACCATGACAGGAACCAGAGAGATTTTGCTCTGCCGATAGCAAGTATTTGTTGCTGTTGTCTTTTACTTATCAAACCATTTGATAGGTATCTGATCATACTCTAGTCATCAAATAGCAAACGACGAGTAACCATTCACGTTCATGAGCAGCATCTTGGAGAAGTAATTAATACTCCCATTCACGAGGCAGAAAACAATAAATTCTACTCTCAGATTTTCTTCTTACCTCCACAACTTCCTCATATTCTTCTTCCTCCATTTTGAGCGTATTCTTCTGTCTCTCCCCAGCTCACTGGTGATGCAGGAAATGAAAGTGTGAATACACAGTATTAGCCCACACTAAAAGCTAAAGTCAAGTTCTTGAAGTGCACAGGTCACGGTTAGCAACTACTGAGATTATTACACCATTATTGGCTAATCAAGGGAAGAACTTGAACAACATAAAAAATTAAAGTTGGGATCTACCATTACTTTGTTTCAGATGATGGTAGAGAGCCACTGGATTAATGAAAATCAAATCAATGAAAATTAAAAGCGAAAAAATAAAAATTGAAATCAGAGAGACGAGATTTCTTGAAGTATTATTTGACTTTTTTCATTATAACAAAGTAATAGGAAGATTTTTCTCTATCACTATTTCATACAATGTTGTTGCATTATTAAAAACTCCTCTTTGGATGGGAGCTTTATCTGCATATTCTACTATATGCGTGCACAAGTAAAAATGCAATGCATAAAGAGGCTGTATGTATATTTTCAAGCGACCTTAAGTTAATGAGGCAATTTTGCTTTTCCCAGCATTAGCCTATGCAGGTGCTTTGGGTTCTTTGAACTCGTAGCTTTTTTCTCTCTATTTCTGCATTCCTGGAAAAGATGAAAAATCCATACACTGGCTGAATTACAAGATACAGATGACTGTCAGAACCCTCTGAACTGATTAATTAACACAATGATTTTCTTTTGGAGTGCAGTTCAACTTTCCACCAGAGAATACAGCCCTGTTTCTAATGTTGGGAGGGGATGAGGCTTTGGAACAGCTGTTCTGAGTCCAAAGATACTTGCCGTGTAAGCTAATACTGCCAAATGACGAGGTGGTTTTGTTTAGCTGGCTAAACAGCAATTCCTTCTGAGGCAAGTGAAGTCTAGTAATGCAGGTTAAATATAGGAACATGGAATACTGTCCCTTTTTAGTCCTGGCATGTTGAGAAAAATTACAAAAAAGAAATGAAGAAAGAAAGCGTTAAAGCAGAATATTAACCGTTAAAGCAAATGAAGGATAACTCAATCCACTGTCCTGTCCTATGACAAAGTAGGCCAAAGTTTATGAACAACTATATAGCAGCAGCAGGGGCTTGCACTTCGGGAGCCTCTCCATACAAGTGTCACTATTCCAACCACCAGCTGCACTTCCAGAACACAATTTCAGGTCCTTTCCTCTTGCTGCAATTTCCAATCATTCAGGTATTCAGCCGGACAGAAAATCTGAGTCCCATGGGCAATGCACAACTGCTACTCTGAAAGAACTGCAGAATCAAGAAACAGCTAGGACAAGAACTAGAAGTGAAATGTGATTAAATGTGCTTACCAGCAACATCTGGTAAATATCCTTAGGAGCAGAGCCTCTCCAGTCTTCCCTCTAGAGCAGTGCTGGGCGAGAGCAAGCCTGGTGCATCAACCTCTGGTGACGCGTGTGGATGGCACAGCCAATGCGGCTCCAGCCCGCTCCAATTTCAGCCCTAAATATACTTGGTGACCCCAAAGGAGGCCACCTGTTCTCAGCAAGATGACAGAAAAGGGAGCTGGGCACTTCTGTGCTCCCGGGGAAAGCAAAAACATGCCATAGCTTGACTACACTTCAGCAGGTCTCTGCTGAAATGGATCCCAAAGCAAATCTAAGGCAGCTTAATGCATTCTTTTTCTTTTTTTTTTTCTCCAGAACTGATGAGAAGAATGAGTTTGTATGGACAAAACAGATCTACTTCCTACATGGTACCTGAATCAAAACTGTCCAGATTCAAGAATCTGTGTACATCAGGGAAAGAAGAGTCCGGACTTTGGACCAAATTTGTACTAAAAGTCTATCTTCAATTTCACCCCTAAGCATATGTAAAGAGTTTTATCAATTTAATTTGAGGCAAATCACATATCAGTAGTTTCATTAGCAGACCTAGGAGCACAGAATCATAGAATCACCAATGTTGGAAAAGACCTACAAGATCATTCAGTTCAACCACCAAAAAGGAAAAAAATGAAACCATGCAGAAGAATGCATAAATAGAAAGCAGTATGACTGCTGAAGAAAGACTAAGAATAGGTGCTAAGTAGATTGAGTGACAAGCAATTGTAATGCATTATTTTGGAAGGTCAGGGATGGAACAGAATCATGGTAATGATAAGAGAAGAGACTTTTTACATCACCTGTCTGGCCCACCATCACTACAGGATTGCTATATCTCTTTAAGGAGGCACGTTTAAAAGCCAATACCAACACTCTGCTTCTCTTTTCATGTACTACAACACATAATTCAATACGTAATTGTCAAAAGCCAATAAGAAGCACCTTCTTGTTCCTTAACTCTTTCCAGAAGTTAGTATTTATATCCAGGTGAAATGTTTCATCTACTGCTCCTAAGGATATTATACGCTTTGCTGGACTCTATGTCCTTCTCTTTCTCCTTAAAGCAAGCCATGTGCTTTCAGTTATTTGCATTTTGCTTTGCTGGGCCACCCTTCCTCCTTTTAGTACTGTTTCTGTTTATAGAAAAATCCTTCCATTTTTTTTAACACCTCTTGAAGACGTCCAGAAACTTATTGTTGCACATTAATGGATTTTCTCTAGAGGAACGTCAGCCCCATCTCTTGCTCTGTAACCCTGTTCCTGTGTCTGTGCACCCCTGAAATAACTCATGGAGTCATTTTCCTCCAAACTGCTGCCTCGATTAGATGTGTAACACTTTATGCATTTGCCATTCTGCTCCTTGACTCCATGTCCCAGGGACCAACAAACTGCATTTTCTGTGGTTTGCACCTAAGCCCACAACTTTTCTTTTTTGGTGTAGGTTTAATATTCACTGAAGTGCTTACCTACAACTCACACACACCTGCCTAAATATAGATAAGTTATTCTGTATTTATATATAATGCGTAAACACACCTAAATGTATCTTCACTGTGGAAAATAACTACTATGCTGGCTTCTTAAAATGTATTCTAATGATACATAGGGAATATCAGCAAGAATCACTTGCTGAAGTGGAACATGCATGAGGTAAATGGAAGAATAATGGTTAATATTGTTATTTTTTTTTTTAATTGCTTCCACTTCCAGTGAAAAATTATGTCTGCACCTTGGATTTCAAGCCACTGTTTGCTGGAATATTCAGAAAGCAGCAGCCTGAGCCTGACTTTCCAGAGAACAAGTATTTCAAAGGCAATAAGAAAGTTCTGCTGGGAGATCATGGCAGGTTGGATACAGGTTAGCACACCAGACTGCTTTATCTACAGTACACACGTATGTATATACCCAGCAGTTCTGAACTAAAAATTGGGAGCGGTGCAAGATGAGTGAGGCAGAGGAAGATATTTTGCATTTAAATTGCCCAAGATTATAAGGCGGAAAATATTTTCTTAGCACTTTTAAATATTGAGTTCAGTCATTATTAATTATTGAACAGTAATCACTTCTGGCAAGGAGAAAGGAAGGAAATAGCATGCAACATTCTCTAGATTTATTTAGTAGTTCTATAATGAAAGCAGTGAAAAAACAGACTATATGTACTTGCTCCCCTAACGCACAACATTCACATACAAAAACACTGCCTTTTATTTTTCTTTTCCCTAGAACCACAGTTGGAGCTTTTTCAAGTTCCTTTGGAGAGGCAGCATTCCAGCTATGAAAAATACATGACATAACGCTGGAGCCTGATCTGTACAGAGGACAAAATATGGAGGATCAACATGTAAAGACTAAAGGGCAACCACACTGGGAATCTCCACTCCTTAAGACAGAAATGTAGATTCCTACAACCACCCCTCGGTTAGTAACGTTTCTGCATTGATTTAACCATTAAGTCCCTTCTATTCCTTTTATAGTGCATCTCTCTTTGGATTCCACATCAGATTTCAGAAGAATTTTAATTCTTCAAGGCTAGATCCCCCATCACGAAGCTCAGGCAGTACATATCACTGCAAGCTGGCAATTGCTCCTTGAAAGAGAGGACTTCTTGATTCAAAAGACTTTCTATCCAACCTTGCATCTGTTTGACTGAAAATACACTGTTGTGCTGGAGATTTATGTGGCTTCTCTATGTCTTGCCCTTTGTGTGGATAAGCTTACTGACATCAGAAGTGCTATATTTAACCTCCTGAGTTAATCAGTAGACCACCCGGACTTAACAAACATTCTATCATTGAAAAAGGACATATTTGAATACAACTTCATGCCACTGTCTCTATTTCTGGACTATTATTATCAGCTTTTCATTCTTCTCGCCTTTCTGCCTGCCAGATTTTGCACGGAAATGTTGGGACAAAAAAAGTGAACTTTAGCATTTGTGGGACTCCAACCTGAGCTAATTGGGTACCTACAAATCTCCCTTGGAGTGCCATCTCTATCAAAAAACCTAAAAGTGTACCATGGACTGTAAGACACAAAACGTATGATAGCTTATAATACACAACCTGCGAGATGCTGATATTCAACCTGAAGGTGCTGGATCCATCAAGAAGCCATAAATATGAAATCCATTTATTTTGGGAGGAAAGCTTTAACCAAAGCTCATGACACCAGAGCCTTGGAAGCAAAATAATTCCTGCTAAGTTAGCTGTCAGTGGTGTCTGTTGGGGGATCCACATGGTGGAGGGAACCAGCGTAGAAATGTGAGACAGAAAATCCACCAATAGTGAAAGAGGGAAGGGGTGGGAAAGGGAAGTTAGGTAAGAGCTTCTCCTTGTCACACTGCGCCCTTTTACCTTAGCACTCATGGCTTGCTGGATAAGGAAGGCTATGGAATTGGAAGGGACTGGAATTAAAATCTTGATTTCCCTATGGAAGTTGTTAGGATTTAGTTTTATTCAGTTTTTCTTACAGTTCCTTAACAGGTGGGAGAGAGTCCCTGTAGTGACAGGTGCGTGAGCCATGGCCTGTCACAGGCTGCAGCAGTCACATCACTGAGGTACGGGCGCTGCAAGTGCCAGCATAGTGCAAAGACACTGAAGTCTGCATGAATATCAAGGCAGATCATTACCTCGTGTTTTTTTTCCCAAGGAATGCTTAGCAGGTTGAGAGCCCATATGGGTTTGACTATCCTTGGTTTCTAGATTTGGAATGAACTGAACGATGGTGTCAGGTGCAAAGGTACCGATTCACACCAGGACAGAACTACAGTATCAGAAGCACGTGAGCAAGGCATTGTCAGGATGTGAGTACTGAATCTGTGTGCCACTTCAGGCTGGATGTGGCTTTGGGCAGCCTGCTCTGCTGGTTGGCGACCCTGCACACAGCAAGGGGTTGGAACTGGATGAGCATCGTGCTCCTTTGCAACCCAGGTCATTCTGTGATCCTATGATACTTAACTTAGCAGTATAGCACTGCTCAAGCAAAGACATACCTGCACTTGGAATGAAGGCATACCACACATCTCTGCAGTGTCTCTCTTGCACCCTAATAACTAAGGCCTGGTTTGAAGTGGACAAGCGTATAATCAAAGAATATTAGGATGCTATAATCACAAAATAAACAAGAGAGTTAGGCAAAGCAGACTATGATAACAACAGAGAACAAATGGAAGGCTTACCTCGATCCTGGGCTCACTCACAAAACACCAGCAGAGCAGATCTCCAGAAGAGATCCTTCCCCACTGGTAGCCAGCTCTTAAATGGAGCAGCCAGGCTCCTCCCCTTCCAGCAGCACGGGTGAATTGCCTTCACCTGTGCTCCTCTGGCTGATCATGGCTCGCCTCAGGTGATCAATCAGGGTTCAGGCTGTGACCCAGCAGTTCCCATACAATGAGCAAAGAAAAGGCCCTCTTGTAAAACTAAACTTCATTTCTCAATATTTGTCTTATCTTTCTTTCTACTCATGACGTGATAAAAGCCAAATATCATTCCAGAATTATGCAAAAGCCACATCACAAGGACCCACTGTACTCAAGGAAAGAAGAGCTTACACAAGTGAGTTGAACTCGTGCATTTCTAACGGTTCAACTGAGCTTTCTTTTAATTAGCTGCAGGTGCAGCACATACAGATGGGGATGTGAAACGCGAGGGATGTACCAATGTGTTCAAGTTCCAGTTTGGTGCACACCATACCACAGACACACGTCTGTGCAAATATCTCTTCCTTCTAATAGTTTCAAAATGACTAAGAAGGGAGTCAGACTCCCTGCCTTGTGCTGACCCCAGAAGGATAGGAGTCAGTATCTAATTATGAATGGTTTTGTAATTCATTAACAGCTGACTAATTAACTCACTGGAGATCTAAAAACAAATCAAAAAAAAAAAAGGACACAAAGAGAACCTTCTCTTGCTCCCATTCACTATAGCTTGAAAAGCCCATCCGTTTGTAAAAGACAACAAAAACAACCAGGAGCTTTTCTTTTCATACCACAGTCTCTTCTTAATATCACAGAGCCAGCCAACCCAGACAAACATTTGTAAACATGGCTTTGTGATGGCTGTGCTGTAGGAGTGGTTGGTTGGTTGCTGGAAGGAAAGGATACGCGTTCTAAACAGATGAACTTCACTTGTTACTGCTGTGCCACTGATCATCTTTCTTCAAGTATTAATAGAAAAGATTAGATCATTACAAGTAATATACCCAGAGGCAATGCAATCAGAATGCCACCA